GGATATAACCGACAGAATCTTGCCTTGGTTATCTAATTGTTGCAATTAGCGACAGCTACTTGACATAAACATCGTTTAATCATGTACTTAGTTAACTTAAATTAGTTTTAAAGACATGTTTTGTACTTTTGGAGTTTCGACCGTTCGTTTTGTCATATATTTATATCTAGAGTGCGTGTAGAAGTTAGGTTTAGGAGACATCTTACTATAAGCTTTATCTCTTCGCGTTCATCTAATCACACATTGATCAATGATTATAAAAATGTTTATTTGATTATTCTTTGGTGACACGATAAGTTATTTAAATTTCAGCGAAAAGAATGTAGCGAGTCATGAGAAACAAAGATCAACTACACGTCTGATTCTTCTAGTCAATATTACATGGAACAATCAAACAAAAAGGACAACAAATCTTCCTCATTTATTGGATGATTATTTCAATTTTCATTGGCAAACTCATTTTCAAATTTAGTATAACCAATCGAATAAGAATATTCACAATAAAATTACAAGATTTTTCTTGTTTAACCAGGCAAATATGAATTTTTGGTTTGGCTAAGTCTTTCAATTAATAAAAAGGAGATATTTGGGAGGTGAAGTGAAAGAATTCAAAAGGGCAAAGAAACATAAGACGTGTCCTGTCTTCTTTTGAAGAGTCAATTATGCTCAAAGGGTTTTGAGTCTCGTGAGAGCGACTTATTGAGAGAGGCAACTTGGTACGTTGAATCTATGAATATTGATTTTTCTTTTACTTGACCTTAAAGGAACTAAATAGTTGAGTCATCTCTTCTCTTTTGTTACACATTCCTTTTATTATTTTGAGTTGTTTGCTAATTCGTATCTAATCTTTTCAATTCTTATATACTCATATTTGCATATAAACACGTGATTTGGTAGTTGAAATTATAATTCTAGATAGTTCAAAATATACAGAGTAATAACACTTTAAAGCTGGTTTGTTCCTTACACTTTTTTTTTGGTGCAAACAGTTTCTTTCTCATTTAATTCTAAACCGGTTCAAAACAAATCTCGCTGAGTGCCCGTTTTGCCAGTGAATCGGCTTGACGGTTCTCTTCTCTCGGTACATAGACAAAAGAAACTTTCTCGAAATCTAGAGATAGAATTAGGATATTTTGGAGAATCTCGTGGAGTTCCTTGCTGGAATCCTTCTTGTTGATTGCCTTGATCAGCTGTTGCGAATCTGAGGCGACTATGAACTTGTAGTATCCCAGATTTCGGGCTTGAGAAAGCGCCGTGAGAGTTGCTAATCCCTCCGCCGTTTGTTCCTTACACTAAAAGGTATATTTTCGCATATGTTTAGATATCGACTAACACAATAGATGAACCTAATCCCTCTTATATAGTTTGGTACGTAACTTAAAGGTAAATCTACATATCTGCCCCTTTTAAAAAATACTTAACCGTGTAAAAGTATGTTAGTTATAGCTCGAAAATATTATGCCTTGAGATAAAAAAACAATCAAAACAAAAGTTTGCAAATGGACGAGTAAACTAACGTTTACCACTTTCGAAAATATAATTAGTCGTCGACATCTCAAAGTTGAAGCTAGTGGTCAATACTACGAACTATCATATGATATGATGAATGAGCAAACATCTTGATATGAGTTTTCTGCAAATCTGCCACAAATAAGCACTCGAATCGAAATCCATTCATCCAAGTAATCGAAACATAACGATTCAATCCGCACAAAAATATCAAATTGAAAAGCACTAAAACATTAGTTGACTATTTCATTTCTTTATGATTAGCCATTGATATATTTGCTAGTCTAGAGACGACTTTTTTTCTCTCCCGTAAAATAGTCTAGAGAGACGAGTTTCATTTGTCATTTCGTTGCTTCCATTATTCGTTTGATGTTTGACAGAACAACGCGATGCTTCTAACGGAACCCTCTCTCATTTTAGTCAAAGATTCAAAATGGATAGTTTTTTTATTTCTTTCAAAATGATTGTGATTATGATTTTTAGTAACCAATTTATTACATTAGTAGCAATTTTTGTTGTTGTTATGATCACCTACATATTTTTGTTTTTTTCAACGTTTAATAGACGAAGATTACATCTTCTTATAGTATAGATCACGATAATTCATAAAAGAAGCATAATTATGATTTGTTTTTGTTTATATCAACTGCAATGAAAAGATCCCAAGAAAAAACTCATTGCAGTATTGGCCATTGGGTCATGAAGACGTTAACGCATGGAGTACACGAGGATTGGGCTTGAACACCAAACCAAACAAAATTGAAACCGGTTACTCGACATATGACCCGTTCAATTGAGATCACATCAATTAAACTAAACCATCCCCTCTCAAAAGCTCATACACATTGTGATTTATGACACCATCATTGTGACATGTAATTCAATTACTACATTCAAACTCTTGTTTCCGGGTAGATTTGTGACATAGAGTCTCTGCTACAATAAATATATATATATCTCGGATGAGGATATTCAACAATCCACAGTGAAGTGGTTATTGTGGCATTTTCCAGTTCATGATATAAGACAATGGTGTGACGTACTAGAGAAATCAGTGGAGATCTCTCAAAAACAGATGCCTCAGCAACATCTTCTAGTAACCCAAAAGCATTTTCATCATCTCTTAGTATCTACAAACTAATTCTCTTTTCACCAGACGGACAGATTGAGAAAGTCCCATAAAATTCTAGGCAACTTAGGAACTTTTACATGGTTGCTTGGAACCTAAGCTTTTTCTCTTAAAAGGTAATAATATGCTTAATTTTTCAACGATCAAACATTTTCTGAATCCAGTCTCTCAAATATCAATATGAGGTGACATTAGAAATGATGTCAATAAAGAAATGTTCAACAATTGCAAGAAAAAGGCATTCATATTTTCATTTGAAATTCTCTAAACAAGATCTCAAATGATGCCCTAAAACAAATCAAGAGGAAAAAAAGAAGAAGAAGGAAGAAAGCCTTACTCGGTGCCTTTTTGACGGAGAATCCTAAACTGCTCAGGAGAAAGAATCACACGCCATTCCTCCTCTGTTTTTTGTACCAACAATCCAGGATCCGCCATGACTTGACCACCACGGAATCTAAAGGCGTTGGAAGCTGAATTTGCAACGAGATCAGGGAAAAGAAATCGTTTGGTGATGATGATCAAGTTCTTAAAACGCTGCAGTGTTACTTAATACTTTTTTTTTTCTGTGATGTATTTTTCCTAATTGGGCGTCTAGATTCCTGTGACCCGTTTGTATGATTAAGTTAATGAAATCATGCACGTGATAGATATTGTCAATTATCCGGTTGGTGACAGACAAGATAATCTTATCAAATTTCAAGATTTTGGATCCAGATCCGTGACTGGACCGAATCCATTCCAATCCAAAAATGACTGAACTAGCTTTTCGGACCATGTAATGGCAGTATCCTAGTTTCTGTCTAAACTTGGACACATAAGTACATAACCACCATTCGTATTAACTATGTTGTTTGCCAAGATTTTACAAACAAGAAAAGATAATAATAAAAAATTTACATTTCGTCCTTTGCGGGAGTGAAGTTAAGGGAAACGCTTGTTGACGCAATGTCGTTCATCGGTTGGAGTGTCGAAACCTTCACCTTTGAAAACATGACCAAGATGTCCACCACATGTTGCACAGCTGATCTCTATTCTTCTCCCGTCTGGATCTACCTGAATAACATCATGTAAATAGAGAGAGTTGTTAACAAAACAGAAACTGATCATCGAATTTTATGAAAAGTGAAAAGAGTTTGAGAGAGTTTTTTTACGGTTCGAGTTATGTCACCGGGGATTCCATCAAAGAAAGCTGGCCAGCCACAACCGGCGTTGAACTTTGTGGTTGATTTATACAGAGGAGCTTTGCATCCTCCACAAACGTATATTCCTTCTTTGTCAAAGTCTACATATTCTCCTGTCCCTGGATATCTGTAAAAGTAACCAAACGCAAACACGCAAAGATTATATACACATCAGTTCCTCAATCAGAATAGAAAACATGGATTTCTTTTATCTTTCTAATAGTCTTAGAGCTGAATTCTCTTATTACTCAGTATGATATTCAATTACCAGAAACATCTAAACATCAAGACAAAGCAGACCTTTTTTAAGTAATGAAATATGGTATATAAATTGAAGAACTGTATAACCTTTACATGAAAATTGAAGAAATTTTCTCAGTGTTCTATTGGTTCAAGCACCTGTATAAGAGATAATCTTCAACATATTGCTCATCAGGAGGAGTCTACAATCTTAAAACAATGCATCGTTGTATACTAATTCAAGTTTGAAACTCAATTCAGCCACAATAATCCATGGAGTGGACCTAAAATCAGAAAATGAAATGCTCAACAATTGCAAAAACAAAGTTTTATGCTTTCCTTTTTGGAGAGATTTTCACACAAACCCAAGAAGCGATGCAATCACTAGTCACTATCCTGGTTGAAGGAAGATGTTCTCCGAATTCCCAAATTTCCTAACTTTTAAGCAAATTTGCTCAAAATTGAACAATAAACCGCCGGAGAAATGGAAGAAGAAGGCATGAAAGCTTACTCAGTGCCTTTCTGCCGGAGAACACGAAACTGCTCTGGAGAAAGAACCGCACGCCACTCCTCCTCTCCTTTCTGCACCGATCCCGTAGCCGCCGTGGCCACGATACAACCACCGTAGAAGCTAAGAAGGGTAAGGAGGGAAAACAAAATCGAATGCAGCGATCTCATTGATGGTAGAAGATGAAGTTGCGCAAGACAGAGAGATTTTTTCAGTTTTCTTCACTTTGATTTTGATCCCTTTTGATCATTTATAATCTTTTGAATGTCTAAAAAGTCCATATATTTGTTAATTCACTTGATTACCCCTAATTTATATACCGAATTACATGAACACCCCCTACTGGGTTTTGTCGAGGTTTATACAAAAATCTTACAGATCCTCTCATCTTCTTCTTCTTCTTCCTCGCTCAGTCTCACTTGAAATTGCGAACATGGCAAAGGCTAACAAAAGCTTATTAAGCTCAGTCTTCAAGTCCAGGCTCATAAACTCCGGCGAATCTTCAATTGCTGTCGACATCGCCGGAACTTCCCAAGCCGTCAAAGAGCTCCTAAGATCCGAAAACTCCTCTCCTGGAACCGCACAAGGTTAGATTTATTAAATCCTTCGCCGATTCGACCCATTTCCGTAATTGGGATTTTGGGATTGGACAAAATTTCAACAATTTGTGATCTTGAGGATAAAGTTTTGATTTTTTTCAAATGTGTAGATCTTGAGAAAGTGCCATTATCAGATCAAGTATCGAATTTGTTAAATGGTATGTGCTACATTATATTGTCTTCATCACTAAAGTTCCTAACTTTCAACGAACTCTCAATTTCACTCCTGATTCAATCACATTTTCAGCCACTGCGGAGAAAAGCTCTTCGGAGAAGAAGAACATATTGAAAGTACCAATTTTTACCTCTGACATCTGCTTAAGACCGAAAGAGCTGTCCCATGATATGAAGGAGAAGAAACGAGTGTACAAGAAGAACGGTTTCACGCGGCGTTTCGCAAAGATATACAGAGACTCTGCTGAGAGATTAGGCACGGAGGCTGTGTTCGAAGTTTTCGATAAGGTGTCGAAAGATATGAGTTTAACGGAGTACAATGCAATGATTGGAGTTTACTTGGAGACCGCTGAGAGAAGCAATGATCTAGGACATGCTCTTGAACATATAGAAAAAGCTTTCGAGCTTTTGAAATCGATGAGAGACCGCGGATTCCCGGTGGAAGAGAGAGTTTACGGTCCTCTTCTTGGTTACTTGATTGATATGGATATGGTTGAGGAGTTTCACAGCTTTAAAGATGTTGTTGCGGAGGCGAGTCCTGTTTCGGTTGAGAGGCTTGGATACTATGAGATGCTTCTTTGGATTCAACTTGGCGATGGAGAGAAGATTGAAGAGCTTTGCGGTGAAATTGGTGGTAGTAATGGGGGAAGCTTATCAGTCTTACAAGGTAAGCAATATTCAGTTTTTGAGAACTCTCTTTGGTGTTTTGTGGCTGAAACTTTTAACTTTTTTGATCCTTGAAAAACAGAAAGTTATTTGCTTGCACTATGTGAGAGAGACCAAAAGGACCATCTTCAGAGGGTCTTGGAGAATGTAGACATAACAGAAGTTCATTCGTCGGACCTATTGGGAAAGATAATTGGATACCTTGCGAGATATTCGTTGGATTCTGTTGCGAGGAAGTTCCTTTTGGAACTAAGAGAAAGTGGTAAGAGTAAAGTTGACTCATTATACAGTAACATGTTTGTGCATTTAGCAAATCATTGTTTATAGCATGTGTAATAAGCTTTTCATTAAACATGCGCAGAAGAAGGTGTGAAGAACGTTTCAGATCTCATCTCTATCTACTCTACTTGCATCCCAAATGCGACGGTAAGGACTTCTCCATGAATATTACTGGCAAGTTAGTCTTTGTTTACATAACCGTGTTTTCACTGATTTTTCTACAATAAAAGGTTAAGGATATCATCTTGAAGTTCAACAAGATGCATAAAGAACTCGATGTTACACCTACATCTACATCATACGGGAAGCTTGTTAAGTATAGCTGTGACTCGAATGAGGTATTTGTTATGCTTATATTGTATTTTTCTGTTTTGTTCTGTTTTTTTCTTTCTAATGATTGTTCCTTCTGTCCCTTTAGGTGGTCACTGCTCTCGATATAGCTGAAAGAATGAGTAAAGCAGGTCTGATAATATCGGCAGATATTCTGCAGTCATTGTTACATGCCGTTGATGAAGTTCTTGAGCTTACTTTGGTAAGCATTCTCATTTAACTTATATCTATATAAGGCACGCTCTCAGATTCGTCTCAGATGTTTTCTTGACTCTTACTTTCATTATCTCTTTCACATCACATAGTACAGCTAAAACGACTCGCTCTTGAGAGATCACCATCATTGTTTTCCTCATACATGTGGTCATATTTGAATTGGAGTTTCGGAGTTTCCTCATACTTTTTTACTGTTTCAGGTGCGAAGAATTTATTCAATCATGCTCACGGAGAATGTGAAACCAAATAATGATAACTTTCGGAGCATCATACGTTTGTGCACAAGAATCAAAGACGTAACTTCCTTTCTACTTATTTCAGCTTCTTTTGTTTTTCTAAAGAGAACTTTGCTCTTAAATCTTTTGGTTTTTATGTGCAGTTTAAAAGAGCCTATAAGATGCTCGGTATGTTGAAGAACTTCAAGCTGGAACCAAACTCTGCCATGTACAATTGTATATTGAGTGGATATTTTCGAGAGGTAATATCTTAATCTCCCATTTCATGTTTGCAAATTCTGAGTTCTGACCTGATGGATGATCATCCATGTTTTTGTATATTTCTGTAGAAAGATGTTGGCAGAGCGTTAATGGTCGTCAAGCAAATGAAGAAAGCTGGCGTTAAACCTGATTCTATAACTTATGGCTATCTAATAACCAACTGTAACCAGGAGTCTGCTATTACTAAGGTAAAATTCTTCGGATTCTGTTTTCCGGATCTATTGTCTACATAATGTTACTCTGTGTGTGTGTGTGTGCGTTATAACTGATAAATATATATTTGTGTCTTTTATAAGTACTACAACGAGATGAAGGAAGCAGGAGTTCATGTTACTAAACGAGTCTACATGTCCCTGATTGAAGCATATGCAGCATCTGGGAATTTTGAGAAGGCAAAACAGGTAAGCATGCATACTCTTTAACACTTTGTAAGATCATGAAAGCAGAGTAGATATGTGTAATTAGACTAAGAGGTCAAACTTTTATTTGACCATAGGTGCTCTTGGACCCAGATGTTCCGGCTAAAAGCCAAAATGAGCTGAAAAGTGTGCTGATGTCGGCTCTCGCCTCAAATGGAAAAATGGCAGATGCCTTCAGTATATATGAAGAAATGAAGAAAGCCAGATGCCACGTAGAGCCAAAATCGATTATATCTCTTATAGTACGTATACACAATCAATAGCACTTTCTTTTATATTATAATTCGACTGGTTGATAACAATCTGGTGATATGATTGTCTCTGTAGGAATACGCTGATCCAAAGGGAGAGTTAGATACGCTGGTTCAACTGGCTGATGACCTGCAAGATGATAATAGTTGGATAGATGGTTTCTTCAGAATGATATTGTTCGCTGTCCGCAATAGAAAGTCGAGGTACAGTAAATCAACCCCTCATGCTTAGTTCTTGAAAACCACATTGTTGAATCTCTCATTCTTGATTTGCTCTGTTTGTTGTATAGCACTATTCTTGATGTGCTGAAGCAGAAGAAGGTCCGGTTGTCCAGGAAAGACATCCATGTGGAAAATAAATTCAACGAGGTTAATTTTATTTCTCTAATGATTTTCTGACTACCTGTTTGAAGTAATTACAAAGCAATAATGTTTAGTTAGAATAACGATCAAGCTCGAGTCTGTAGCTAGTAACTTGCCTTCTCTGTTGCTGAATTAGTCTTCAGTGACAGTTCTTTAAGCCTCTAAGCGATTTGCTGTTTTGGATCAGGTGTTTTGGGCAATCGCAGAGTCAGAGCCAACCGAAGTGAAGCTAGGGATGGATCTGCTAAGATTTCTGAAAGAGGAGCTTGGGTTTGTTCCTTCAAGAAAATGTCTGGATTTTCTCATGCATGCTTGTGTCAATGCCAAAGACATGGAAAATGGTTTATTGGTGTGGAAAGAGTACCAATCTGCAGCACTTCCTTGCAATGTCCTAAGCTTTTTGAGGCAAGGCACCTTTTTTTCTCCTTTTGCAAATACACACGTACAAGATTTGTATAGAAATGTCAGAACACAAGACAGTCATATACTTACTACCTATTGATTATGGTTTATGGTTTGGCAGAATGTATCAGGTTCTACTGGCTGCAGGGGATTTGGAAGGTGCCAATGCATTGGTATCAGAAATTCCAAAAGATGATAAAGATGTACAACACATCATCAAAGAGAGCCAGATTGTATTTTCTCTAACACCTAAAAAGAAACTGATTGTTTCCCCAAACAAAGTAGGGAAAGATTGGTTGGTTTGAACATTCTTTTGTTGTTATCTTGTACAGAAGATCTCAGATTTCATTCTTTACATGACTGGCTAAAGTTTTGTACCCTTAAGCTTGTTGGAACATGCAGACAAAAGATTGTTGGATTCTGCACAAGTCTTGAGAGTGTAGTGGAAAAGGGTAAGGAGTTAGGAGTAACTGGCTGAGTAATTTGCAGCCAAGCACGATTAAACTTGACTCTGCTCTTGCTCCATACTTGTTGGACTACTAAGTTCTGCATGGTTCCTAAACTGTTGATCTCTACACTGGACTGGTCTTCTTTTCAGCAACGTGGATTGAAATGACCGGAGGATCAGACATGGTGGATAAATGATGGCCTTATGATTAGGTAGGTGGATTCTTTGAGATTGTAATCAGACATGTCAAAAGAAGTCTTTAAGTTTAAAACTATGGTTTTGCTGTTGTGATAATTTCAACACAATTGTTCCTAAGAACTTCTTTTACATCTGAACCTAAAACACAATTGTTCCTGAACCAAATCATATAGTTTCTTAATACGCTTGATACACAAGGCTAAGCATTTCATTCGGGTTTCTTCATGTTCAGACAATTGTCTGCAGCTTGTCCAAATAGCTCTTGTACTTGCTTTAGTTCCTTCTCTGTCAACAAAACAAGGTATCACTTTAGACCAGCTCAAATTCAGAAGCATTTGCAATCAAAGGGAGGAAAACGAAAAAATAAAATAAAATAACCACAACCACTGCAGAGATCTCCTGCAATGTTTAGATAACATTCTAAATCGCATAATGGATCTTCTCCATTGCAAGAGCAAAGTTAGCCAGGAAATTTTACCTGCAGCCTCTAATTGCTTTTGGAGTTCTTGACCAATAACATCGTTTTCCGCCTGAAACATGCAAAATGGTGTTAGATGAATAGATATACAAACAGATTCACCGAGTATTGAAACCAGTAACTCAAAAAAGTATCAATAACTTGTTTACCTGAAGTTCTGCGATTCTTTTTAACTGAGCTTCTTCACCTCCTTCTGACAATGGAAGTGCAGCAACCAAAGCATCAAACTTCACAAGAAAAAAGTACCAAGTCAAGACTCAAAATGAGAGAATGACCAAAAAAATCAGATAAGTATAAAAATCTAAGTGTTTTTGCACTCTCTCATTAGCAATTTCTAGCAGCAAGACATGATCCAAACGTCTCAGAAAAGAAATAACCTGTTTAGCAGCCTTAACTAAACCAGCACTGAGCTGCTTAGGTTGCTCAGGAAAAGCGGTAGCATCATCAGTAGCCGTAGTTGTAGCCGGTGGTTCAGGATAGTTAGGTGAAAGCTGGACCGGAGGCGCATCTCTTTGCAGTGTCCCAAAAGCATTGAAAGTGATTGCAGCTATCGTATTCACTTGTTCTTGCAACTGTGAGATTATATCCATCTTCTAAACACCTTAAACACAAAGAGCATGAACAAGTGTTAAAATTCTTATACGACTTTAACATATTAATCAAGATTCTTAACGAAATACTAAATTCCAATCTTAATCTCCCTAGATAGCTTAAAAGCTTGATTGTTGCGAGATCTCAGTAGAAATTTGGAATGAATTCCATCAAGACATAGGCACATAGCATAAACCACGTTTACTAGTTGAATTATATCTAAATCCGTTTTCAATGTGAAGTTATTTGTTCACTTAAAGAGAGGAAGCTAAGACAAACATGGCGATTTCTTCAGGGGAAGAACTTGCTCTTCTCTACAAGTATCGATTTTTTTTGTTTCTAAAAAATCGGGAGCAAAAGGGAAACGATAACATTGCATCAACGAAGACAATTGCTTCTCCGACGAGATCGCCGGAGTACAGGGTTTTACGAAGAGACTAACCCGTCGAGAGAATTCTTCCGGCGACGCAGAGAGTAAAGTGTTCGGCGACGACAAGATCGCCGCGAGTTTGGCGTTTTGTTTTTTTCTCTTCGTTCTGCGTTCTCAATTTGGGCTGAGACAACTGAACATGGGCTTTAAATGGGCCTTTTTATTTTAATAATTCTTTTAATTTTTATTTTATTTTCATAAATAGGGGAAAACAAAAAAGAAAAGCAATTTCATTCATTTGTCGACCAAAAAAAAAGCAATTTCATATATTTGATGAAAAAGTAGAAAAAACCTATAACTTAAAATAAATATTTAAATCAAAACTGAATCAAATTTTATTTCTCTTATATACAAGAAATATTTATTTTGTTATAATTTTCTGTTTGCCAAAATTGAGACTATATTAAACCAAATTGAGACAAAAAGTTTTATACTCCAGTGAGATAAAAGAACCAAAAAACAAAGTGAATTCAAACTATTATTTTGTTTGGTTAAAGATTGATTGTAGAGTGAAAAAGAATGTGGTTCATATCATAATTGAGCTGAAATTCCAAGTTAAAAAAGGTCCCGTGGTGTACACAAGACTATCATCAATTTACGGCCAAGAAAATTAATCATATTTCCTCATTAAATAAAAACACAAACAAATTCAATAAATATTTGACATTTCACTCCCTTATTTTCCCTATCTTCTTTTTTTCAACCCACACGACTCAAAACCCAAAACAAAAAACAATCTTCTTCTTCTTCTCTACTTCTCCTTAGAGCCACAACAACAATGGCGTCTCTTCTCGCCAACGGTATCTCCGGATTCTCACCACAACCCACCCCTGATTCCTCCAAATTACCAAAATCATTCCTCCCCAAACCCGATTCCCTGAAATTCCCCTCCCCCAAATCCCAAACCCCCTCCTCCGCCGCAACGACGACGAGGCGTTTCAAAGTCAGAGCCGATGTCGAATCAGGTAACACCTCCCTCAAACCACCTCTCACCTCCACCGATAAACTCCAGCAGTATTTCCAGAACCAAGACTACGATACCAAATACGGATTCACCGAAGACATCGACTCCTTCACAATCCCCAAAGGCTTATCCGAAGAAACGATCCGATCCATCTCCAAATTGAAAGAGGAACCCGATTGGATGCTCGATTTCCGTTTCAAAGCCTACGCCAAGTTTCTCAAACTAGAAGAGCCTCAATGGTCAGATAACAGGTATCCTTCAATCAATTTCCAGGATATGTGTTATTACTCAGCTCCGAAGAAGAAACCAACTCTGAACAGCTTAGACGAAGCAGATCCTCAGCTCTTAGAGTATTTCCTCAAATTAGGCGTCCCTTTAACAGAGCAGAAGCGATTAGCTAACGTTGCGGTTGATGCGGTTCTCGATAGCGTTTCCATAGCAACCACTCATAGGAAGACTCTAGAGAAATCAGGAGTCATCTTCTGCTCCATCTCTGAAGCGATTAGAGAGTATCCTGATTTGATCAAGAAGTATCTAGGGAGAGTTGTGCCTAGTGACGATAACTACTACGCAGCTTTGAATTCAGCTGTGTTCAGCGATGGATCTTTCGTTTACATACCGAAGAACACGAGATGCCCCATGCCGATCTCGACTTATTTCAGGATCAACGCTATGGAGACTGGTCAGTTCGAGAGGACGTTGATTGTGGCGGAGGAAGGGAGCTTTGTGGAGTATTTAGAAGGTTGCACTGCTCCTTCTTACGATACGAATCAGCTTCACGCTGCTGTTGTGGAGCTTTACTGCGGCGAAGGAGCTGAGATCAAGTACTCGACTGTGCAGAATTGGTATGCAGGGGATGAAGAAGGTAAAGGAGGGATTTACAATTTCGTCACGAAGCGTGGTCTTTGCGCTGGTGACCGTTCAAAGATCTCGTGGACTCAGGTTGAGACTGGCTCTGCGATTACTTGGAAGTACCCGAGTGTTGTTTTGGAAGGTGATGACTCGGTTGGTGAGTTTTACTCTGTGGCGTTGACGAATAACTATCAGCAAGCTGATACAGGGACGAAGATGATCCATAAAGGGAAGAACACGAAGAGTAGGATCATTTCCAAGGGGATCTCGGCTGGGAATTCGAGGAACTGTTACCGTGGTCTTGTTCAGGTTCAGTCCAAAGCTGAGAATGCTAGAAACACTTCGACTTGCGACTCCATGCTTATCGGTGACAAAGCAGCTGCTAATACCTATCCTTACATCCAGGTATGATAAAGCTTCAAACTTTCTCTTTCGTTCTTGATTGATTGCATATAAATGACTAAACTTGTTGAGTCTGACATCACTATCTATGCTCTGAAACAATAACAGGTAAAGAATCCATCGGCGAGAGTGGAGCACGAAGCGAGTACTTCAAAGATTGGGGAAGATCAGCTTTTCTATTTCCAGCAGAGAGGGATCGATCACGAGAGAGCATTAGCGGCGATGATCTCTGGATTCTGCAGAGATGTATTCAACAAGTTGCCTGATGAATTTGGAGCTGAAGTTAACCAGCTAATGAGCATCAAGCTTGAAGGATCAGTTGGTTAAGAAAACTCAGAATCAGGGTAAAAAAAAGGAACATCTTTCTGCTTGCTTTTCGTTTGAGTTTTTACTAGTTCTCAGTCTGTAAAACTTTGTTTTTATCCGTAATGTTTTTGATAGCTTCATGTGTACCTTTGTGAAAGGTGTTGTTAATATGTTTGTAACTCTTTGCCAAAAACATGAACACGGTAATGTTTTGACAGAAATGATATATTGTAATAAACTTTTGTGTTACAAACTTTGTTATACAATTTTGAGGACTTTTCAAGATGTAGGATCTTCAAGAAACAGAGATTGAATTTCTTCTAGAGATTTGCCTTTGGTCTCTGGAACAAGCTTAGCTATGAACACAAATCCAAAGCCAGTTACTGTGGCATACATCAGAAATGTTCCTGCAATTATTTTTACTACCCCAAATCAAGAACTGAAAGAAGATTTATTTTAGTTTGTATATAATGATTAAAGATCACCTGTGGGACTCCATTGAAGCAAGAAATTGAAGGAATAAGCAACAAGCCATGCGCTTATAGAAGCGACCAAGTTACAAACTGTTCCCGCTGCTCCTTTCACGTCTACTGGATAAATCTGAAAAACAAAATCTAGTTTATATGTTTGATTTTTTTCTGAATTATGCGTTTATGAAAATATAATAATACTCACCTCTGATGCTACAATCCATGGTATTGATGACATGCCTGTTCCATATGATGCGAAATAAACCTGAATTTATAGATACGCCAAAAAAAAGGAGTAATTTTTGTTTTCTTTCTCTGAATGGTTAAACTAACTATGTCTTGTAATGATAATTTACCAGGACACTAATGAGAGCCAAGATAGGTGTTCTTGTTTCCCAGAAACGATTCTCCTGCAAAGTACTAATAGATTACAGACCGGTTTGATCCACTTAAAATCGAAAAATAAAGAAAGTAGAGTACGTAAGCATACCTGCAAGAAGAAAGAAATAGCTGTGGCAAGGCATCCCAAGAACGATCCAGCTGTAGAAACCTATAATTATCCAAAACAGATCAAAATAAGCGACTAATATTGGTTATTCATGCGTTTAGTTAAGACTTTTTTTTTTCTACCAGTAGGAGTGAACGTCTCCCAGATACATCCACAAGCAGTGTACCTAAAACACCTCCCAACAGCTGCAAAAATGTGTTTTGACTTATCATAAACCAAAAGTCTAGGGAGTTTTATTCATGCTTATATCTGTAAAACCTGAACTAGAGATGTCGATATGAATCCAAAGTCACTTGACACACCTGATAATCAAATGAAGTGAATACACACAATCATCGTGTTAAAAGAAAAAAAGAAAAAAAAAAAAAAAGAAGAAGAAGCAAGATCTAATACAAGAATGAGAGATTTTATTTACCGGTAGAGGTGAAAATGGAATCAGTGTAATAGCTATAACCACTATTCCCTCCAAGCTCAGGCAAAGCTATGAGAGCAACTCCAATCTGTGTAAAACAAATTATTTAAAATAATCAAGGAAATGCAAGAACATTCAATAATTTTTCTATTTTACCATATATTTGAAGAGTTATTTACAGCAAGTGACAACGCATATTTGCGCTGAAATAGCTTGAAGAAACCACGGTCTCCATCTTCTTGTTGTTTAACATGTTCTGTGTATTCCTACAATGATCATCAAATTGTTGGAAAAATGTAAATATATATAAAAGGTTATATAAGATGATTATATTGATATATACTTATAGCTTACTAATATCTCTTTTGCTTCATCTGATATATTGGATGTCGCTCCTCGCAGGCTTAGCAAAACTGTTTTGACCTCCTTTTCTCTCCCTACTTTAGCCTACCAAAAAACATTTCACCTTACATCCGATTAGCTTCTTACCCTCTATAAACCAGCTCACCAAAGATTTGGCCAATGCATTTTACGTTCATTACAGTTGATATTAGGTTTATATATGTTTAAAAGAAAAATACACGATTTGAAATATTGCATCAATATCATCTATAATTATTAACACCATTTCTATAAGATTTGGAAAAACCATATTTTGAAGGTAAACAAAACACACGAAAAGTAAAAAAAAGCGCTTACTAGCCACCGAGGAGATTCGGGTATGAAGAAAAGAAGAGGAATATTTACAAGAAAAGGAACAGCTCCTGTCCAAAAACAAAGCACACAAGAGTTAAGTTTTACATCTCTCTTTTTTTTTATCTAAATGAGAAAGTCTAAGTTTTGCATTTGATGAGAATTTTGATCTCTTCTACATACCCAAAATGGCTAAATTTCGCCAATCAACGATTGTACCAAGTGCATAAAATACTGATGAACCAACGATCGCGAATAACTGTAGAACATAAAAGAATTGTATTCTAGAAAGTTAGAAACAATAATTTTTTATTTATATACAATCTCAAGATTTTGGTTCTTTAATCTTACCTGCGAGAAGGAAGAAACAGCTCCTCTTAGGTTTCTTGGTGTTATCTCAGTCATGTAAACTGGCCCCTGTGTTTAATGATTTTTTGATTACACATTCATTACATAAGTGTTTGAACAGCTCGGATTTGCAGTTTTGCAAATGTCCGGCCACCTATTGTTTTTCAAAAAAATGTAAACCGAGCAAACATGTTGGAAGCTTACTTGAGTAAAACCAACAGTGAAACCGTAAAGAAAAACAAAAAACAATAAAGCTAATATGGATTTGTTTGTCTGATCCATTATCGAAACTTATAATCAATTTTTTTTTATTTTATGTTAAAGTCTGAAAATGTTGAGACAAAACTTTGATTTTGGCACCAATTTAGACCAATTTGGATCACTTCTCCAAGTCTCTCATTTAGGACTACTTTACCAGATATGCGCTAATTCCGACTGCGATCCCATGCAATAACCTTCCGATATCGAGCATCCAAACACCCTTTTTAAGAAGTTCAAGAAAAACAAAAATTATCAAGTATCTAAAAGAAACATTTCAACATCATTTATAAACTTAACCAAATGTCGTGTCATTATTGAAAACAACAGCAAAACTCCAAGAAAAACGCAAACCTTGGCAAATGCAATAGTGAACCAGCCGGTTAAAAAGAAAATGTTGATGATCCACATTGTCTGGTTCAAAGCGAATCACAAAGGATGATGATTCAATAACAAGGATATATCCATAATTCTATCATCAGACTTATTATAAAAAAATGAAAACTTACGTAGAGACGACCAACCAAATCTGTTAATTTCCCACAGATTAATGCTCCAAGGATTAGTCCCACCGTTAATATCGACCCAAAGAGCGAATACTGAGAACAAAAAAACGACAAACGAACTAAAAAATTAGATGAACCATAAACAAACCCGGTCGAACCAGAGTTGTAAACCGGAACAAACCGAAAGAGGAAAAATAGACTTGCATCAGCAACAGAGAGATTCAAGTCTTTCATGATACCGGACTGTGTTGGTGCCGAATATCCGGTCTGTGTGAAAGAAGTTAATTCAACATGCATTAAGATTTTTAGATCACAAAAAGTTTTAAGAATTTAACAAACCGAAATTGGGAACTCACAGCGGATCCACAGACAAAAGCGCCGCAAGAACAGACGATGAAGGCAAGAACAAAAGGTGTCGTGGAGACAATTGATATTTCAGACAGAAGTGAAGAAGAAGATGGTTTCTTAGGATAACCTAATAAGTCTTCTGTTTGAGATTCCAATAAACCGTCTTCCTCCATTTTTTTTTACCTGAGATTAATTGTGGTATGAAAATTGCATCAATAACATCACAAGAAGTGTAGATAAATCGATGTGTGTTTTTTCTTTTTAGAATTTTATCATAGAAGAAGAGATCAAAATTATTACGAACAGAGAAATCTTGAGGAAAAGCAGCTCAAACCTTTCTTTTTGACTTGATGATGATCGTTTTTCTCCCTGTTTCTTTTGGGTATGAGCACTTGGTTTTGTTTATTTTTAAATGGCACCGAATTTTATTTTAAATTATTAGATTATCACTGTACACAAATTATTATGTAATGTATCAAATTTTAATCGTTAAGAAATAACTAGGTAACAATACATCATGCATTGTTAACGATAAAAATCTGATACATTAAGTTTCCGCCGTGCATGTTGAAATAAGTTTTTTTTGTTGTATGAATGTTAAGATGTCTAAATAAGTTTTATCCAGTGATCATATATATCTCTTCTATTATCTATCACACTTATAATTTGTTCTTTCAATACTTCCGATTGTGCGCTGGACAAGAAATTTAACTTCAAATTTTGCAAATGCAGTATATATGATGAAACTTCACTTTTTTTTTTTCTTTTTACAAAAAAAAAGGGATACGAAATTATTCTACCATCTTTTTTAGAGCCATTACGTGGATCGCGTACTATTTAATTAGAATGAAGAATACATTTCATTATATAAAAATTCTAAAAAGAAAAATACTATGGGAGATAGTGATTATGAACGAAATCGTGGTTTATATAATTATATCACTAATAATTCATGTATAAACACGATTGGAAATAAATCAAAGATGATAATTTGGTAGGTGTCACAATGTTGATTAAAAAATCACCATTTTTTTAATAATCAACCAACTTTTAAGCATTATAGACAAATCATTAGGTTGGAACTAGTCATCAAACGTATAATAATTTTTTTTTTCTATAAAAAAACTCAACGCCTCTGAGTTCTCAGTTCTAAACGTAAACGTGTGCCAAAACACAAATACACAAGCATCGTAAACCACCGCTCACGTGCCAACCTCTCACTTTCTTATACTCGTACGTGTCGTGCATTTTTACAGCATTTGCCAACAAACAGCAATAAGGAGTATTATATTTAGGGATATTTATGGGCCTAATAATTACTCCTGTTTGCGCGGGATTTTATATTGGTTACTGAGATCAGAATTAGTATGTTAGAGACACAAGCCCATTGCAATTACGTGAAGCCCACAAGCCCATTACGTCTAGGGTTCTAATCTAGTCTTCTATATATACTCTTGTAATGAGAACGTTGAATGTACTTTTGGAGTTGCCTATTGTGCAGCTCCCTTCTTCATTGTGTGATTGATCTTAATCTAAATCATTACTGTTTTTGGTGACAAGCTTAAAGCTTCTTCCTTCTCTTTACTCTTTGCACAATAAAGCTCTTATGAGCTATTTCATTTCATCTCAATAAAGCTCCTTTGAGCTCAAATAGTCTTAGTTTTGCATTTCTTTAGATAGTATTGTTATAAGTTATTTCATATTTGTAACATGCATAATGTTAATTACCAAAGTTTACATTAAGCAAAAAGTCGTATTGTAATCTGAGAGCGTTGTATTGTATGAGCACGTTAATAACGAAATATACGTAAAAGGATACAAATAAGTTGTTGTAGAAAAAATGACAATCTTACAAAATCTGATAACATCTGAGTTTTGAAATTCAAAATATAAAAGGATACAAAATATCACAGAAATGTGAAGGATCAGTTAGTTAAGAAAACTCATTCAGAATCACAGTAAAAAAAAATATCTATCTGTGTTTATGGCTTAATTGGTTGTAGCTGTAGTTTTCGATTTTTTGCTGTAAAATTTAGGCTGTAGATTTTTTGTTGTGGCTGTAGATTTTAGTGCTGTAAATTTTTTATTATAAATAATTTATTATAAAATATCATAAATGTAGCATTAAAAATAAATAAAAGAGATATATAAAAGAAATATTAAAAAAATGAGATTAAGGAATGAGAATAGAGAGAATCATCACAATACTTAAATTTGTACTCTGAAAAATCTGCTCTGCAGAGCCAAAATATTTCCATATTTAAAATTATGGTTCTGAACTTAAAAAATGAAATCAAAACTTGATTGGTTTAACATTAGTGCTCTAGAAAAAATTATTGCTCCGCAGAACACTCATAGCACTTACCAATCAGGCCCCATAGCTCTTTTTTGAGTATTTTACTAGTTTCAGTCTGTAAAACTTTGTTTTATCCGTAATGTTTTTCTTGGGAAAGGTTTTTGTTAATATTTTTTAACTCTTGCTAAAACATGAACACAGTAATGTTCTTACAGAAATGTAATAAACTTTGTTTATTCACTTTTGAGGAATTTTGAGTATGTAGGATCCTCAAGAAGAGAATCAGTGGAAAAGAGATTGAATTTCTTCTAGAGATTTGCCTTTGGTCTCTGGAACAAGCTTAGCTATGAATACAAAGCCAAGGCCAGTTACCAAAGCATACATCAGAAATGTTCCTGCAATAATTTTACGTCCTCAAATCAGGAACTGAAAGAAAGAACATTTATAATTATAATTAATAATCCTGTGTATGTAATAATAATTAAAGATCACCTGTGGGACTCCATTGAAGCAAGAAGTTGAAGGAATAAGCAACAAGCCATGCGCTTATAGAAGCGACCAAGTTACAAACTGTTCCCGCTGCTCCTTTCACGTCTACTGGATAAATCTAGTAAAGAAAAACGAAGTGTATAATGAATTAATAGCTAGATTATAGTATTTGATTTGATTTCCTTTTTCTAGAATTTGTTACTCATTGAAAGTTATAATATTTACCTCTGCTGCTACGATCCATGGTATTGATGACATGCCTATTTCGGTTGATGCAAAATACACCTGATTTTTAAGATACGCAAAAAATGGAGTTATTTTGTTTTTGTTTTTGGCCATCAAATAGAGTTAATTATGTTTCTCTGATAATGTTACTATTTCTTGTAATGATAGTTTTGTAGGCTAATAACTATCGTTAAGCCAATAATTAGTTTGAAATAACTATTTGTTGTAATGATAGTTTTACCAGGACACTAATGAGAGCCAAGATAGGTGTTCCTGTTTCCCAGTAACGATTCTCCTGCAAAGTAATAGATTATGGTCCAGTTTAATCTACTTAAACAGGAGAATCAAGCTAAAATTATGGTTTGGTAAAGTAGAATAAGTAAGCATTCCTGCAAGAATAAAGAAATGGCTGTGGCAAGGCATCCCAAGAACGATCCAGCTTGAGAAACCTATAATTAATTAACCAAAACTATCTCTTAATTTCTTCGAAAAGCGATCAAAAGAACCGGGAATTTTATCCTTTCCGCTTTCAGTTAAAAGTTTTATTTTCCTTTTACCAGTAGGAGTGAACGTCTCCCAGATACATCCACAAGCAGTGTACCTAAAATAGCTCCCAACAACTGCAAAAGTGTGTTTTAAATTATCATAAACCAAAAGTCTTAAGGAGTTTTATTAGTATAAATTCTATGATCTTATATCTGTAAAACCTGAACTAGAGATGTCCAGATGAAGCCAAAGTCACTTGATACACCTGCTCATCAAATGAACTAATACAATTATTGTATTAAAAGGAAACAAAAAAAAAGAAGCAAGATCGCATAAGAAGAACGAGAGGTTTATTTACCGGTAGAGGTGAAAATGGAATCAGTGTAATAGCTATAACCACTAGCTCCTCCAAGCTCAGGCAAAGCTATAAGAATAACTCCAATCTACGTCAAAGAAAGAAAAAATAATCAAGATAATCCAAGAACATTTAATCATTAATTATTACTATCTATCGTTTTTCTGAAGCGTTATTTACAGTCAGTGAGAACGCATATTTTCTTTGAAATAGCTTGAAGAACCCGCGGTCACCATCTTGTTGCTGTTTAACATGTTCTGTGTATTCCTATAATGATCATCAAAACATGTTGAGAAATGAATATATGAAATATAAAAGCTATATAACATGATTAAGTTGATATAGATGCTTAACTAATATCTCTTTTGCTTCATCTGATATATTGGAATTCGCTCCTCGTAGGCTTAACAAAGCCGCTTTGACCTCCTTTTCTCTCCCTACTTTAGCCTACACAAAAAAATTCATCTTATTACTTCATTATTGTCAGCATTTGCTTCCGATAACCTTCTTACCCTATAAACCAACTCACAAAAGATTTGGCGGATGCCTTTTCTTGTATTTAACGAGTTAGAGAAGAAAGAAAGAGAGCAAGGTTTATATGAAATTAGGATATAGTTGTTGATATTACGTTTATATATGTTTACAAGAAAAATACACAACTTAAATCATGCATCAATATCATCATCTAAGAGTATAGTTACCATTTTCTATAGGATTTTTTATTTGAAGAACAAAAACTTGAAGGTAAACCCCACAATTTAACGTAATATATGTAAGTGCAAAAGCGCTTACTAGCCATCGAGGAGATTCGGGTATAAAGAAAAGAAGAGGAAAAATCACAAGAAAAGGAACAGCTCCTGTCCAAAGAGAAAACACAAAACCCATTACTACAGTTTACTTTCCTTTAATGCAAATGAGGAAGTCCAAGTTTTGCATTTAATTTGATGAGGATTGATCTCTTTTACAAACCTAGAATTGCTAAATTGCGCCAAGCGACGACTGTACCAAGTGCATAAAACACTGATGATCCGACGATCCCGAATAACTGTCGAACATATATTATTTATATAAGATAAATGTATTCTAGAAAGTTAGAAAAAATACATGTCTCTATGGTTTCAAGATTTTGGTTTTTTTTTTTTTTTTACCTGGGAGAAGGAAGAAACAGCACCTCTTAAGTTTCTTGGTGTGATCTCAGTCATATAAACTGGCATCTGTGATTATATGATTATTTAATTATCATTTATTACTAAAGTGTTTTAATAACTCTCCGATTTGCATTTTTGCATATACTCTACCAGTTACGATGTGGGGTGTTACCAGATATGCGCTAATTCCGACTGCGATCCCATGCAATAACCTTCCGATATCGAGCATCCAAACACCCTTTTTAAAAAGATTTAAAACCAAAAATATCAAAAATGATAAGGTATATTTCTTTTTTTGTAGGGCAAAGTGATAAGATATCTAAAAGAAACATTTCAACATCATACATATATAGACTTAACCGATGTCCTTGGCAAACAGTAAAACTCCAAGAAAAATAGCAAACCTTGGCAAATGCAATAGTGAACCAGCCGGTTAGGATGAAAATGTTGATGATCCACATCGTCTGGGTCAAAAAAGAATCTCGAGAGATGATTATAATATAACAAGGATAATTATTACAAGGATTATAAAAGGAACGGAAACTTACGTAGAAACGACCAACCAAATCTGTTAATTTCCCACAGATTAATGCTCCAAGGATTAATCCCACCGTTAATATCGATCCAAAGAGCGAATACTGAGAAAAACGTCAAACCAACAAAATTAAAAATGTTGAAATATTGGCTGAAACATATACAAATCCGATTGAACCAGAGAAACACATAACCGGAGTAAACCGAAATAAGAAAATTGAACTTGCATCAGGTACGGAGAGATTCAAGTCTTTCATGATACCAGACTGTGTAGGAGCCGAGTATCCGATCTGTGAAAAATAATTAATTCAACATGCATTAAGAGTTCAGACCACAAAAAATTTAAGAGTTTAATAAGACGAATTTAGGAACTCACAACGCATCCACATGCAAAAGCGCCGCAAGAACAGACGATGAAGGCAAGAACAAAAGGTCTCGTGGAGACACTCGATATTTCAGACACAAGTGAAGAAGAAGATAATTTATTTGGAGAAGCTAATAAGTCTTCTGTATGAGATTCTAATAAACCTTCTTCCTCCATTTTTTGTTGAACCTGATCAGATAAATTGTGGTATCAAAATTGCTTCAATAACATTTCAAGAAGTGTTGAGAAATCGAAGTCGGTTTCGTTTATCTTGTTCTTTATAATTAGATAATAACAGAAGAGCTCAAACCTTTTTCGACTTGATGATCGTTTTTCTCCCTTTTTGTTTTGGGTATGACACACTTAGTTTTGTTTCTTTTCGAACGGACACCGATTTTAATTTTAAAATATTACATTATCACTATACGGAGTAATTATTACGCAATGTATCAAGTTTTAATCGCTAAGAACTGACTAGGTAACAATACATGCATTGCTGAAGAACCGATAGATTTAATGATATATGATTGATCATTCGACAAGTTAATGACAAAGATCAACAAAATCATCTTCTTTGCACCGTATTTAAGTAAGTTATATTCAATGAACATGTCGCCTTCTATCATCCTACTTATAGTTTTTTTTTTTTTTTTTAATTATTTCTGATTGTGCATTCAAAAAATAAATTTATTTTCAAACCTTGCAGTATGTATGATGAAACACTGCAGACTCACGTACGTGACTACGTGCCCAATCTCTCACTTTCTTATACTCCTACGTGTCATGCAGATTAACAGCTTTGACAGAGTGTTTCCTTGGGCCTATTAATAAAAACTGTTTATGTGACTTTGGCACATACACCGATAAACGGGACACATCTTTTCGGAAATTGGACAAGAACAGGATTTTTTGAAATAAAAACAACAAGAACAGAAATCATGAATGATATTCATTAATTATTTCCTCTTTTTTCGATCGATTGCCCATGAGTAAAACACTTGAGGTTAATTAGGAAATTTAACTAGAAAATTGTAGAATCAGTGAAAAGAGATTGAATTTCTTCTAAAGATTTGCCTTTGGTCTCTGGAATAAGCTTGGCTATGAACACAAATCCAAGGCCAGTCACTGTGGCAAACATCAGAAATGTTCCTAGCAATAGATTTATAATCCCAAATTAGGAACTGTAATAAGACCATTGATTTTTTGTTTGTACTTAAATAATAAAGATTAACCTGTGGAGCTCCATTGAAGCAAGAAATTGAAGGAATAAGCAACGAGCCATGCGCTTATAGAGCTAACCACGTTACAAACCGTTCCCGCTGCTCCTTTCACGTCTACTGGATAAATCTAGTAAAGAAAACAAAAACATCAATTATATAGTGAAATTTAACATTATTTGGATAAACTGTGATTTATTTTTATATATAGTTTAAATTTTTGGTTATTTACCTCTGATGCTATTATCCATGGTATTGCTCCCATGCCTATTCCGTATGATCCAAAATACACCTAATTAATTTTATAATAAAAAAAACACAAAACAGAGTTATTAAAAAGTAGTTTAAATTTTATACAGTATCAGTCAGAAATCTAACCAGATTTTTATAAATGAATAAGATAGGTGAAAAGCTAAAACAAAAACTTATAGTAATAAAACCCCTCAAATAAAGATGAATCGCACTAAAACCCCTCAACTAAAACTCTAATATAAAAACCCTCAATTGAGAAATAATTAATGCATTCAACTCTCCGTTAACAATTTGTTAAAACTGAAAAGCATCGTTAAAAACAAAATAATGTGTTTTGAATCTGTCAAAAACGGCTCAAACAAAACTATCGTTCCTGAATAAAATAAAAATACATCGTTTTGTTTTTAACGATGCTTTTCATCAGTTTTAACTTTTCATCAGTTTTAATGAAATTGTTAATGCAGGGTTGAAAACATTAATTATTTCTCAGTTGAGGGTTTTATATTAGAGTTTTAGTTGAGTGATTTTAGTATGATTCATCTTTACTTGAGGGGTTTTATTACTATAAAGCCTTAAACGTAAAAGAAAAACTTTTAGTTTTGAATGGGGAACCTAAAAGTCTTGAATAGTGAACCCTAACTCCTTAAACTCTTAAACGGTCAAAACTAAACAAAATGGTCTATTTTTATCTTTTCAAAATTTTGACGTAATTACCGTAACACTAATGAGAGCCAAGATAGGTGTTCCTGTTTCCCAGCAATGGTTCTCCTGCAGAATAAGAAAACCGGAAATATTACAAAATCCAGTTTGAACAAAATAAAACCAATAACCGGTTTAGTAGAGTAGATGGAAAAGTAAGCATGCCTTCATGAAGAATGAAATAGCTGTGGCGAGACAACCCAAGAACATTCCAGCTTGAGAAACCTACAATCACTCAAGAAATTTTTCTATTCTTTCTTTTTTAAAAACTGAACAAATTTACCTAAGTATTTCGATTCGTTTACCAGTAGGAGCGTACGTCGTCCGGATACATCAATGAGCATGGTGCCAAAAACGCCTCCAAACATCTATATTTGTCTTAAAATGATCGGTAAAAGAATGTTTCGAATATTATATTTTGAAATATGTAATCATTCTCTATGATCTTAAATCAGTATAACCTGAACAACAGATATCGATATGAATCCAAAGCCACTCGATACACCTGATCATCGGATTATAAATTACCATTTAAATGACGTAATAATTAGAGTAAATACAAAAAAGACACACATACATAATCCATTGAAGAAGAATAAGGTTTTATTTACCGGTAGAGGTAAAGATAGTGTCAGTGTAAAAAGAATAACCGGTAAGACCTCCAAGTTGAGGCAAAGCTATAAGAACAACTCCAATCTGTCTAAACCAACTGGGTTAATTAAATAATCAAGAAATGTAAAAACTATGATGCTTTTAAGGTTTTTTGTAGTTTTTTTAAGAGTTACTTACGGTAAGTGAAAACGCATATTTTTGCTGAAATAGCTTGAAGAAACCATGTCCATCGATATCTTGTTGTTGCTTAACGCGTTCTGTATATTCCTGATAATCATTAAAATGTTGGGATATTAATATAAGATCGCATGATTATTCATACATATAAGAATTAGATCCTTACTAATATTTCTTCTGCTTCATCTGATACATCAGAGTTTGCTCCTCTTAGGCTTAACAAAACCGCCTCAACCTCCTTTTCCCTCCCAACTTTGGCCTATAAAACAAATTTCAGGCAAACCATAAAGAGTTTCACATAAACTCAACAATGATAAACCATTATGAATATTTATCTTATTTAATTGGTGAAATATTAAAAAAAATATATTAATTACATCAATCAAGAATATGTTTGTGTTTATTGATAAAAACATTACACTTACAGAAATTTGAAATTTTTATATGAAAATGTTATGTTTACATTTTGTAAACACACTTTTGTAGATGACCATTTGAGTGCAGTAAATTTCTGAGGCTATGGGATATGGTTTTATGATTTTCAAATGATATATATTCGACTAAAAAACTACAATATCACTATCTTTTATTTTGAAAGTAAAAACAATAATCTAACATCTAAATAAAAATGTTAATGCAAATGTGTACATCATCGAAGTGCTTACTAGCCATCTAGGAGATTCAGGGATGAAGAAAAGAAGATGCAGAACCAATAGAGAAGGTATAGATCCTGTCCACACCCAAAACATATAACCATGAGTGCATTTGGAAATGAGAAAGTTTGATTTAAAATCTATTAGAATAAAATCTTGTTAACGTACCCAAGATGGCTAAATTGCGCCAAGAGACGAATGTTCCAAGTGCATAAAAGACTGATACACCAACCCCCGCAAATAACTATAGGACATTTAAAACTTGTGTTGTAGAAACATTACTTTTTTGTATAAATAGTACTTTTCAAGATTTTGGTTCTCTTAGTTTACTTGCGTCATGGAAGAAGCAGCTCCTCGCAAGTTTCTTGGTGCTATTTCGGTGATGTAAACCGGTCCCTGTGATTAATGATTATCAGATTATATAGTTTATAACCAAAAAATTGATCTAGTGTTTCCTTCATTCATACCAAATATGAGCTAATTCCGATAGAGATCCCTTGCAAAAACCTTCCAAGATCGAGCAGCCAAACATCCTATGTTCACAAAATTCAAGAAACAAAATAACAATAAACTATATGAAAGAATGAAAATAATTTATCGACTTAAACGACGACTTTTCAATATCGGAATTTAAAAATGAAAAATAAACTCGGAAAATGGCAAACCTTGGCAAATGCAATAGCAAACCAGCCGATTATGAAGAGAATGTTTGTGATCCATATTGTCTGGTTCGATAAAAATCCCAAAAGAATGAAAGATGATCATATCCTTATATATAATTTAAAAATTCGATTTGATATTGACAAACAATCAATTTGTAAAACTATGAACTAATGCTTCTCAAGTGGAAACTTACGTAGACACGACCAACCAAATCTGTTAATTTCCCACATATTAATGCTCCAAAGATTATCCCCACCGTCATTATCGATCCATAAAGTGAATACTGAGAAGAAACGACAAAAAGAAAATAAACTAACAATTGAAAATTAGCTGAACCATTAACAAATCCGACTGAACCAGAAAAATATATAACCGGAGTAAACCGGAAGAGAAAATTGAACTTGCTTCAGCAACGGAGAGATTCAAGTCTTTCGTGATACCAGACTGTGTAGGAGCCGAATATCCGATCTGAATTAAATAAACTTACTAAATTCAACGTTTTCATGGATTCGAGAATTAAGAAAGGATTAAAAAATAATCGAAATTAAGAACTCACAATGCATCCAAAGGCAAAGGCGCCGCAAGAACCGACAGTGAAGGCAAGAACAAAAGCTCTCGTGGAGGCATTTGATATTTTAGATAAAAGTGAAGAAGATTCAGAAGGAGAAGCTAATAATGAACATTCTATTGCCATTTTCCGAAATCTGAGATTATCAATTAAAATGGCAATACAATCTTTTTTTTTTCAACATAGAATAAGTCTTGAATGAATATTTAAACTTAAAGAATTGGGTTTTAGCCTTTTAGGATCCATTTGATCTCGAGAAATCGATGTTAGGTTTGGAAGATCGTTGGTAGTGTGAAGCAAGAAATGCGGAACTGAAACACACAAATAGTGCTTCCTTTTCTTTTTCGTGTGATCACGTTTGCTTTTGTTTCTTTTCATCGGCATATAATTTTTAAAAGAATTTCATTTTCATTAAGAAACTGGCATGGTTAATAACATTGAATTATTTCACCATTTGTCCCAAAACAATATCACAATTTGGGGTTTGCAAATAAACAGTTGTGAAAAATAGTTTGTTAGCAAATACTATAACAAGAAATGTTGCTCCTATAATTCGTATATTGAGTAATGTAAAGGAGTATATGAAAGTATGAAATTTTTGTTTTGGATATCTTGCTTTTTCTGTTTTTCTGAGTAAAGTGTATACCTCATAATATATAGAAAATGCTGGAAATCCGACATAAAAATGTAAAGAAACCTATAGTGATATATAAAATAAAACAAAGGATTTGAGCTCAGGATATAACTGGAACGAGAATCCATACGTCTCGGCTAGATTTACACTAGCAACTCATTATGAACTTGAGAGAGATTACAAACTTGTTCCATTACACAATTTTGGGGATTCTCTAGGATGTAGAATCTTCAAGAGGAGAATCAATGAAAAGAGACTGAACTTCTTCTAAAGATTTTCCTTTGGTCTCTGGAACAAGCTTGGCTGTGAACACAAATCCAAGGCCCATCACTATGGCAAAGGTGATAAACGTTCCTGCAATAGTTTTATTTGCCAAATTCAAGAAGAATTTCATGTATTTATTTAAAACCCAAAAGAGTTTTTTTGTATATAGTAAGGGGCAATTCTCACATCTACCATCAAAATATTCAAGATTATAAAATATCAATTACCTGCTGAACTCCATTGAAGCAAGAAATTGAAGAAGTAAGTAACGAGCCCTGAGCTTATAGAGGTGACCAAGTTAATGATTGTTCCTGCCGCTCCTTTCACGTCTACTGGATAAATCTATAGAAGGGGAAAAAAAATAGAAAAAACATGAAACTATAAGTGAATTAACCATTTAACATGAATATTAAAAAAAATGATTAATTTACCTCTGATGCTATGATCCATGGTATCGGTCCCATGCCTAATCCATATGATCCAAAATACACCTGATTTAATAAGTATGCAAAATGAGTTTTTTACTATGGCACTTATAAAAAATAATTCTGATAAACAATTAATCCTTCTGATGGAATAACTTACCATAACACCAATAAGAGCCAAGATAGGTGTTCCTGTTTCCCAGCAATGATTCTTCTGCAGAGTAATAAAACCGGAGATATTACGATACGGTTTTTCAAAATTAAACCAAACAATACCGGTTTTAGTAAATTAGGCAGAATAGCAAACATGCCTGCAAGAAGAATGAAATGGCTGTTGCAAAACAACCCAAGAACATTCCACCTTGAGAAACCTACAATCACTCAAAAAAATTCTCCTAAAAAAACCGATCAAAATAGTCTATCGATTTCGGTTATTTAAACTTTAATTCTGTTACAAGTTTTATATTTTTATTTACCATTAAGAGCGCACGTCTTCCGGATACATCAATAAGCACGGCACCTAAAACACCTCCAAACATCTACAATAACGTGTATTTTAATTTTTAAATGATCAGTGAAATAATACATCAAATATTATAAAAACTTAGGAATTAAATGTGCTATGATTTTATATCATTAAAACCTGAACAATAGATGTCGATATGAATCCAAGGTCACTCGATACACCTGATAATTGGATAATTATTGACCGTTTAATGAAGCAATATGCAAAAATCATCTAGAAGACGAATGAAGTTTTATTTACCGGAAGCGGTGAAAATGGAGTCAGTGTAAAAAGTATAAGCATTAAGGCCTCCAAGCTGAGGCAAAGTTACAAGAACAACTCCAATCTGTGTAAAACAGTTGGTTAAATAATCAAGAAAATGCAAAACCAATAATGCTGTTAAAGGTTCTCTGATAACGTTTTTGAAGAGTTACTTACAGCAAGTGACAACGCATATTTTCGTTGAAAAATCTTAAGGAAATCACGGCCTTTGACGTCTTGTTGTTGTTCAACATGTTGTGTGTATTCCTGATGAGTGAATGTTGGGAAATTCATGTAAAAAACTATAGGTATCGATCATATGATTATTCATGCATGTATAGACTATAGTCATATATATATATATATATCATATATTAATAAATCCATACTAATATCTCTGCTGCTTCATCTGATACATCCGACTTTGCTCCTCGCAGGCTTAACAAAACCGCCTCGACCTCCTTTTCCCTCCCTACTTTAGCCTACCAACACATTTCATCTTAGTTTATTTGTTTTAAGGTCACAAAAAAAGTTTTCAGGTAGCGATAAAGATTAAAGAGTTTTCACTTTTCCCTAAGCTCACCAATGATAAAGCATTAAGCCTTTGGCTAATCCATGTTTATTGTATTTACTTACTTGGAGGACAAAGAATCTATGTTAATCAGACAGGATTGGATTTTTTTTTTTTTTTAATAACAAAGCTTTCAATAGGATAGGATTGTTTCAAACGAAAATGGTTGCACTTAAAAGAAAACACATTTTTTGAAAATTTATACATTACAAGTTTATGTTTACAATGTGTAAACACGCGATTTTCTTATAACTATTTGTAGTCCACCAATTTTACCATCTAGGGTTTGATTTTATAATTTCTGAAAGATATTTGACAGAAACACTATATTAATGTTGTTAATGGGAAGGCAGAACAAATTTACAAAATGTAAACATAAATGTTTGGCGTAAGTGCTTGTAGACTTGTAGTCCAAAGATGAAAAAAATGTTATGCGTTTAAAATTTCAAATATATATGGCGCTTACCAGCCATCTAGGAGATTCAGGGATGAAGAAAAGAAGAGGAAGAGCCATAAGACAAGGTATAGATGCTGTTTAAAGACCAAAATACAAAACCATTAGTACAATCTTTTCCCCCTTTTTAAGGAAAAGAAAAGTCCAATCTCTTTGACATACCCAAAATGGCTAAACTACGCCAAGCAAGGGCGGTTCCAAGTGCATAGAAGGCCGATATACCAACGCCCACGAATAACTTAAGAACAAAGAAAACTTATCATTGTAAGAAAATTACATTTTTTTTTTCTAATATATTCAAGATTTTGGCTCTCTTAGTTTACCTGAGACAAGGAAGAAGCAGCTCCTCTCAAATGTTTTGGAGCTATTTCGCTGATGTAAACCGGTACCTATGATTTATGATTGTCGGATTATATGATTTATTACAAAAGAATCAATACGAAACGAACCTAAAGGCTAAAACACATATATCCACATCTTTAATCTAAGTTTCAAAATATTCAAATTCATACCAAAATATGTTTAAGCAACTCTTAGTTTTATTCATACATATACATACCAAATATGAGCTAATTCCAACGGCTATCCCATGCAATAACCTTCCAAGATCGAGCAGCCAAACATCCTTTGCTCAAAAGAGAGAAAGAAAAAAAAAAAATATAACTCATAACTGAAATTCAAAATTGTAAAAAACAAAAAATGATAAGCTCAGAAAAATGGCAAACCTTGGCTAATGCAATAGCAAACCAGCCGATCAAGACGAGGATATTTGTAATCAACAATGTCTGGTAGAGTCACAAAAGATTATTATATCCATTATTGCATATAATTCAACTTGTAATGAGGACTAAATCTCCTTAACTCAAAACTTACGTATACACGACCAACCAAATCTGTTAATTTCCCGCAGATTAATGCTCCAATGATCAGTCCCACGGTCAATATCGATGCAAAAAGTGAAAACTGAATACAACGGGGACAAAAAAAAGTATAACTGGAATTAGCTAAACCAATCCGATCGAACCGAACAAGAAAACAGTTAACCGGAAATAAACCAAAATAGACCCCAAAAATAATTAAACTTGCATCAGCTATGGATAGATTCAAGTCTTTCATGATACTCGACTGCGTAGGAGCCGTATATCCAACCTGTGAGAATAATTAAAGAAAAATAACTAGCATTAAGCATGCATGAAGCCAGTTTCGATTTCGGTCGGAACAAAATAAACTGAAAATTGAGAATTAAAGAACAAAATTCGAATTTAGGAACTCACAATGCATCCAAAGGAAAAGGCACCGCAAGAACAAGCAGTGAAGGCAAGAACAAAAGGTATCGTGGAGATGTTTGATATTTCAGACAGAAATGAAGAGGATGATTTCTTAGAAGATTCTAACAATTCTTCTTTATGAGATGGTAACAAACCTTCTTCCTCCATTTCCAGAATCTGAGATTTTTTATAAGCTAAACTTGTTTCAGTTACATTACAGTCTTGGAGGAACTCAATTGCGAGAAAGCTCTATTTTTGTATCAGAATTTGTTTAGAGAAGAGATAAAATCTCAAACCTTTTTGAGTTTTGAAGATCGCTCGTCCTTGTTGGCCCAAAATTGTGTTTCGCCAACAGTTTTCGCTTTTGTTTATTTTTAATGGATATATATAAGACTGAAAATTTATTTTCAAACCAAAATAAAAATAAAATTAATAAATGGGGTCCTTGAATAAATTATTAATAAATGCATTGAAAAGAACCTTGCAATAATGTTTCCAAATTATATGGAAGAAGTTTTTAATAAATATGTTGGGGTATAAAGTTTGGTGTTAGTTTGTGTATATTGAGCGGTAAATTTCTGGAAAATGTAAGAAGACACGTAAAACTCTAAATACATCGTTTTAAAAATAGTGCGCTGTGCTTAATATATCCTTTTCTAAATAAGTTTTAGGACATGGTGGAATTCCAAAAAAATTATTGTCTTGTTGATTTCATAATGCAACCATAAGAGCATCTCCAATCCAACCCCATATTTCACCTTTATTGCTATTTTGGAGCCAATTTTGTTCCAATCCAACTCCATTTCCAATTTCAAAATTGTAAAATGTCATATTTTTTCCCAAAATGAGATTGATCCCATTTTCATCTCCATTTTAGAGTTGAAGTTTTTAATTTATATAACAGTCCTTGAAGTTTTAAATTAATTCAGTTTAAGATATATAATTAATTATTTTGATCTTTATTTTTACTCTAAAATACAAATAACACATATTTAATAAGAAATTTAATTATTTAAGCTAATAATAAATTAAAAAAAAGAACACTTTTATTAGAAATAACATCAAAAAGAAATTTATTAAAACAACTTATTACTGATTTTTAATTTAGTTTAGTTTCCGGATCCACCAATATCACTAAAATATTGTCCAAAAGAAATAGTTCGTGAGAGTTCCTTTAGAAGAAGTAGTATTTATGTTGTTATTTTTAGTCTTGTAATAATGTATTAATAATATTTTCATAATTAATTTAAATAATTATAATTAATTGTGAAAGTTTTGAAGAAAAAAAAATATATGGGGCAATTTGTAATAGATATAAATATACAATGTAAATTTAGTAATTAATAAAAAGTTTTTCAAGAAGAATATTCTAGGAATATTCTTTTTGAAGCAGAAAATGAAGCAATACATTGGAGCAAAACCCAACCTCATTTTGAGATTTCTTCATTTTTGAGCAAAATATGGGGCAATACATTGAAGATGCCCTAAGATCACTCAGACCAGGATTTGAAATGCTCGCATTTGTACACAAATGAAATCTAAGTTGTATAATCTAATTCAGTTTTGCATAGATTACTATTTGAAATTAAAATACTAAAACACCAATATTTATTATTATTCGGAAAGAAACCCTGCATAAATGGTTTCCATCCATTTGGTAGGTAGCCACAACTGATAAAAGGACACAATTCATCCATCAATCATTCATTCATTCTTTTGTCGCAAAGGCAAACAATATTTTTGCTCCTGTCTTCAATACAAAACTTTTTTAGGTTCGAATTAATTACCAAAATAAGAAAAGTGAAATTTGCAAACAAATCCTAAAGTAACGAAATTGTTTGTAAAATATATAGCTTTTTACGCATAATATACATGGTCATATTTATTCGAATGTTATATTGTCAGTTTTTAATACGATGGAGACTTGTTTTGTCATTGAAAAGTTACCTTACAAATACAGGTTGGTTTGAGTATTTTCTTTTGTAAAGTTCTCAAAAGAAAACAAACTATAACTACCAACTAGTAATTTTGTGTTTCTAAAAGAAAATAAAAAGTTAAGGCTCTGATGTAAACGTTGACGACCCAAAACACAACGCTCATCAAGTAAGTACCAACCTACCACACAGGCCCACGTCATGTGCCAACGACCGCAAAAGCACACGTGTCGACCACCACGAAGTTCACACGTGCCAACCACCACAAACATTCTTCTTCTTCGGACTCGGCATCCAGTCATCCACCGACGATCACCAGCGACAAGCGTTCTTCTATTCAACATATATTTTATGGCCCATTATATAGACTTATAGTCCAATTATTCCACGGGTGGATTATGAAATGGTTTGGGCTTTTCTTGTTACAAAGGCCCATTGTGGCTTGTAAATGTCAATCATATTCATATGACTTGCAACTTTGACCTGATGATTTCTACTACTGATATAGGGTCGCATTACAATATGCGTTTAGATTCAGTTGGGTGTATGCTCTGTTCGAAAAGTCGGCGATTTCTCCGACTAATCGGTCAAAAAATCGGATTCGGGGTAAAAACATGGTGACTTCCTAAAATCCGACTAATGAAAAAAAATCGTTTGAAATTTTAAAAATGAGAAGGGCCAAACCTTTGGCTTCCGAATTTTCTTTGGCCCAATTCCAAATTATTTAAAAAATGGGGAACAACTAAGGAATGTTCATTCTATTTAATTTTGTTTTAGCCAAAACAAGACTATAATTGATAACAATTACATGAGAAAAAAATCGATTTTGGGGATTTGTAAACCTAAACAGTAAATTTTGTTACTAATTGTAAGAGTTTTGTCCTCCAAAACTTGAAAAATGTTTAACTAATTTTGAAATATATAATTTTCATATTTATGTTTCATCTTTTATATAAAAATGTTTAATAAATTAAAAAAATGTAATAAAAATTCCTCCCCTACTAATCTCCGTTTTATTTCCGATTTTTGAAAAATCGAAAATTTTGAAGCCACTGCCCGACTAGCGCCTAACGACTTTTTGAACATTGGGTGTATGTTTAAAGTTGTATCTCTTAGATTCTCTTACAGATTTGTATGATCAGTTAAACACCATTTGACTCGTCATCTATCTGAAAGCACTATCACTCAGTTCAAATCCAAACCGCTAATGTTCACCTCAGAACTTTCACTAAAGGACTTGGGTCTTTTGTACTACTCAAGAGCAAGACTATCTGCTTCTCTCTTTTCTAAAACGGCTAAACACTAATTCTAGAGAAGTTTCTTGCATATATTCCTCTATCGATTCTGGATCCAATGTGCCAAAATCGAAAACTAACTAACCTCTTTTAACCAAGTGGTGATTTGTTATCTTGTTTTTCTTTTTCTTTTACACAATCACAGAAATAAGATATGTTATTAAAAAAAGAAGAATATATATCGATTTTGCACCAAAAAAAATATTGTGATGGTCTAATAGTTTTCACTTCAAAAGAAGTGGTCATGTTGGTATAGGTCAGAGTTCGATTCTTCATTCTTCTAACCTGTGATCGAAATGGTGTCATATTTTAGGTTCACTAGAATATTCTTTGTGTTAAAGTGGAATCACCTCTAATCATCAAAATGGCCTAATACATTAATTGTGACTTGCTCTGAAAAGAAAAAGAATCAAGGACAAAAGAGCATGGATTGATGATTGTTTAAAGAGAGCTGGCAACGCCGAGTTGCTTAGCGCCGGTGAGTTGACTTTCAGGTAATAACTCACAGATCTGAACTCAGCTTGTCCCATCATTATGACACCGTTCCTTTTTTTCTTATTAGTTATTTTCATTATCATCACTATTTTTGTAATCTTATTTCTAGTACATACTTTATTATCATTTTTTCTTATGATATGACAGGAAACCATTTTTCAAAGCTTAATGCCGGTGGAAATTTTGTCTCATATTTTTATTTAATTTCTGTTGACATTTTCGCCTGCATGCCGTATGAGATAAATGCGTCAGCTACGATATAGGATATGTAGTGCATTTCTCTATTATTTTAGTTTCACATAATTGCCTTTAAATGACAATGTAGGAAACTTTTGTTTCCATTTATCAGAAATAAATTGCAAAACTGAATTAATTTGGGACTTACTTCTTCACAGCTTATAATATTAACACAATCAAACTCATAACCATATTTCGTGTACATAACTATATGAAAACATGATGTTTTGATTGGTCTTATATGGTGATGGCCATAAGAAGTAATACTACTGCCTACCATGATCTAAGCAATCAATCAAGCGGCATAAAAAGACGTACAAAATAACGGTCTAGAGAGATGGTGGAACAGAAAGATATATGGATCACTGTACAAAGTAAAAGTGTCATTATACTTAAAAACTTCAAAATCGATACATTGCGTTTTAATTTGTACTACTTTTTATCGTTTCTAAACATTCTTAACTACCACACAGTTGTTCTTTATGTGAGCCAATCATACCTATAAATATGTACTTTATAATTCCATATACAAAGATGGCTTCGTTGTGCATAAGTCAAATAATATAAGCTGGATATAAAATACATAAAGGTGCTGACACTAATTATGTATATAATCAGAACATTGGATACGACTAAACAATTAAGACATGCATGTTTAATATATTAACATATTATTACTCGGAGATTCCTTATCATGTTGCTTCCATCATCGGATGGAGTTACATGCATGCAAGTATTGTCATATACTCATATAAATGCCACCAAAAGGCAAAAAAACAGAGAACACTTAAACATATAATTAACAAATATCAAAGGGTCAATAATGATTTGTTATAATCATACCAGGTCAAAAAGCCAAATTTATAAATTTCATGTGACGGCCGCCTCGAAAGTTGTTTCAGTCTTCAACTAAACCGTATCAAACCTACCAGGATAATTTTGTATCAAATACTTTTAAAAACCAAAGTAATTAAATTGAAAATTTTACATAATTCAACAATTCATACATACATCTTGTAAGCTGTAACCATTTTGAAACACTAGACTCAATCGAAAAAGTATACAACTCATACTCCATAGCTTTGTTTAGCCAAGCAATTGAGCACACCACTCGAGGTTCTATGGTTGAATCGTATACCTACTCTATCGAAGCTTCCTCGTATAACCCCTTTCTTTCTATCTCCTGCAAAAACTTTCACCGACAACAAGTGCTAATAGACATTGAGTCTTCTTCTAGGTCATACTCGGTGAGTTTTCAGGAGTTAAATTGGTCATCATGGACCATGGTTAAACAGTGTGCATGCAGATAAAAAAATGTTTTATTAGACATGTTTGTTGTAAACGTTATGTCATCTTTTGTAATAGACAGTATATTTTAAATTATTGGAATCTACATAACTAATAAGGCTTGGACAATCTCCAGCCTTTGACACGTGGCACTCTTTTTTTTTTTTTTTTTTCGCCTAACACCAAAACGACGTCGTTTTGGCTTTATTTTTTTTTTTTTTCGTCTTACACCAAAACGACGTCGTTTTGCGCTTTATCTTTTTTTTTTTCGTCTTACACCAAAACGACGTCGTTTTCGTATTAAAAAAAAAAAAAAAATCTAAATCAAAATTATGTGTAATGCTGTTCGTTTTGATGGGCTTGATTATTTATCGGACCTCTTCGTTTCCATGGTAGCTTTAAATGGGCTTACTGGCTAATTAGCTCATTTCATTTCCTTTTAAAAAGGATTGCAATTATTATTATCTATGAGTCTGTAGGATAATAATCAATCTATAATGATTGTTAGTATAAGGAAAATTAGAAGAACTCAACTCCAGTCGATAAATTATTGTATAAAAGAACAAAAAACATATGAAACTATTCACTATGAGTCTATATAAGATTTCACGTAAATAACAACTAAATTTTAAAACTATATGAAAAAAAACAAAATGCAAAACTTACAGAATCTAATATATTCGAGTAAAAAACAAATGATATATTCGAATCTAATGTTCTGAATAATTAAATTAAAAATATTTGGTTTAATAAACCCGCGCATTGCGCGGATTTTTTCCTAGTGAATGATATAACGTATGAAATAAAACGAAGGCTAATAGTCATAGAAATAATTATGCTTTTGTTATATGTGTGTGAAAATTAATAGTCCTGGCAGGCAGACCAATTGGAAAACAATAAATAAATAATCCACATGTATTTGTTTAGATGTACACAATATTACTCACATAGTCATACACATAATAATTAATAATCCTCTATTGGTGTCTCTCTCTTTCTCTCCATCTCTGACTATAAATGTATGTGTACTTCATGTTCATTAGCTAACTCTCTCTCTTTCCAAATACTCCAAAGAACAAAAAGCTCAAAAAAGATCAATCAATGGCATTAATGATGAAGAAAAATTCATACGAGTACACAAAGATGGAGAAAGAAGATCCACAAGAGCTAATTCACAGAAGAGCTCAATTTCTAATCCAGAAGGTTCTGGAACGAGCAGACAACAAGACAAGACAGCAGCAACAGAGGAAGAGATCATCTGGACCGTTAATTATGATTAGAGTAGTTGGGATAAAAATGAGAATTGGTAAGAAGCTAAGGAAGCTGAGGAAGAATAACAGTTATGTTTGCAACAATCTTATCTCTCGTTTCCTCAAATCGTTTAAACGATTCTTGTCCTCTTCTTCTTCTCGAACTATCTCTGATCTTCCTCCACTATTCTCTCTTCAAGTTTGATGATCTTGAGTTTTTTTTTTTGTTTAAATATTTTCTCATATAATATACAGCAATTAATACGTGTAACCTATACTTATCTATCGAATTGGATTTCGGTTTGAAGAAAAACATGATTAGATACATCATAATGATTTTTTTTTATCTATCACTATAACATATTTCTCTATAACCGAAACTAGAAATACGATTTATTATGAGGATTCCGATTGTTAGATCGATTTCATTTATTTAATGTTTCAAGATGTATATTAAAAACTACTTGATTTAGTGAAAACGTAGCATACATAACATGCATGTATATGATATCGATATGTATGTTTAATTAGGCTGGGATTAGGTTAAAGCTGATGAAAAAGGTAGGAAAATATATTATATGGGAAAAGGCCATGTTATTTTTGCTGAATATGAAAATGATGGCTTTAAGTGATATTGGCTTAACCAAATAGAGAGATAATATAATAGTCATGCCAAACTTGACTATAAATTTAAAATTTTGATGAAATATCACGGAAAGCAAAATAACAAAGCATAAAACTGTTATACAAAACATCATTTCAGTGTTGGGGTTTTAAAGAAAAATCAAACCCAATATATACTTCAAGCAAAATTTGTCCAACGTATAGGCTCTTACTCTTACTTGCAATAGGACGAATGAGTACCAATAGACATACTTGCCAAAAAACGTTTTCTATTTGGATTATGATTTATGTCACAACAAAATTTATGAATGATGAATTAAAAAGGGTTTAACCAAGGGTTAACTTGTCTACTCTACCAATTATCACCATTTTATTAAAAACCAAATATAACGGTACTTAATATAGTACTCGGTTTTCTACCGAACATTCTCTAACAAGTAACAATAGTGATTGAAAAATCACGCAGGCCTTTCGCCACTTACGAAATCGAAGAAAAAGACTCATGGTATTATCGACCTAAATTGACGGGGGAAGATACTTTAGTACGACTTTATTTTTCTTTTTTTTTTCTTTTCTAAATATAGGTGTATGTGCATTTTTTAACTCAATAAAATATAAATTTGACGTAATAAGTGTGAGAGAGAAACTGGAGAAAGCTGTAAGAGCGAACATGGCCACACAACTCATTCACCTTTCACGATCTTGTCGGTTCTTTTAAGTGTTTTGATGAACTTTCCAATTCAAAGTCATTAGCTATTTTCCGTTGACTTACTATCTTTTCTTGGTGACGTTGACCTCTAATTTCTTTCTTTGTTTTATCCTGTCATAATCTACTTTACAGTAAACTAACAAAAATGGAGCAGTTACATATAGTTTTTATAAAGTCTATAATTCATATACGCATGTTAAGATGTTACCAACCTTTAATTTAGCTTGTGGCATGTTCAAGAAAATAATAATTAGAAATGAACAGAAAATAAGAATCACGCCACGTTCTTGTAATATGAACGGAAACTTAGATAACAACTCTCACATTTTACCCAAAAAAAACTTGATAACATAATTTCTTAAACAGATCTCTTTGTCCATATTAAGAAAAAGAACATACTGTACCTCTTACTCTCAAGAAAAGACTGTCTAAGGCCCAATTAACCCTTGAGAATCCAATTCAAGACTTCGACATTTCTTCTTTTTATCATCTGACTGAAATTTTCTATTTGACTGTTCGAAATTTAAATATTTCCCGAATTTGTCAGATTCTCTATTAAATTTTATTTTCCTAAATTGTGTGTCTGGAAGAAAATTCTCTCTTTTTTAATTTGTCAACAAAGAATTTCCTTTTTTCGCCTGCAAAATTTATTCAAAAATCTAATTGATTTATTCTCCTCCGAGTAAATTTAGCAAGCAAATTGACAAAAGACTGTATCTATCTACAGTCCCATTACACTCCGCGAAATTGACGACACTGCTAAATTCCAATTCCAGTCAAACATATACAACTCAAATCTTTCTTTTTTCTCCATCAAAATTTTCAAACCTTCCCCAATCTCTCTAAGCTCATCTTCCTCAATGGGTTGCTTCAGCAGCAAACACCGGAAAACTCAAGAAGACACCACCGGAAAAGCCTCAGCTCCTTCGATCAACCCAGCACAACAAATCCACGTCGTCCATCAAGTCCCCGAGCACCGGAAACCTCAAACCCCACCGACCCAGCAACCAAAACCCACGAATCAACCAATCCACCACCAGATTTCAACACCGTCGTCGAATCCGACCTCCGTTCAAGATCCAGAGACCATATTAGGTAAACCATTCGAAGACATCCGTAAATTTTACACCTTGGGGAAAGAATTAGGTCGAGGACAGTTCGGGATCACGTATAGGTGCAAAGAGATTTCAACGGGGAACACTTACGCCTGCAAATCGATCCTCAAGAGGAAGCTAATCAGTAAGCAAGACAAGGAGGATGTGAAGAGAGAGATTCAGATAATGCAGTATTTGTCAGGGCAAGCCAACATTGTTGAGATCAAAGGAGCTTACGAGGACAGACAATCTGTGCATTTGGTGATGGAGCTGTGTGCTGGTGGTGAGCTGTTTGATAGGATCATAGCTCAGGGGCATTACTCGGAGAGAGCTGCTGCTGGAATCATTAGGTCGATTGTGAATGTTGTTCAGATTTGTCACTTCATGGGTGTTGTTCATCGAGATCTCAAGCCTGAGAATTTCTTGTTGTCGAGTAAAGAGGAAAGTGCTATGCTTAAAGCAACCGATTTTGGATTGTCTGTGTTCATTGAAGAAGGTGAGCTTACAGATTTTTGAACTTAAAGTTGGTAACTTTAAGTTCCATTGCATAGAAATCTCCTCTTTTTATATAAAGTTTAGATTTTTATACATATTCTTAGCACATTGATATTTGAATGAATCACCTTTGATAGCTTTGCGTCTAGCTTTGGTATGTCAGTGATTGGATTCCATAAGATTGTCATGAATGTTTGGTTGTTGCTTCATTTGTGAGCAAAATTTGGCACTTATGTTCGAATGTACAGAGACAAGACTAGATAGTATCAAAAATATGTGCTTTGGATTGTCTATTTATAGAGATTGTGCTCTTTATGATATTGTCAAGTGTGCCGTTGTTTGTTAGTTTGATTCTTATATTCATATGATTGATGTGGCGTTTGTGAAACTGATAATTACAGGAAAAGTTTACCGGGATATAGTAGGGAGTGCTTACTACGTTGCTCCTGAAGTATTAAAGCGAAGTTACGGGAAAGAGATTGACATTTGGAGTGCTGGTGTGATTTTGTACATTCTACTCAGCGGTGTACCTCCTTTTTGGGCAGGTAAAAGAAAAGCCTTTTTAAGCTAACGAAATTTTCTTGAATTATGCTCTTCTTGAGATTTGGTTTGTAATGTAATCAAAATGTTTGTTATATATTGTAGAGAATGAGAAGGGGATATTTGATGAGGTTATGAAAGGCGAAATTGATTTTATAACTCAGCCATGGCCTTCTATATCTGAGAGCGCCAAAGATCTTGTCAGGAAGATGCTAACAAAAGACCCCAAGAGAAGAATCACTGCTGCACAGGTTCTTGGTAAGCCACAAGAGAATGTGAATACCACTTTATTTGTTCTTGAAACTCCATAGTATACATTCTAGGCTCAATGCCGGAGCAAGAAAGCCAGTCCATTGTTTAGGTCTTAAAACAACACTGGTGAAACTTGGAGTCTTGTTCTAGTTCTTGTTCTGTCAGTTGAGTTTGTTGTCGTCTAACTAGTAATGCTTTACTAAGTTGTAGCAATCGTTATGGTTTATAGAACATCCTTGGATCAAAGGCGGAGAAGCACCAGACAAGCCTATTGACAGCGCTGTTTTATCTCGTATGAAGCAGTTCCGAGCTATGAACAAGCTTAAGAAGCTAGCTCTTAAGGTAAAAGAAGTAGCTGATTATGGAAAGTATCGATCTTTCTTACTAATTGTGCATCTTGTTTATTGTCTTGCCATCTCTCACATCCTGTAATCAATTGTGTGTTTGGTTTGCAGGTTATCGCAGAGAGTCTATCAGAAGAGGAAATCAAAGGTCTTAAAACCATGTTTGCGAACATAGATACCGACAAAAGCGGGACAATCACTTACGAAGAGCTGAAAACTGGCCTAACTAGACTTGGATCTAAACTCTCTGAAACTGAAGTTAAACAACTCATGGAAGCCGTGAGTTGATCTCTTTCAGCATCTTGACTTTTACTTTTTTTTGCATCAGAGATCTTAAGAAGGTGAAGAAGTTTGAAAAATACATAACATGATGACTTTTCAGGCTGATGTGGATGGCAATGGAACAATCGACTACTACGAGTTTATCTCTGCAACAATGCATAGATACAAACTGGATCGAGACGAGCATGTTTACAAAGCATTCCAACACTTTGATAAAGACAACAGCGGGTAAGTTTCTTCCTCCATTTTTCGTTTCAAGAATCACTCTCCATCGATGATTTCTTGTGTCATGAGATTCAAGATTTGAATGTGAGTGTCTTTGGTTTGTACTACAACAGGCACATAACGAGGGATGAGTTGGAAAGTGCAATGAAGGAATATGGAATGGGAGATGAAGCTAGCATCAAAGAAGTTATCTCCGAAGTTGATACCGACAATGTAAGTTGATACCGATAACATAAAAGCCAACACTATCAATTGTTGTATCCGTTCTTAAGCCTTGTGTGAATGAACTTTGTTACAGGATGGAAGAATAAACTTTGAGGAGTTTTGTGCGATGATGAGAAGTGGTACCACTCAGCCACAAGGGAAACTTCTTCCGTTTCATTGATCAAAAACAAAAGCCCTTTCTTACTGTGTTTGTGATCCTATGAGGTTTAGTTTAAAAGTCATTCACAAGAAGAGAGAACAGAGTTAGTTATTTACTTTATTCTTCTCTTTAAACTGAGTCATTTCTTAGCTCTTTGTAACGAATCCACTTTGTTTGCAACGTTCTTGAGAATCTCTTTAATCCTTATGAAGATCTGAAAGAGTAATTCTTATAAATTGTGCTAAAACTGATTCTGTAATCATCTCATGGTTTCAAACTTGTATATGTTCAAAATATGTTTGTCTTTCTTTCTTCTGAAACAAAAATCAATAACTAATACAAGAGAATTCCTCACTCTTCATCTTCACATTTGCTACGATTGATTTTCAGATTTGGTTGACGTTGTTAGCTTACAAAGAGAGAGAAAATCAGCCTGTTAACACAAATCATCAAGTCACTAACCATAAACACTCAACTTTTAAGTATTGCTTACTAGCCTCTTCATGTTGTTGAATTATCTTTCACATGCAAGAAAAGAGCATGAAGTTAATAAATAAATTGTAAATTTAGGTACAAAAGGTAAAGAAACTACACACCTCTAAAAGATCTACGTTCAAAAACTAAAAATTAAAGCTCTGGTAAACCATCTCACAAACAGTACCAAGACAGAGAAATACATCACGTGCTCTTGCTATTTGTAGTATAAGTATCTTTTTGGGTTGTTAGTTTTGCGTTTATCGAGAAATACGATAAAAAGTTGTAGATTGTAAAAATAAAGTGTCACATCTCAAAATTTGTACCTCCTCCGCTCTTTTGGTAATATGTAATATATAGGTCACTTGTCTATCATGGAAGTGTGTAGATGGTCAATAATTTGTAGATATAGGTGAGCACGAAGTATACTTCTCTGTTCTTGTTACGACTAAAAAGGTGAGATCCAATTTCTTGTGTTGGTGTTAACTTGGTATCAATTTGGAACTACGGTGTAGGTGACTTCACAAGTTTAGAGCTAACATACAACTCACATAAAAACCAGAGATTCATAAAACAACACAATAAAACGAATTCAAAAATTATTTCAACTATAGAAAATACAAATCACATAAAAACCAAAGATTCATAAAACAACATAATAAAAAAATACGAAAATTGTTTTAACCATAGAAAATTCAACTCACCTAAAAAATCCAAAGATTCATAAGACACAATAAAACGAACCAAAGTATCAAAAAACAACTGGAGCTCAAACAATATAGCCTCGAGCGGAACATACGACTTCCAACACAATACCTGAAACACCCCGCGAACTTGAGGCATCAAGTGATGATGGTGAACTGGTGAGGCCAGTTGTGGCAGCTCACATAGTCGGTCACCGTAATGATCTGGGTGTGGCTGCTGCTGTCGGGGTAGATTAAGGGTCTGACTGGTTTAACGCTGCGGTTGCGGTTGCGGGTGCGGGAGTTTGCGGAAGCGGGCGGTTGTGATTAGTAGCGTTATTAAGCGGTTTGTACGACTGGCATAACAATTGAAAATGGATGCGTTTGCGGGATACTTATGACTGGTTCACTTGCGGATGCAATAGCGGTTAAACAATAAATTAATAATATAAACACATTATATAATTATAAAAATATCAAAACTATATTATAATGAAAATTTTAAATTTATGGTTCAACATAATTAAAAATAATTTTTTTATAAAGAATAATATGTGTATAATACTTACGTCTATTTTTTAATTTCTATAATTTAAATAAAAAATGTGATTTTATTTTCAAAATATATATTTAATGTGAAAATTAAATTTATTTTACAATTTTATTTATTAGATATATATGTATTAGTATGAAAAGAATATTTATGAAGAGAATTTTGATTTGTAGAACTTATAAATATATAAGTATTATATGATTTTAATGAATATTGACTAAAAGTACTAATTTTTTATTTATATTGTGATTTTATTATCCAAATCTTATTTTTTAATAAATATTATTATTTATTTTCGGATTTTATATAAGTTTGTGTTTTTTTTTTTTTTAATTATCCACCCGCAACCGCAAACGCTTGCGGAAAGGAGCTTTTGATTTTCAGCGATATAGAGCGGTACAGAGTGGTATAGAGCGATTCAAAGCGGTTGTCGTGATTGTTATAAACCGCCGAAAACCGCTACGAACCGCAAACGCTGCGTTTGCGGGTCAGGCCCTAAGAGAAATGCAGAGATGTAGGTCGAAAGAGCACTGGCGGCGGTGATCCAGAGAATGACTTGAGAAGTGACGAGTGTTGATTGCACTGACTTGATCTTCTCGGCTTGGGTGAGAGATTCATCAGGCTCACTGGAAATGAGACAGTGATTCGCCACAAAGAGAAGGAAAGTCGTCTCTGCAAAAAGGCGTAGAACGTGTATTGGTCCCAAAAGCGGATATGGCCATTGGCGTCTAGACCACCTGGAATAGAGACAATGGTGGTCATGGTGCTCATGCCACCAATGAAAGTGATAAGCTTGGTGGGTTTCTCACGAGACTTCTCGAGCTTGGCCATGGGATCCTGACAAAAAAAACTCAACTGAGACAAAATGCTGGTGATGAGGATGAGAATGAAAATGAAAAGCTGGCTAACGTTAAGAGACTCAACCAAATGGCATTGCGTAGCTGAACAATAGGATGCTGTTCATAGCTGACGTCTGTGAATTGATCTCTCAATATTAATTCTCTATGTTTTTTTAAGGATCTTTATCGTTTGAAGCGAAATCGGAGTTTGTAATTTATTATGATCATATCAATTAATCGGCTTGAGAATCAACTATACATATTGATCATTAGAAGAAATAGCCTTAAATGATTAAATCAAACAAGTCACCTAACTCGTGAATCATTTACTTCAAAAATCTAAAGAAACATATATCACATTTTTTGCGAATTCATAGCTATATCACTCAAAATCATTGTTTACCTAAATCACTTACAAAACTGCACTACAAAAAAACAAAAAACAAAACTGTACAAAATAAACACAATACTATGTTGATATGAATATAAACACAAGTTCGGAATCTATCAATATCCAGAATCTGGCTGTTGCACACCAAAAAAATAAAAAACAAAGTCCAAAATCTGGTTTTTATACCGAAACTATAAAAATGATAGAAATTATAGTCTTTGAGGACTAAGTCCCAATAATAATAGTAAAGGGATAGAAAATGACCAATTTGAATATTTAAGGACCAATACTATAAAATGCTATACTGGCAACTGGCAAGACGAATAAAATCTAAAACTAAAAACAAAGACTCAAAACTTTAACAGACCAAAAACGATGGCCATCAAAAGTCAAAACCCAGCTTAAATCCTACATTTTGATGATCCTTGAAGATCATCATCTTCTCCAAAACATTCTCTTGAAAATCCCCACTCACATTAATCATCAATGGGTTGCTTTCAGAGTAAACACCTTCCACAATCCGATCTCGTCCCCGATCAAAAGCCAGGAACGATTCTGGGGATTCTGGGGAAGCCATTAGAAGACTTCAGCAAGCTTTACACAATGGGAAACGAACTGGGCAAAGGCGGCTTCGGCGTAACTTACATGTGCGAGGAGAAACTCACAGGCCACAGCTACGCCGTCAAATCCATACCCAAGAGGAAGCTAATCAGCGAAGACGACAAAAAAGCTGTCAACACTGAGATCGAGATATTGAAAGACCTCTCGGGAGTCTCCAACATCGTGCAGATAAAGGATTCTCACGAGGATAAGAATTTCGTTTACATCGTGATGGAATTGTGCTGCGGCGGTGAGTTGTTCGACAAAATCGAAGCTTTGGTCAAGTCTGATGACTACTACTCGGAGAGAGACGCTGCTGAGATCTTCAAGTCGATTGTGAACGCCGTGCAGATTTGCCACTCGGTGGATGTCGTTCATCGGGATCTCAAGCCGGAGAATTTCTTGTTCTCGAGTGAGGATAAAGCTAATGCTAAGCTCAAAGCAATCGATTTTGGTTGTTCTGTTTACATCAAAGAAGGTTAGAGAGAGCCAAAATTTGATCTTTTGAGTGAAAAATCAATCTTAAAGAAAGTTGATATTTGATCATACTAGGAAAGTTGACATTTTTAGATAGTTGTTGATTCGTTAGAGAGCCAAAAATTGATCTTTTGAGTGAAAAATCAATCTTAAGGCCTTTGATTTTCATAAATGTTTGTTTATATTTGATAAAGTTGACATTTTTAGATAGTTGTTGATTCGTTGGATTGGAATTTGAAACAATGACAGGAACGGAATTGAAGGATATAGTTCGTAGTGAATACTATGTTGCTCCTGAAGTGTTAGAGGGGAAAAGCTATGGGAAAGAGATTGATATTTGGAGTGCAGGTGCTATGTTGTACCTCTTGCTTAGTGGTGCACCACCGTTTGGGAGTGGTAAGAGCTTAAAGGTTACTAATTAGGTTAGATTTGTTCTACTTCTTGGGGGGTTTTGAATCTGTGATTTATATTGTAGATGATGAGATTAAGGAAGGGAAGCTTGATTTTGATAGACAACCATGGCCTTCTATATGTTTGAGTGCAAAAGATCTTATCAAGAAGATGCTCAACAAAGACCAAAAGAAAAGAATCTCTGCTGCAAAGGTTCTTGGTAAGCTTCTTTGTTTGAGATTCTAAAGCAATCAAATTTGAAAAGTTTGTATTAGAACAAGTGATTATTAGTGTATGGTGGGTGATGTGAACACTTCTCTTGTTCTGAGGTGAGTTTCAGGAAAGGATTCTTGAAACATATACAAGAATCAAGAATCAGCTTATAGTCCGTTGCTTAGGCCTTAGAATGACATTATGTGAATCTGTGAAGTGTTTATCTTGTTTATGGTTGTTTCTAACTAGCAATACGTGTGGTATATATGTAGAACATCCTTGGATCAAGAGTGAAGCTTCAGATAAGCCTATTGATGGCCTTGTTTTATCCCGTTTGAAGCAATTCCGAGCTATGAACAAGCTTAAGAAACTAGCTCTTAAGGTAAATGAAGTAGCTGAACTCAAATTACGAAATTTATCCTTGTTTATTACCAAACTGTGCATCTTCCCTGTGACCATCTCTCTGTGTTCTCTAATCAACTGAGAAATATTGTGATTTGTGTTTTGTGGTTTGCAGGTTATCGCAGAGGGTCTATCGGAAGAAGAAATCAAAGGACTTAAAGTCATGTTTGAGACTATGGACAGCGACAGAAGCGGGTCAATCACTTGTGAAGAACTCAAAACCGGACTGCACAGACTTGGCTCTAAGCTCTCTGAAGCTGAAGTTAAGCAACTCATGGAAGCAGTGAGTGTATGATAAACCTTCTCTTTTAAACCCTCATAATGAAGAGCAATCTCCATCGAAACACATAATGATCTATTTTATATATATACATTTTCAGGCTGATGTGGATGGAAATGGAACAATAGACTACATAGAGTTTATCTCAGCGACGATGCATAGACACAGATTGGAACGAGACGAACATTTGCACAAAGCATTCCAATACTTTGATAAAGATGGCAGCGGGTAAGTTAGTGAAGCAATCTCCATCAATCATTGCTTGTGCCAAAAGTCAAAAGAATGCTTTTGAAAAATCATCATTGTGTGAATGGCTTGTTTGTATGATAGGCACATAACTAAAGAGGAGTTGGAGATAGCCATGAAGGAGCATGGTATGGGAGATGAAGCTTGTGCCATAGAAATTATATCAGAAGTCGATAAGGATAATGTAAGTCTTCTTCCTCTATATTTCTCCCGGTTTAAACATTGAACCGGTTCTAAAATCTTGTAATATGAATTATGTGTACAGGACGGAAAAATAGACTATGAGGAATTTTGTGCGATGATGAGAAATGGAAACTTGCAGCCACATGCGAAACTTATAGTACATTGATCTCAAGAGCTTAACCGGTGAAAACCGAGGTGAGAGTTGTTGATCTTGAGAAAGTGTCTTACTGTGTTGTTAATTTGTTATATACTCCCTCCTTCTTTTTTTTAAGATGAATTTTCTAGAGTTTCACACATATTTAATGAAATGCTGATTTTCAATCATTTGTGTATAGATTTTGGTAATAAAACAACTTTTTATAAATTTAGACCAATAAAACTCTAACAAATCCAATTATTGTTTCTTGAAAATTGAAAAAGTACTTCAAAAAGCTAAAATTTTTATCTTTGTAAAACAACAAAAAATGTCCATAAAATTCATCTTAAAAAAGCAGAGGAAGTATGTAATTTTCTTGAAAAGATATCCTTTAATCATTTTCTTATAATTTTCTTGAGAAGCCTCCTTATAAACTTTGAAAAGAGTGATTCTTTTGTTTTCTGTTATTCCTTTAAATTCTGTTAAAACATTTGAAATAGTAACTAGTAATTCTCTTTCTTTTTGTATTGATAAACAGATCCATCAAACCGAGATTAGTAATTAATATAAACACAAAAACAATCCCACAAGTAAGGCGATAAACAAAAAAACAAACAAAAATAGTACAAAACGCATAAATCTCGCAACAGCAATCTCAGAAGTATCAAACGCCAACCGAGAATTGCAACTTTTATGGCATAAGCCCGTTCCACATTCGTAACAAAAATTATGTCCACACCTACAAAAAAAAAAAAAAAAAAAAAAGAAACGAAAACAGTATAAACATAATCAAATAATAAGATTATTTGCTTCAAACGAAGCTCTTAACATACCTGCATGTTATGCGGGGACATCCGAAAGAACGTTCAATCATATGGTGACACTTGCCACATTGACGCCAGCCATAAGCTTTTGCCATAAACTTCATTAGCTCTGCATCATATCGAGGATCGTAATTCTTATTATTATCAACACTAGATTTCATGTACTCGGTGCAAGATAGCATGCCATGCCATGGAACATTGCAGTGGACACAGAAGGAGCTACTGCATTTAAAGCATTTCCTAAGTCCAGATTCGCAAGAACTTGTAGAAGAAGATAGCTCGGTTTTGGACATTAGATGCGAGCAACTTGGGTATGGACAATACACTCGCTCTGTTATAGGAGTTGACACCTCTTTCAAAATCTGTTTCAACCTAAGACTCGGCTTAGCAGCCAAAATCCTGTCACATCTATCGATGGATAGCTGAGACTTGCAGAGATATTGAGGACAATTCGGTATCCTTCCTTCAAGAAGCTTCGTCTCTACATGACGTATTACACAGTTTCGGCAAAACCGATGACCGCATGTATCAACCGAAAAATTGAGGTGCGAATCAATGTCCTCCAAACAGATAACGCAAGGCTCCATGGAGGAGGTCATGTTGTCGTCGTGTAGCACTACTCTTATTTTGTTTTGATTTTCGCAGCCAAGAGAGACAGCTATAAGCTTCTTTGATCAATAAAATAGAGATGTGTTCCTACAAATGTAAAAGTGACTAGGGCTAACAATATTGTTAATGAGTAATTGTGTATCTTACGGCTGTTGGCGAGAAATGGCGGAGAAGAAGAAGAGTTGAAGTGGCGAGGGTAAAATACAATAATCATAATTATTGTTAATAATGATAATAAACTGATTACAAAATCTAAGGGTAAAATGTTAGATTTTGATTGCTATAATTTACTCATGAAAGTGATTTCAAATCTAAACAAACTCTTCCATGTCAAATCCATTGGACAAAATCTAATAAACTTGAATAACACAAGACTTTAATTGATCTATTCAATCCTTAATTGAATAACACTAGATTTCAAACTCTTTTAATGAAAAGATTTTAAATGCATGAACCAATAATACTAGATTTTCTTTCATGACATGACCTACTTTTTTTTTTTTGGTTTTAATGACATGACCTACTTTGTATGTACACCTAAACATTTTTTTACCAAAAGTTGGCGACATATGATTTTATTAATTAAATCCAGTTATACCCTTATAATTATTATTTTTTCCTTATATGAATATTCATCTTTTTTTCCTTTTATGAAGATGGAGCATGATATTGGAGATGAAACTTGTTGTACCGAGGTGAGAGTTGTTGATCTTGAGAAAGTGTCTTACTGTGTTATATATATATGTCTTCTTGTAACCAATCCATATGTAATCTTCTTGAAAAGATCCTTATCATTTTCTTATAGTTTTGAATGAGTGATTCTTTTTTATGTTTTCTTATTGGACTAAAGCTTATCTTCTTCTTTTTTTTATGTTATTACTCTAATTTCTGTTAAAATATTTGATTAGAGCGATAGTAATTAGTAGTATTCTCTTTTCTTTTTGTATTGCTAGTTAATTTTAATTAATAATAATAAAAAAAAAGATTCATCAAACCGAGATTAGTAATTAATTAATTCTTGTCTTTACTAATCTCATAAGTGAGGCGCTAAACAAAAAAAGATACAAAAGTTGTAGAAGAACAACAATTGTCATAACAACAGTGTCAAATGTATCAAGCCCCAACCCACAATTGCAACTTTCATGGAATAAGTCATGCCAATCCGATCCACAATCTGCTCCACATTCGTAACAAAATCTATGCCCACACCTAAAAAAAAAAAAAAAAAAATACATTAGGAAGAAACGAAAATTGTATAACCATAATCAAATAATAAGATTATTTGCTTCAAAAGAAGCTCTTAACCAGTTCTAAAAGAGAAAAGATACGTAACATACCTGCATGTTATGCGAGCACATCCGGAAGAACGTTCAATCATGTGGTGACACTTGACACATTGACGCCAGCCATAAGTTTTTTCCATGAACTTCATTAGCTTTGCATCATACCGAGGATCATAATTCTTCTTATCAAGACTCGATTTATTGTAATCGGTACAAGATAGCCCACTATGCCATGGAACATTACAGTGGACACAGAAGGAGCCACTGCATTTAGAGCATATCCTAAGTCCAGATTCGCAAGAACTTGTAGAAGATAGCTCGGTTTTGGACATTAGATGCGAGCAACTTGGGTATGGACAAAAAACTCTCTCTCTCATAGGAGTGAACACCTCCTTCATCCTCTGCTTATACATAAGACTCGGCTTAGCAGCCAAAATCCTGTCACATCTATCGATAGATAGCTTAGACTTGCAGCGATACTGAGGACAGTTTGGTATCGTTCCTTCAAGAAGCTTCGTCTCTATATGGCGTTTTACACAGTTTCGGCAAAACCGATGACCGCATTTATCAACTGAAAACATGAGGTGAAAATCAATGTCTTCCAAACAGATAACGCAAGGCTCCATGGAGGAGGTCATGTTGTCGTTTGTCTAGCACTACTCTTAACACTAACCACCAAACGAAACACACGATAAGAGAGATACTGATAGCTATAAGCTTCTTTGATGATTAATAAAATAAGAGATGTGATCATACAAGAGATTTGCTCTTTCTTTTATAAGCGTATGAATCCTAAAAAGAAATAGAAAACCAAAGTAAAAAGGAAATTATTAAGAGAACGAGAATTATGGAAATAGTAAAGAGAATCATCGTTATACTATTTTTATAATTTGTAATAGAAAAATATTAACAATGACATATGTCCAAAATATTAATTGAAATATGTTAAGCACTAAGCATAACACGTAAGAGAAAAAAACATCATTGTGAAGCTTTGGTATGGAGATAGCCATGAATGAGCATGGTATAGGAGATGAAGCTTTGTGCCAAAGAAATTATATCAGAAGTCGATAAAGATAATGTTTTGATATGCTTGCATGTTGCATCCTGACTTGTTCTTACAATAGTTTCCTATAAATTATAATTTATATTAAACGACTATACTTTTAAACCTTCTCATACACGTTAGCCACAAATAAAGTCAAAGTCTTCGACGATTAAGTAATGCTGCCAAAAAGAAGATTAGAAGAAAGACCAAAATACTTTTAACAGTCAAAGACCAACTTTTGGCAAAGAAAGGAGAAGACTAATCAACTTGACGACCAAGTTACTATACGTCTCCATAAAAATTGCTAAAAACTAACATTTTGACGATCTGGGTCCTCTTCTCTCCACTAATCTTTTCCAAGTTCATCTTCTTAAAACCCTAAAACCTACAAAAGTTCTCTGCAAATCAATGGGTTGCTGTGGCAGTAAAAACCTACCTCTATCAGGGAACATACTGATACTGGGGAAGCCATTTGAAGACATCAAAAAGCTTTACAGATTAGGGAAGGTACTTGGCAAAGGTAGTCTTGGGAAGACGACGACCTACATGTGCCAGGAGATTTCCACAGGCAAACGGTACGCCTGCAAATCCATACCAAAGAAGAAGATAAGCAACAAAGAAGCTGTCAAAAAAGAGATTCAGATCATGAATCAAGTTTCAGGACATGACAACATCGTGGAGATCAAGGCCGTGTACGAGGATGCAGAGTCAATACACATAGTGATGGAACTGTGCGGTGGTGGTGAGCTATCTGATAGGATCGAAGCGAATAGCTATTACTCGGAGAAGGACTCTGCTGGAATCTTGAGTTCGATTGTGAACGCTTTGCAGATTTTTCACTCGATTGGTGTGATTCATCGTGATGTCAAGCCCAAAAACTTCCTCTTCTTGAGTGAGGATGATGATGTTCTGCTCAAAGCTATCGGTTTTGGATCTTGTGTTTACATCAAAGAAGGTTCAAAAATGTTTTTGCATTAACTTCAAGCAATTAACTTTATATTAAAAACAGAGCAAGAAACTTCTAACGAACTCTTTAACCGACTCTGTTTCTGACTCTGTTTCTGGCTCTGTTTCTAACTCTGTTTCTGATACATACTCTGTTGTGTATTTCCAACAGTTACAGGAATAGAATTGAAAGGTGAAGTTGGTAGTAAACACTACGTTGCTCCTGAAGTATTACGAGGGAGAAGCTCCGGGAAAGAAATCGACATTTGGAGCGCAGGTGTTATATTGTACCAGCTACTCTGTGGAAAACAACCATTTGAGACTGGTGAGAGCTCAATCTGAAACTAAATGTCTTGATTTGTTCTTTCTTCTTGTGGGGATGGTTTACTATATATGTGATTGTATGTGTTCTGATATTGTAGAAGATGAGATTAGACAAGGAACATTTGATTTGGAGAGCCAACCATGGCCTTGTGTATCTATGAGCGCCAAAGATCTTATCAAGAAGATGCTCACCAATGATCCAAAGAAACGAATCTCTGCTTCAGATGTTCTTGGTAAGCCCCTTTGTATGTTTGTGATTCATCTACAAGAATCAAGAATCAGTAAAGGCCTTAGAAAGACATTTTGTTGAATCTTGAAGTCTTTATCTAACTAGCAAATCCTTTGAATGGCTTATAGAACATCCATGGATCAAAAGCGAAGCTGCAAATAATCATACTGATCATTTTCTTGTATCGCGTATGAAGCGATTTGGAAGTATGAGCAAGCTTACGAAGCTAGCCTTTAAGGTAAAACAAGTAGCTACACAAATTATTAACTTTTCCTACTTTATCACTATTTTTTATTGACATCTTGTGCCTGAGTTTGGACTCTGATTTGTGTGTTTGATTTGAAGGTTATCGCAGAGGGTCTAGCGGAAGAGGAAGTCAAAGATCTTAAAACACGGTTTAAGGATATGGATATTGACCAAAGCGGATCAATCACTTATGGAGAACTCAGAGCCGGATTGAGTATACCTGAAAAAGAACTCTCTATGAATGAAGCTAAGCAACTCATGGAAGCCGTGAGTGTATCAATAAAACCAACCAATCTCATTTTCTCAATAGAATCTGAAACACATTAACGATAAACTTTGTATATAGGCTGATCTTGATGGAAATGGAAGAATGGACATAGAAGAGTTTGTCTCAGCGACGATGGAGAGACAAATATTGGATAAAGATGAAAATGTTCACAAAGCATTCCAACACTTTGACAAAGACGGTAACGGGTAAGTTTAATGAAAATGAATCAATCAAAGATGTGACAATGTAGTGAGATAGAATATTTGAAACATTAATGTGAATGGCTTGTTTTGTTTATATATAATAAAGGTATATAACGAAGGATGAATTGGAGAGGGTCATGATGGAGCATGGTGTGAGAGGTGAACCTAATGCCAAAGAAATGATATCAGAAGCTGATAAAGATAATGTAAATCGCCATTTATATTTTCTCGGTTCCTTTTTTTCTTTCTCGGTTTAACATTTAACCGGCTCTGCACAGGATGGGAGACTAGACCATGAGGAATTTTGTACGATGATGAGAAGAAATAGGAAATTGCAGCCACAAGGGAAACTTCTTGGAATCCATTAATGTGCTTAAAACCTCTTGTTATATGTCTTCTTGTAAGTTGTAACCAATCCACTTATATTTGTAGTTTTCTTGAAAAGTTCCTTCATTTTCTTAAAAGAGTTGTATAGTTTAACAATGGTTTAAAAGCAGTTGAAAATATGTTAACGGATATCAATAAGACTTGTTTTTTTTGTTTACTTATCATTATTGTTGCTTACCAACAACCCACATGTTTTTGAGAAATAAAATATGAAAAATGAATAATACAAAAAGACAAATATGAATTTGTGCCAATATTTAAAGACCAAGTCAATGTTTATGAGCCAAAGTCAAACGTGAAAAGAACTTGTGATTCATCTCCTACATTATCTTTATCGATTTCATCTTCCATACAACAAAAGATACATCTTCTTCAACCAGACGAAGCAATCTCTGAAAAAATCTAATGGGTTGCTTCAGCAGTAAAAGCCTAAAACCATCAAAGAAGACCATTCTTGATAAACCATTCGAAGACATCAGAAAGTTTTACATCCTCGGGGAGAAACTCGGCAAAGGTCAGTTCGGTATAACCCACAAATGCGAGGAGAAATCTACAGGGAAGACTTACGCTTGCAAATCCATACTCAAGAAGGAGCTAAAGAGCCAAGAAGATGAAAACTCTATCAAGAGAGAGATTCGGATCATGAAGCATTTAGCTGGACAGCCAAACATCGTCGAGTTCAAGTGTGCTTACGAGGATGAAGATTCAATACATCTTGTCATGGAATATTGTGGCGGTGGAGAGTTATACGACAAGATCGAGGCTTTGTTCAAAGATCAAAGCTCTTACTCTGAGAAAGATGCTGTTGGAATCATCAGGCCGATTGTGAATGTTGTCAAGGTTTGTCATTTCATGGGTGTGATGCATTGTGATCTCAAGCCTGAGAACTTCTTGCTCTCGAGTAACGATGAGAGTGCTATGCTCAAAGCAATCGATTTTGGGTGTTCTGTTTTCATTGAAGAAGGTTAGACTTGCTCGAGATTGTATCATTTTCATTCTTTGACTGCGTTTGATAGGTTCTTGAATATTGATATTGTGTAATGTTTTGATGGATTCTATAAGATTGTCTTACCACAATATGGAAAAGTGTGCGATAACATTTGGTAAAAATTTATATCATTAAAGGTGAGGCTAGAGGTTAATATTTCATAGTTTTGGATTTGGTATGTCAACATTTTGAACTTATAAGATAGTGTTGATTCTTGAACAAGTCATAGAGATGGGATTCAAAACAGAGTTTAGGTTGTGTTTTATGTTTCAGATTGTGTTCTTTATGATTCTTGCATTAATATGATTGATATGCATTGTTTGTGTAACCAACAAATACAGGAGAAGTTCTCCGAGAAACGGTGGGAAGTGCTTACTACGTTGCTCCTGAAGTGTTAATGAACAGTTACGGGAAAGAAGCTGACATTTGGAGTGCAGGGATTATTTTGTACATCCTACTCAGCGGCAAACCTCCGTTTGTGACCGGTAAAAAACTTAAAAAGCTTTAGTTGATTAGTTTCTTGGGGGGGTTTTCTTGAAAATATTTCTGTTTGTATGTGATATTATTGTAGATACTGAGGAAGAGATGTTCCATGAGATTCAGAATGCTGAGATAGATTTCCAGACCAGTCCATGGCCTCGTATATCGCGCAGCGCGAAAGATATTGTCAAGAAGATGCTTGACAGGAACCCCAAGACACGAATCTCTGCTGCACAAGTTCTTGGTAAGCTCCTCTATATATTGTTCAAGAGCCAACACAGTGTTCTCTCTGTTTCTGTTTCTTTTAAAGTTACTGTTAGTGTTTGGGCGTTAGAATGACACTATTTGATCCTTGATTCTTGATTCTTGTTACTTGGTTCTTGATTATTGGTTCTTGGTTCTTGATTCTTGATTATTGGTTCTTGGTTCTTGAGTTCTTGGTTCTTGAGTTCTTGATTCTTGTTCTTGTTTAATAGGACATCCTTGGATCAAAGACGGAGAAGCTTCGGATAAGCCAATCGATGGAGTTGTTTTATCACGTTTGAAGGAATTTCGAGAGATGAACAGCTTCAAGAAGGTAGCTCTAAAGGTAAAACTCTTTTCCTCATTTCTCTTATCAATGAAGACATTTCGTATTCTGGCTTTTATGATATAGGTTGTGATTTTATGCTGTTTGGTTTTCAGTTTATTGCAAAGAGTCTATCAGAAGAAGAAATCAAAGGTCTCAAAACAATGTTCACCAACATAGATACAGACAAAAATGGCACAATCACTCATGAAGAACTCAAAACCGGGCTAACTAAACTTGGCTCTAAACTCTCTGAAACCGAAGTGAAACAACTCATTGAAGCAGTGAGTTATCATCATCATCGCAGTCTTGATTACTTTTTGCATCCGAGTTCTTTAAAACTTTGTAACACGAAGATACCACTTTCAGGCTGATGTGGATGGTAATGGAACAATCGACCTAGACGAGTTTATCTCAGCGACTATGCATAGATACAAATTGGATCGAGATGAGCATGTTTACAAAGCATTCCAACACTTTGACAAAGACAACAACGGGTAAGGTTTCTTTTTCTCAGGTCTATATGTCAAAATCATTTCATGTTCTTCCGAGGAGTGATGTGATAAGACTCTTGATAATAGGCACATAACGAGGGAGGAGTTGGAGATAGCATTGAAGGAGTATGGTGTGGAAGATGAAGGTAGCATCAAACAAATTATATCAGAAGTCGATACCAACAATGTAAGTTAGTCCAATCAACTTCAAAGATTAAACCGGTTTTAAAACATTGTAAAGAACTAAAGACTAATGATCTCTCTTGCAGGATGGAAGCATAAACTACGAGGAATTCGCCACAATGATGAGGAATGGCAGCTCAGAGCCACAAGTGGAAATTCTTCCGGTCAATTGATCATATGTGTTCTTGACATCTTGTGTTCATCCAAAAAAAAACTTATTACTTTATTTAAGAGTGAAACATTCATACAAACCCAAAACTGAAAATGAATAAAACACTTTTCTGCGATGAAATGAAGTATTTATGATAACGGTACATATAACTGGTTAAGCTGGTGAAATCTTAATGTCTGAAGAAGATGAAAAGAAAAAGACGGTTATCCAAAATTGAGATCTTACAAGTTACATAATACAACAGGAAGTCTCTTCATATCTTCATCTGCATCTCACATCGGCTACAAGATGGCGAATCCGAGGAGCGTACCATTTCACCTTCTCTATATGTTCTACTGTAACTTCCCAGCTACGACCTGAACCATGATAACCCCAAACAAATATAAGCTCAGGTTATATTATCTGGTATTACCCAATTCAAGAAACCCTGTAATGTCTTGATTCAGAAACACAGTTTTGGGTGGTGAAAACAATCCGGTTACTGAGAACCAAAACGGAACAACTAAAACCAGCAAGCAGACATATAGGCCTTCTAAGCTATTGTTCCAACAAGCAGATATTTAGGCCAATTTGCGTTTTTACCTTCGGCTTTAGCGATATCACTAAATGTTTTTGAGACATGCTCGGCCCAACTGCTCATATCCGAGTCCTTGACGTTTCCATGCACATGGAGTATCCCTCCCTCGGGTCTGCAATTTACATTTCCAACAGCAGAGACATTAGTGAAATCACATTGATAGGTTTCTCTACCAAGAACCAACATTATAGGAAAGTAAAAGCACCTCAATGCCTGAATAGCTGTGACCCAGCTCCCTTCGCTAGACGGGATAAGACCAAGACAGACTCTGTCAGCTACTCCCTGAGAATCAAAAGATATGATATGAAACCCGAAGTCTATTAGTCTGGTTATTTTTTGGTGCAAGCAATATGCATAATATCATCACCCGTACTTTGGGTGCAGTGATCCGGTTATCCCCTTCAAGAATGATACAACGGTCAGAAACAGAATTTGCTTCAACGTTATGTCGAAGTGCTTCAATAGCATGGGGATTCCATTCACAAGCATATACCAGCTTTGCCTTTGCCCTGCAAAGGTATAATAACAAGAATGAATTGAAGTTGCAAGAGATCTACAAGGAATTGTAAATACTTTATTTTCTCTACTTCAATTGTTTAATGGCCTACCTCACAAGGAATGGGAGAACAAAATACCCAATCCCAGCAAAAAGGTCCACGACAACTTCATTTTGGCAGGCCATGTTACCCATACGGAGCTTTTCTGAGAGATTACCCCATGAGAACATGCACTTGGTAGCATTGAAAGAGTACAAGATCCCACTTTCACGATGATCGACCCATCCATCGTCTCCCACAAGAATCTCCAGTGTACTATCCCTTGTACCGTTTGCTTCCACTCGTCCCTGTTAAGCAGACCGAGGTGAGACAAAGTGCTTACTACAATTTCACGTGAGAGTACAACTACCAACTATGAAATCTTTTAAGTGCCCCAAAGATGAAAAGATAAGAAAAACCTTCCAATCACATGAGCTGGCGAAGTTGTACAATTTACACGTAAACAAGTAAGTGAAATGTTCTAAAAGTGACATACTTGGCGTGCAAGGCGGTTGGCACTAAGCGATAGAGCAACAGCAGACCAAACTTCCTCACTTATAGAGCTCCAAGCTGGATCTTTAAAAGACGTTACAGGAAGCACAATAATATCCCCAAGCCGTTCCCATCTACCAATACAGGAAACACAAAGATAATCATCAGATGCAAGTGAAAGCAACTTTTAGTCCCGGAACATTATAAAAACAGCATTTTGGAACACTTACCTCTGTGGAAGCTCATCCAAAAGCTCCTCTGGTAGACCTTTCTGTTTAAGTATAGGCGTGATAGCTTCTTTCATTCTTTGTAGCGGGGACTTTGCAACTTTTTTGGTTTCAACAGCTACATTAGTGAGTTTTCTAGCACCAAGTTCTTTCAATAGATCCAAAGCCACTGAACTGGATAGTTCCTTTAAAGATAGACCCTTTGTGAGCTGGCTGATTAGGTGATCCTCCTCTGACCCTTCTAAGCCCTTGCCCAAAAGCTGTTTTTCATGGAAAAGTTCAGCAAACTTTTCAGTCACGGGGAAGCAGATATATAGACCTTTTTCGTGTGAATAAACCTTCCTCTCAAGGTCTAACCATCCGAAATTCTTAAGTATGTCCTTGCCACACTTTGCATACTTTCTATCTAACTGTATCACACAAGGTTGAGACAGAGAAGTCTCAGTCTTGAAGTGCGCATTGTCTTTATCCACTTCTATAGAAGCATCTTCAGGCTGAGGAGGAACATGATTTTCACTCATTGTCACTGATTGAAGCAAGTTGATTTTCACTGGTTCACTAAACTTTGTTCCAAAGGCGTAGCAAGCAGCTCCACCCCCAACTACGATAAGATCATCGCCAAGAACACTGGCTGTACTTCGGACAAACAATTCTTTGTTCATAAACTCCAATCTGACACTCCTCCACAGTCGATGCTTCAGATCTAGCATAATCAAATCTTGGCAATTTTGGGAAACAGGGCAACCTCCAATTATACCAATGATATGCTTATAGACAAACATCGAGTGGGAAAACCTGGCCTGAGGCCATTTCCCAGAAACCACTTCAAGCTTCCAAGTACAGGTTTGGACATCAAAGCTGTATAGATCATCGAGTACCTTTTCCCCATTGTACCCTCCAAACATGAATAGTTGCGAACCGTATGTAACCATATCATGTGAATGGCGCGCACATGGCCATTGACCTCGCTGTTCAACTTCTTTCCACTGAAGGTCCTTTGTATCCAAAACGTGCAAAGTTGATAATATCTTATCATTGTTAAGCCCACCAAATATGTATACTTTCGAGCCAACAGTTGCTGCTGCATGCCGATGCCTGCTCAATTCAAAGGATTTGCATTTAAAAGGAAAATTCAAGATAACAATGATCTGAAGGGATGTCAATGCAACAAGCAACAAAAACATATAATAAATCTAAGAAATGGACAGATAAATTATACCTCGGAGGAAATTCACTTCCAATGCACTTCTGTGAGCTCCATTCACACTTAGATACATCAAACATCCACACATCATTCAGAATATTCAAGGGATCAGCCCTTCCTCCAATAACAAACATGAGATCGCCAACCATTGAAGCTGAGTGGCCAAGTCGTGGTGATGGAGATTCATTGACTCCGGCCAACTTCAAAGTGCCACACGAAGGGTCAAGCAACATAGACTCATTTCTTCGAGCATGTCTTCCAAAACCTCCAAAGCCACCAAACACAATAACTTCTTTCCGGTCTGTTTTATCCATCGCACAAGCTGAATGTCCCCAAAGGTGAAGCTTTTCAACAGGCTCGCCGTTAATGGATATCGTTGAGAGCGGCATCAGATCTTGCTGCTGCAGCCCTGCCAATGATTTAGATACGGAAACTCGCTGTCACGTTTTAAAATTTGGAAATTTATCCTGCAAACCAAGTAGAGATTACTCAAATTCTCGTCCAATTCTACGCATTTTTCTGACTATCACTTAGATCTACAAGATTATACCATAGCTCAAGCAAATTACCAGGATGCAAGTCTCCGTTGCTGATACTTGAATCATGATTTGCAGCTAGACTCTCGTAGTTATCATCATCGTCCTCCACATCGTTTGCATCTGGATTCTTGAAACCGTTACTTGCCAGAGCTAGACTAAACCCATCGGTTCGCTTCTTATTAGCATCCATCTTCTCATTGGCAATGTCAACAAGGAACTTCACATACTCTGGTGAAACCATCAGCTTCTGTGTATCACCAAGAGGCACCTCCATCCGAATCGAGCACCGTATAGCTATAATTACCCTTTTGCCATCGCCGCAAGCTGTGATTCCCGATTCTCTAAACCCGGCGGAGATAGCAGTCGCCACGAGAAACTGAGCCGAGAGCAAATCCTTGCATTCCACTGCAATGATCAACGGCTCGAATCGGAAGACTAACTCGCTGGGCTGGTCAATTGGGTCAATCGGAGTTGACTGTGGAGGGAAAAGGAGAGAAATGACCGACTCCGGATCCGCTGGGTCGTGCGTGATGTAGAGCCACGTACCGCCGCGAGCTTTCTTCTTCGTTGAAGCATTTGATTGCGGTTTGGGCTGGGAAAGGATAGATATTCGACCTGAGCAGGAACTGGTGGTGAAGTACGATGGGTGATGATTGATGGTTTCGAGGAGAGGGATAATAGGCTCGTCGAGGAAACCTTTCGGAGATTTGTCAGTCACCGACGAACGAATCGACGCTAGCGTCGCAGCTTTCCTCTTCTCGAACTCCATCTCTCTCGCTCTCAGTTATCTGTAAAAACCCTAAGCGAAGGTTTCATAAACCCCTTTAGATCCGGTGACGATGGTGAGTCGTACGAAACGGTTACAACCACTGCCGTTTAGATGGATAAGGATACGGCAGCGTTTCGTGTGGAAAGGTTTTTAAGTGTTTGGAATCCGGTTTTTAGCTCGGGCATTCCGGTTTGACATGGTTGTGGTTTCAGAATTCAATTCACACTCCCTTCAAAATTGACTAAAACAAAACTAGAAAAAAATCGAAAATTAAATTAAAGTAACTGTAACATATAGCGATGTTTTTATATAGAGTTAAGGAGACCAACCATCCTTTCAAATGAGTGTTCAATTAACTTTTAAACCGAAAATTCAAAATCTTGATTAGAATAATTAATCTACTCAAAACCCCAAATGTGGTGGATGGTACATATGTTGTGACCTAACTACTTACATCAAATGGGTAGATAGTGAAGGTCTCATGACCTATCACCTATATATCCAAGACAAGTTTCTATATAAACAAGGAATATTAGCTACATTTTGCATTACCTAGAAATGGGTTTAGAGACCATTTTTCTTCAGCAAACTACTATTGCATGCATTTTCAACAAAAGGGTATACTAACTTTAGGTAACCAGAGAATGCCGAATTTGATGGACTATAACTTTCATTGCGTTTATTGTTTATAAGTACCTATGTAATATCTGTCCCGGTTTATGAGATCTTAGTTCGATTGGGATTTTTTTAATTCTCATATGAGCAAAGGATCTAAGTTAATACTGGGGCAGACTTTGCATGGGTTGCTTATAACCCTAAACCCAGTAAAGGTTTATGAACCAATAAATTCAGCATTCTTTTTGTTATATATAAATGGTGATATATACTGTGCAATAATCGATGGAAAGATTGATGGCTTTTCATATATCAGGTATACTTTCAAATTCCATTGTTGAACTTCATATTTTTGAAGTTTGGTATTTATAATAATGAATTGACTTTGTCCAAACCTTTCAATTTTTTATCATTGTACTGAAAAAGTGTTTTGGTGGTAGGAAAAAAAATGACATAACCAATCAAGTACACTAAAATTTGTTCATACAATTTTTTGTGTTCTTCAATAAACGGCTAAATAGCTGTGAATGATAAAGAACTTTCAGCAGAATATGCAATTCAAATCATGCATGTATGTAATTTACTAACTTATAAGGTATTTTGATTGGTACTACATTGCATAAAAGTACAAATATATCTGGTTAAACCAATTAACCAAATCATACCGAACCGAACCAATAATACACTAATTTCTTGTAAGATATTTCTTCTCACTGGGAGAGATTAAAAAGTCATAAGCTTGGTTGGCTCATAAACAAAGTAACTAGATATATCATATATGCATATGCCACACAAAATGAAAAAGAAAAATCAAAGATCTCATACGATCCACTACTATAACGCCACGTCAACAAAAGTGGGTCCTATCTTTACAAACTCCATGCACCAAATGTAAAACCTTATCTCCAAACCTCATCCATTACCTTCTCTTCCCTCCACTCAATTTCTCTTCTTTCCTTTCGTCTTTCTTACAATCAAAAGAACAGAGAGATAAGGCTAAAGCAAACAAGAATCTGTCTGAACAAGCCACAAAAGCAAAAAGAACAAAACTTCTCTTCTCTCTAACCAAAGATCAAGAACAATGGCTTGCTCTAATCTAACAACAATGTGGGTTTCATCAAAACCATCTCTTTCCGATTCCTCTTCCTTATCCTTCCGATCTGTTCTCAACCCACTTCCTCTCCCGAATCACAACTCCTCTCCTTCGAGATCTTCCTCTGTTTCTCCGATCCAATCCTCTCTCCGTGACCTCAGAGACAGAATCGATTCAGTCAAAAACACTCAGAAGATCACCGAAGCGATGAAGCTTGTCGCTGCGGCAAAAGTCAGGAGAGCTCAAGAAGCTGTCGTCAACGGACGGCCGTTCTCAGAAACCCTAGTGGAAGTTCTCTACAACATCAACGAACAGCTTCAAACCGATGACATCGATGTGCCCTTAACCAAGATCAGACCGGTTAAGAAAGTGGCACTCGTCGTCGTCACCGGAGACCGTGGATTGTGCGGCGGATTCAACAATTTCATCATCAAGAAAGCAGAGGCGAGGATCAAGGAGCTCAAAGGTCTAGGTCTTGATTACATAGTCATTAGCGTGGGGAAGAAGGGAAACACGTATTTCCTCCGCCGTCCGTACATCCCCGTCGACAAATTCCTCGAAGCCGGAACTTTGCCGACGGCGAAAGAAGCTCAAGCTGTGGCCGATGATGTCTTCTCTCTGTTTATCAGCGAGGAGGTCGACAAAGTCGAGCTCTTGTACACAAAGTTTGTGTCTTTGGTCAAATCAGAACCCGTGATCCACACGCTACTACCTCTGTCGCCTAAAGGAGAGATCTGTGACATCAATGGGAACTGTGTGGATGCTGCGGAAGACGAATTGTTCAGGTTGACGACGAAAGAAGGGAAATTGACTGTTGAGAGAGAGACTTTTAGGACACCAACCGCTGATTTCTCGCCGATCTTGCAGTTCGAGCAAGATCCTGTTCAGATTCTTGATGCTTTGTTGCCTCTGTATCTTAACAGTCAGATTCTTAGGGCTTTACAGGAGTCGTTGGCGAGTGAGCTCGCAGCTAGAATGAGTGCAATGAGTAGTGCTTCTGATAATGCATCGGATCTTAAGAAATCGCTCTCCATGGTGTATAACAGAAAGCGTCAAGCTAAGATTACTGGTGAGATTCTTGAGATTGTTGCTGGAGCTAATGCTGCACAGGGTTGATTTGCTTGGAACCTCTTTGATATTTGAGTAAAACTCTTTTTTTATCTTTCGTCTTCGTTTGTATAATCTATAATTGTCTAGAACTCTTTATGAGCTTTTTTATAATCATGCAATTACAAACATAATGCGGTTGTACTTATTTTGGCCTTTCATTGGATAAATGATATAAATCTTCGTTGGAGATTTGTGGATGATGAGCTTTTTTTTGTACGATCCTTTGAAGGAATAAGATTTGTTTTTGTGAGCAATTAGTTGAATAGTCCTATTCGTTTGTTGCTGTGAAGAATATTAGATTGAATCATAGTTTCATCACTAAGACACTAAGTTTATGGGTAATAAAAATCCTAAATGTTTTATGCAGACTTGATTTGTTTGTGTTTGATGACCATTGAATGAATGAGTTTGTGTTGCTATTAATCTCATCTATTCACAGCAAAATCCTAAACCTTATATGAAGATCCGTTTATTGCATAGATAAACTAATCACCCGTAACTATTGAAAAAATTAGACATACACAAGAAAAAAGTATTCATTTTTTGCTAAATCAAAACCATGAGTCAAATCAGTTGAATGTTGTAGATTAGTTGGAAGGTTAGAATCGGCAAATCACGAACTTTACTACTTTAGTATTCCCCAACAAACTCATAACCCAAAATTGTGAATGCTCGTATAGAATTATAACCTATACAAGACTTAGTCGGAGGAGTTTCAACGGAGACTGTCATAAAATCACAATAACTTTTAGGTCAAAACAATATCAGTTTGGAGAGAAGAAAACCACACACATGTAGACTTCTTTTCGATTGCTTGAGGTTAATTTAGATTAACTTGCCTGCTAACCAAGATCGGTCTGTACAAACCAAATTTTATAAAGATAAAATCATGGATGCAAACCGAGAAAATTAGGACCAGGTTGGGTAAGCATGGCATGCTTTAAGCCCTTGTAACATTCTTACCTTAAATTTGTAAGAGAATTGCAAAATATCTCCCTCTAGCTAAAACGAGAAATGGTAGTAGAAAGAAGAAACATCAGGTCATGCAGCACTAAGAGCACCAAAAACAGTCGATGAACTCAAAGAGGACATTCTAGAAATTAAAAACCTCCAAAGATTATATGAATATTTTCAAATGTTGGGTGAATTTGGTGTTTGATATACAATTTTCTCATTTTCTTTCATTCGTTTCAGTTGGAAATGATCAACGGCTACCTACAGAAAGTAGCCATTCCTCAGTTTTTCACCCCTTGCTTCTACACTTGTAATGGAGTTCATGATTCATTGGGTTCATGAGTAGTGAGTACTATAGGAATCTCATTGCCAAAAAAAATTCTATCCTTCCTACGGATCATATGCTTTGGGCCAAGCCTTTTGACATTTGGAGAATAGATGCATATCAAGTCAGACAACTCTTGAAAGTTTTGCAACAGGCCAGGCTCACCATGCACTTGAAAGCATGTCATGTTTTAAGCCTAGTAACATACTAACATTCTTACCCTTATAAAAAAAAATTATTTTTACTTAAAGCTCTAACACCTACTAGCAGTTTTTATCCATGTTCCTATTTTTTTTTTTTTTTTCAGTTTGGGGTAGTTTCTTATGGTATAAACTTTTGATGATGCGCATTGAAATACCAGCCGTGCATTGAAAGAACGAAAAGACACTTCGCGAAACCTACAAAGGATCAAGAGTTCAAGACAGCTAACAAATCGACTGCCTAAATTAAAATATATATTTTTACCCCACAATTCCTTACACCTTACAGCTAATATTTAGTTACATCAAAGCTCTAGAAGTCTGTAGATAGTGATACTAATCAAAGATTGGTGTAGCAAAACTCTTCGATCAAAAATGTTTAAACTAAAAAATTAGAGTTATCGGATTAGACAAACGACTAGTCAATGGATTTTAATTTAATGGCTTGTTATTGATTGTTTTGTGTAAACCGAGTTGGTACAATACAAGTTTACAACCAAGATTTTAAGCTAAAGAAGCAACGACACTTGTCATCGCATGTTGGTGAATAATGCGTAAAACAACTATTCTTTAAAATATTATGCAGTTTTATCGATCAAAAAAAGTTTATGCAGATTTGTTGTGGTAACTTAAAATGCTATAACAAATCAGTTGGGATCAATGGTTTTTTTTTTGCTAAAGGGATGGAATTTCTAGTTGTTATCCCTTTTTATGTCATGATTCGAGCATTGGCTTGTGTGTATTTGCTTATTTTGTTCCGATTGCGTTTTAGTTTTAGTTTTTACTAATCCATATTAGCTTTTTATCTATCAAATTTTCCAATAAAAACTGCTTATGTCATCATTTCAATCGTAGGTCAAGATAAGGTCTTGTTACGGTTGATTATAAAAATAGATACGTGAATATGTGTGCCTAATCTTTTTGCTCGTTTACCGGAGTAATTAAGAGTGAAGCTTGTGTTGGTGAGAAGGAGTGAAGACTTAAGAGAAAGGGATAAGGGTTAACTTACTGAGCGTAAGTGTGTGTACTGTGTAGAGTGTTGTGTCCACATAATTCTCCACCACCCACCTTTTAGTTTAATCTCGATTTCAAATTTAATATTGTCTAAACGTAGCCCCATCTATCTCTACACACACACATTTTTATAGCTTTAAACATAGCATAATGCATGTTAGTGACCAAAAACAAGTTTGAATATATGAGATGGTTATGGTTATTGCGGTAAAATGAAACGACTGCATAACATGGTCATGATTAAAAAAAAAAAGAAACTAGAGTTTAATGTATTTTGCTGCTCCACAAGTATTTACAATTTTGTTTCTTTTCGGTTGTTTATGTGCGGCTGGTTTATATTTGCACTAAAACATTATATGAACGAAAAAAAACCTTGTATGATAAACTGTTTCAATTATTGTAAACTGCTTTCAGTATATAGAATGAATAAAATTAAAAAATTGATCATTAAGTTTTATCACTCAATAGTTTGGCATCACTACGTGATTGCCCCAACTGTAAACTGTAATCGATTACATCAAACGAATTGTTTCAATCGTTGTAATTATTCAAAAATGAAAAACAAATTAATCTAAATCTTCATCTATGGAAACTCATGTGTATACAGTTTTGTTTTTCTCCAGTGCCATTTTAATTTTGTCCAATCATCTATATGATGTTCTTTGTAAACATTATTGCATTTAAAATATAGTTTGTCGTTACCTTTGTTTTTATGATAATATTTTGCTGTTAATTTATTTTTCGTATTTGCTCTTATTTTCTTAGATGACTTTTTCTTAGTTGACAAAAAAAGAACAGATTCTTTGTCTTGACATTTTTGTACTAGTTTTGTGTACCTATGGGAGTCTTTCACTATTTCGTTCTTAGGGAGTGAGGACAAGACGTAACTTAGATTCTAGTTGCAACGATGCTGTTTCGTATTCTTATGTCAATAATTAAAGAAGCTAAAATACAAATATGATTTTGTATATGGACTGTATTATTATTATTTTGACAAAGGTATATCAGCTGTATTTTATATCCCTTAATTCATAACTCTATTTGAAATTTTGGATTATGCAATCACAAATGCAAAATATCACATGTTCTTGAAATTTCGAATCTTTAAGAAGCTAGAACTCGTTTGCCTCCTAGAAAACAAAATTTTCTCCAACCTAATTCAGAGTCTATGAGCTTAATTAGAACAAGATATATAGGTTTGTTTTTGTTTAGACTGAAAAATAAATAAGTTTTTCTAGGAGGCAAACGAAATATCAGTGGCGGAGTTAAAAACAAAATTCACAGGGGTCAAATCATATATTACATGAGTTTTTTTTTTTTTTTTTTTTTTTTTTTTTTGACGTCATATTACATGAGTTAAGTAGCTAATATTGCAACATTTCATCAGATTTTTAAGTTAAAATACATGTAATTTTTTTTTATCAACATTTGACATGGGTCAACACGTCTCCAAGGGCTGGCTCCGCAACTGAAACGAATGCTTTTTGAAGAGAAAACAAACTTAGCGAAAATATCCTCTAAGAAGCTAATACTGAATGTCAAGTTATAGGAACAACCGAACAAGTGAGTTTTTGTTGGACATGTCTGTCTACATTGTATTTGTATGTTCGTATCTGCATTTGAACATGCATGCGCAAATCAAATGGTTTACTATAGAGCGTCACCGAGAACACAAAACGTTACCTTCTTGGTAAAGGAATCTAAGATCGGTGAAATTTTATTTTGCTAACTTGGTTTGCCACTTGTCTGTCCACTGTTCATTTTTATAAATCCATAAATATGCGTAATTTTAGATTTCATAATGTTTGGGCACCGTATTTTTTGTTTATAAATTCTTATGGTGTGATGTTTAATCTGTTAGGTTTTATTCAACTCAACCAAAACTGTCCATTATTGTGTTGGCGATAAGATTGTTTTTTGTTTTATCAAAAAGGATAAGATTGTTTTTTGTATTACACTCTTACAGCAAATAAAATGAAGAATCTAATTATCAAATATAGTAGAGATAGTACGTACAATTGAATGCAAGAAGTGATCTTTCTCTCTCTCTCTCTTTTTCTTTTGGATAAGATGGTAAGTAAAACTCTAATCAGGTAACATCATTAAAGGCGCTTTCGAGTTAAATTTAATTTCGTCCTCTTGTTTTTGGATAGCATTTATTTTTGTCCTAATTCTTTTAAATTAACCGGGAAAAGAAATTTAAAAAGTAAATAATTTCACATAAAAGCAAGTCTTTTCAGATAGTACAATTTTTTGTCTTATTGTATGAATCAGACTCTGTCAATGATTTGGCAGGTCTCAGTAGAAAATAGTACCAAAGGCTACTCGTGTAAGTTGTAATGCAATTGCAAAACTGTGGATTTATTTCATATTTAAAGAAGCATTTAGAGTCCACAGTACAAATTATTGCAAAAACAAATAAAAACAAAAAATAGTACAAAATTATTACACCTTTGGAGTTTTCTGAAACCTCTGTCTCTCTTAGAGTCTCTTGTTATCTTTGAAGCTTTATACATATACATGACTTGTCTCTCTCTTTCATTTGCCAACAAAGAGAGATGGTTTAATGTTTTATTTTTGGTGATAATTATCTCTTCTTTCACATTCTTACATATATTCTCACTTGACTAAAAAAAAAACAAAATAAACACTTGGAAAAGCAAGAGAATTTGCATCAGTAGTAGAATAATTTCTTTCTTAGTTCTACTTATTAGCTGGTGATTTGATCTCTCTATGGATTCAGGAGAAAGAAGAAGCCAATTTATTGGCAGTAGGGTTCCTTCAATTGAAATAGAAGGGGAAGAAGAGTTTCAAGAAGAAGATGTGTGGTCTGTTTTGAGAGAAGAAGAAACTCTAGGCCATGGAATGAAAATACCCAAAAGTCATTTCTCTTCCTCATCTACTTCTTCTTCATCTTCACCATGGCACATTCGTAGAAGCAAGGAGGTCTCAGGGGCAAAACAGTCATCTGCACCCATGAATGTTCCTGACTGGTCCAAGGTTTATGGTAACACAAAGAGCAGCCAAAGTAGTCATTTGCATTCTCACGTAGACGATGACGACAATGATGATGGTTGCATGATTCCTCCACATGAATGGGTTGCAAGAAAGCTAGCAAGAACACAGATCTCATCCTTCTCTATGTGTGAAGGAATTGGAAGAACACTCAAAGGAAGAGATCTAAGCAAAGTGAGGAATGCTGTTTTGACGAAAACTGGATTCTTGGAGTAAGTAGGATATAATATCTCATCATCACTATCATCATCATTTCATCATCCATGTGCATGGAGCATGAATTCCATAACTCTTGTTTAACATTATCATCATGAAAAACTCAACTTTATGGTATCCACATCATCATCATTATCAATGTCATTGTCGTCATCATCATGTGGGGATCACTATACCAAGAGTTTTTTTCTTTGTTAAGCTTTGTTTTAGTTTAATTATTATTATTTTCAGTGTGTTATTTAGAGTAGATAAGTATCATAGTGATGATGATGACTTGTCAGCCCCATGCATGGGCCCCTTTTATTTCCTTCTGTTGTTTTTTTTTGTTTTGTTTTTTAATCCTCTTTGAAGTTTGTATGATCTTTAAATTAGAGAGTAGCTAGAGAGGGCATATGCTCTAGAACCTTTAATTGGAACTTCTTTGAGTTCTTCACCATTTTTGGTGAAAGTTTTTTGTCTTTTTGCTATCAATGTTATATATCCTTTTAGTTAACATTAAAGTTGTTGTAGCTATGTCTATCTTCTGGACACGTACTTTGTTAATTTGTGAACATCTACTATCAAATAGTCACTAAACTATTAAAGTCCAAATCTCGTGACTAAACAGATTAAATAGTTTGTCAGTTTCATGCAAAAAACAACGACAATGCCGACTTTACGACTCTGAAGACGTTTTCAACTACATACAACAATCCATCTCCGATTATAAATACTAAGGAATAGTCTCCTTTAGATAAACAATCTCTTTATATATAAGATTCTCTCATTCATCAAAGGTATATATACTTTATAGTTTTTAAGGATTGAATGCATGATTTTCTTTTGAAGTCTTTGATGAATACTTTGGAATACTTTTTTCGTTTCATCAATAACTAAAAGAATTCAATAGCGGTGAATGATTTGTAGAACAAAAAGCGATGGACGCGTATGCAGTAGATGAATCAATCTAACACGAAAACATCAACTACATATAAAGGCCCAGACGAAATATTAAAACCCATATGAAGGCCCACCAAAAGCCCATAAAACTCAGGAATCTCTAATCCGACGGATCGTTCTGACGTAAGACAAGCGTCGTAATTAAAAAAGTTAAAGTGATAATAAAAATTAATAAATTAAAGTAAGTAAACATCAATTAACAAGTTTCGGTGCCGTGCAGGAAACAATCACTAAACCCTAAATCCATCATCGATTCCTTTAAATATTCGCTTCCTTCCTTAATATTTTTGATCCTTTTACTCTTTTCTCAATCAATTCCTATTTTATTTTTGTTCTGATCATCGAACCCTAGTTTCTTACGATCATCGATTCTTTGGGTATGCTATTTTTTTCTCTCTCTTTATCTTCTCAATTCGAGTAGCCGGGTTTCTGGGTTTTTATCCCGATTTCGCCGAACAGCAAAAAGGTTTTGTTTTTAACCTAATTATCGTTTGATCATCGCAGATAACCGATCGAATCGCCATGGCTAAGAACTCCTTCAAACTTTCTAATCCTCTCGGTTAGTTCCTTCAACCTTTTTTTTCCCGAGGTTTTGATTGATCGATGTCACTCGATGAGCGTTTAGTGAATAATTGTTCGCTGTGATTGCTTCTTTACGTTTTGTTTTCATTCGATTTTAGTTGCTTTAGGTTTTGATTCGTCTGATTAAGAGTATGTTGGTTCTGATTCGATCTTCGATTTTGGTTTCTCTGGAAAGATTTAGACCTAATTAATTATTTTATCTGAAATTTCACCGGAAGTTACAATAATACAAAGAACTTGATCACATATCTAAAGCAACAAAAACGAATGAAATCGAACTTGAATACAAAGTTGCTTGAATACAGCGATTTGATGTGTTTATGTAATTGAAACTTTATGGTTTTTTGTTTTTGTATCTCAGAGATGAGAATGGCTGAATCTTCTCGTATCAGAGAGAAATACCCAGAGAGAGTTCCGGTATGTTCTTTGAACTTTCTTTTTTTTACCGTACAAAATTGATTTGTCATGTATATTATATAGTTTCTAATTTAGAAACTGAACTACAGGTGATTGTGGAAAAAGCTGGACAGAGTGATGTTCCTGACATTGACAAGAAGAAGTAAGTTTAATGATACATATAATCTCTCTTGTTGGATCCTAAATTAGCTTCGTTTCTTTAACATTCTTTTTTTGGTTTGATGTTTCTTATTTTAGGTATCTTGTACCAGCTGATCTAACCATTGGACAGTTTGTGTACGTTGTGAGGAAAAGAATCAAGCTCGGAGCTGAAAAAGCCATCTTTGTCTTTGTCAAGAACACATTACCCCCAACCGGTAAAGGATCAAATACATTTTTTTAGACTTTTTGAAATCTTTTACTACTATGATTGTCCTGTTTTTGATTTGGTTTCTTTGTTCTTTCTTCTTATGAAACAGCTGCATTGATGTCTTCAATCTATGAAGAACACAAGGACGAAGATGGGTTTCTCTACATGACGTACAGTGGAGAGAACACATTCGGATCTGCCTGTTGAGTAGCTCTGCTTCCACAGTTTGATCTGATTGTACATTCAGTTTTTTTCACTAGCTTTTCGTCCGATTCGTCGACTTTAATAATGTCTTTTGCTCTCTTTTCTCACTGGATTTGAAGGAAGATTCCATCTTCAATCTTCGGTTTGCTTTGATAATTGATTTGACTCTCTCTATTTACATTGTTTTTGTTTCCTCTGCTTCATGTAATTGTCATTAACAAACCTATATCATATTGAAAAAACCAAAAAAAGCTTTATCATATCTTTGTGGACGAAATCCTTGATAAAGCCCACTGGATCAAAGTAATGATATTTTAAACTGACAGCCAAACCAAAAATCTAAACCGATAGAAACAAACATGTTGAGCCGAGAGAGTGAGGGCAAAATGGGGAATTTGATATTTTGAACTCACCACCATTGTTGTCGAAGGGAATGAGCTGAATCTGATGGGCCTAGTTTGTAGATGGTTATGATACCACCAGATACGAGAGAGAGCAAGATTACGAATCAAACCGGTTCAAGGCTAGACCAGAAAAGGAATTGATTTAAAAGTCCGGTTAAGTTAGTTCGTAATAGGATTACGAATCAAACCGGTTCAAGGCCTAACCAGAAAAGGAATTGATTTACAATTCCGGTTAAGTTAGTTCGTTAGTCTTCTTTGTGTGCTGTTAGTATAAACGACAAAAGTCGGTTTCAATTTGTAACAGAGAAACAGGGGGGAAAACAAGTGAGAGAAACAAGTTTAGAGAGAGAGAGCGAGAGAGCTTGAACAAGCTTGCATCGATTCTCTTCGATCTCGCAGAAATCTCCGTTTCTCGCTTTCGTTTTCCTCAATCGATCGATCGGCAAGTGAGAGAGTGAGAGCTCGAAGCTCTGTAACGATTCTCTTCAGACTTGGTAGAAATCTCCGTGTCTCGATCCCGTTTCTTCGTCAATCGAGGAGGCATTGAAGTTGCTCGTACCGATTCTTCTTCAGGATCACGTCGAAATCTGTTTCTCTGCTTTCGTTTCTGCAACTGAGAGTGAGTAATCGGAAGATCCTTGCGTTATAATCCTCGTTACAATGTATCTCTCTCTCTCTCGTTAGATTCTGGGTCCCTAATTATTCGATTTCTCTTGCCTAACCTCACTGTGTTTGGATATTTTAGAGTTTCTCTCCATCAATTTCAAACCGGCAAGGATGACGATAGGATCTACGGTCTCACAAGGTATCTCTTCTTCCCGAGAGAGATCATAAATTGAGGAATTGATTGGATCTCATTAGCAGAGAAATGTTGATTTTGGTTTATACCTCTGTGAGATTATTCATTTCTGTGGATTGAGGGATAAACTAGTTGAGTTTTGGTGTGCATTTGTTTTGATTTGCAACGCACGCATGCATGGATTAAGTAATAAGCTCTCTGTATCTTGATTCTTGACCAAACCAGAAACAAGCGATATTGATCAGCATCTAACTCAAATTCTGAAGCGTTTTGAGAGCTTCAAATTGGCATATCTTAAGGAGGATTATGGTGCATGCACTGAGGTGTTGGCTCAAGTCAACGAGATTCTGACTGACAAGACATCCAAAAGAGTAAGAGAGATGACTAAGAGTCTTGATGATAAAGAGCAGAAATCTGAAGAGAAAAAGGATACTCAAGAGTCTGAAAAAGATCAAAAGCCTGAAGATTTTAAGGACTTAGTCATGGACTGGAAGCATCTCGATGAATACCCATATGGTTGGATAGAACCATTGAAAGATTACAAGAGAAAGAAGCTGCCAGAGGAAGCAAAGAAGGATAAGCTTGAAGAAGACTAGCATGAGGAGGAGCAGGTTGGTGGAGATGTTGAAGAAAAGGAGGAGCCAGCGAATTCCTAATCCTAGTGTTAGAGTAAGTAGACTCACATTTGTTTGTATAAGCTTTTTTTTATAATATCATCCATGTCTAATCATAAATTTTGTTTCTGTGTTTCTAGAATCTCTGCAGTTTGGAACAGCTAGCATGATTTTCAAGACGAAGAAAAGTGAATGATTTCTCGGTTTGATATACTTTTGAGTGGACATAATGAGTAACAGGAAACATGTTTTGTAGATAAAGAAAGGCTTATATCTTTCGGGGTAGACATAATGAATAACAGGAAGCCTCTTGTAAGTAAGGAAAGAGGAATGACCATTCTGGAACGGCTTCACTTTGTGGTTTTGTAGTGGTTCACTTGTAAGTATCATCCTATGAATCACTTGAATTAGTAACATGGCTATTACTACATCCTTATTGTCTCCTAAAGCTAATCTCAGTGTTTAACGCATTTTAATTTCCTTGTCAATGCAAAGCAAAAAGGGTTGTGGATAGGTATGTGTCCCTGTTGTGTTGAGTAACATATCTCATGGAAGACAGAGAAGAGCCTTTTATGAATATAGATGCATCAGTTTTGGGATCTTTCTATTTTTAGTTTCAAGACAGTATAGTAGATGAAAACTACTGTATGGTCACTGTAACTTAGACACAGTTAGAGACTTGAAGCGGATGAGGGTTAGAGACTTGAGAGGCAAACACAATTCATTAATTAGTTTTGTAGAAATCAACAGAGCAAAGTGTTCTGAAACAGTGAAGTAAGATAAAGTGTCTCTGGTTTTGGCTACAAAAGCCTTTCAATTTATTTGATGAAGAAAGATTATAACCTTTCACAGTCATATGGTAAACAGAATAAATATGATAATTGAATAATCATCACCACCAAACTATATGATAAAAAAAACTAGTAGAGGTAATGAGGTGGTGGTTCTGTACACACAGAGAGAAACAGGTCACCAAACATCTCAATCTTTACCACTTTCTTAGCATCTTTGTCAAAGATAGACTTCCACAATTCCAAGATCCTAGACTCCATGGCTTCCCTCACAAACCCATTCGCCTCTGAAACATGTTTCCCGGGATTCAACTCCTCAGCTACCTTCTTCAGGGCATGTTCGATTCTACACGTGTACTCTCGGCCCTTTAAAGTTAAACCGTATTCTCTATCTCTGAGATTCATAACAAGTTTATCCACATCTCTGATTCCAGTTTCAAAACTCTTCCAAGTCCCATTGATCAGTCTCCATTGGACCGATTCTTCCCCATCTGTCCGGTATACTCCCTTCTTCGGTATCATGTGTTCTGAGTAGACATAATGAATAACACAAAGCAGCCTTTCCACCACAGGACTATCAGGGCTCCGGTCTTTTCTTGCATCTCCCCATAACTTATAGCAGAACCATAACATACTACGGATATCGTCACACAACAAGAACATAGACTCAGCTACAAAGAGACACATCTCAGCTCCTAGTTTCACAATCTCCTCTTTCAGCAAATCCTTTGCAAAATCTTTACCTAGAATGTAAGGATGAGATATTCGGGGCAGTGCCATCATCCCGTTATGGATCTCGTTGTCCAAAAGTGGCGTGAACATGTCGCTAAGAATCTTTCTCCTCATCACTTTGGATAGTGCTTCGCCTTCATCAAAGAGCGACCTCCAAATGTCAGAGGCTTTAGACTCTATCCTCTCCCTCTCAAACCCATTCATCGCCTCCGAAACTGAGACATCCTTCAGTTTATCCTCTAGCTTCTTCAGCACGTTACTCCTGTATTGTGCGATAGCTGACGATAACACTCGGTCATCGTAAGAGTAATCGTTTCTTTCAAGAACCGAAACAAGGAGGTACAAAACTACGACCCCGTCTGTAAATTCTTTCCAAGCTTTACTGACCAATCCCCACCGGACCGAGTTTCCGTCGTCGTGAAACACACCGTTCTTTGGTTTGATGTAATCTGAGTAGACATGGTGCATAACAAGAAGCAGCTTCTGTATTTCAGGGGTTTGCTTGGAAGTCAAGCATCTCCATAACGTAGCGCAGAACCATAACACTGTACGGATGTCATCACACAGCAAGAACATGGTTTCGGACACAAGTAGTGAGTACTCAACTCCTAGTCGTACAACCTCCTCTTTCATCTCCTCCTTCCCAGAGCCGCTTCTACATAAGAGAAAGATGTCGGTATATATATATAAGGATAAAAAAAAGTCAGACTCATTGAAGGGACAATGTAACATCACTGACCCTGTTTCGAATGGGTAATATTTGTATGACCTCCTCGGCGGCAATTTAGTGTTACGAACGAGAATACCTGATCGTTCTGATTCTTCCATCTTTCCTATAATCAAAACATCAACTCACAATCATGTAATCGAATGCAAATTTTAGTGATTACTGATCAAACCCTATATAGATCATGTTTTATCTTTCAATTTGAAACTCAATATGTCACATGAAACATAGTAGAGAAACAAACTTACCTCGTCCTCGATGTAAGAGTGAGACGCAAGTTTTCTCGAGAATCCTTTCGACTCTAAAAGCTTCTCTTTTGCCCAAATAATTAGATTTTCTATTCTAGTTGGCAACATTTATTTGGGCATTTTGGTTTTGGTTTATTTTGAGTTTATGTCTGAACATGTTTTTTTGGCCCATTTAGTTATTGGTCAAAGTGTGTCTTTTTTTTCTAATTATGGCATTTTTCGGATTTTAAAATTCGTTTTGTTAAATTTTTCAACTTTACATTCTTGTGCGAGTGAATGGCGGCGAATCCGAATAAAAGAAAACCCAAAAATTCGTCGACACATACGGATTTGATGAAACGTTAGAACGTATTTTGATAGTAAAAAATGATTAGTTTTTATGTGATGCATATAGAGTTATAGACTATAGTGTATGAATATAGTGGAAAATAAATCGGATTTTTTTATGTTTCACTCAATTATTTTTATTTATTTTTCCCATTTTATTATTCATTTATTCTCTTCGTTCCCGGACTTCAACCCTGTATCGCTTTTGATCTGGCTATCGCCGCCGGCGTCTCCGTATCCGTATCCGTCTCCGTCTCCGCCGCGAATTGACCTCCTGTCGTTGTTGAATACTTGAATACACAGGCGAGGTTCGTACTATATTACAATCATTTTAGGAAGCCGATGTTACGACTTAATTAGATTTGCCATCTTCCATGGAGCTCAGATTCAGTTTAGAGTTCAAAGCTTTACTTTTCTTTCTATTGGGTTTCTCAATTAGATTATAAAGTTTATATCTTTGACTTGTATTTCATCATTGTGACAAAATATTATTTGTTTTCGATTTACTGGAAGAAAAATATGGACGAAGAAGAAAACTCAAAACCCAGAGGATCTTATTTGCATATATAAACAATCTAAATTCACAGTCTTTGGACCATTTCTGAAACCTCTTGTCCGAAATTCAACAAAGTTAATTACTTTCTCCCTTAAAATTTTGAGCTTGTTTGGTAAATTGGACTAATGGAGATCCGGTTCTTGTCAGGTTTATAACATTATCTTACCATGAAGAAATGTACGATGCGATGGGGTGATGATGATGATGAAGACTCATCTGAGGAATCATCATCATCATCCTCTGCTTCTGACTCGAATGCTGATAAAACAGAGATTGGGAAGAAGAATAAGACGAAGAAGAGAAAGAGCAAGAAGACAATAGGTAGAAAGAAAAACTTCATCTGTTCTTTGGAGTTTGAACATTATGAGATCTCTCACTCTCTCTCTCATGTAACTTTGTCTTGTTTGTTTTGCAGCGAGGTTTGCGAAGAAAGACAAGAAAGCTTTCGACTACGAATCTCTGCAGCAGCACGGTTACAAAGCGCTTGGTCTTCCAGATATTCCTGCTCCGGTGGAGAATCCGGACTGGTCGTGGAATACGGGAAAGGATAAACAGAGAGTAAAGGAAGTGAAAGAGAGCTATAGAGAAAGAGAAGCTACAAGAGCTGCGGTGTCAGGTGGAGAGACGATTGCGAATGCGCTGCTGAAGAGTGAAAGGAAGAGTCTTTCTTTCTCGCAGAAGGAGAAGAAGAAGAGAGATTTGGGACAAGCGAGTCGAGGGAAGAATTACGTTGAAGAAGAGAAGAGGCAGTTGAGAGAGAGTGGTGTTTACTCTGGTTTTGATTCTTGAAAAAATCTCAACTTTTTGAGGTAACATCTTTGTATTTCAAGTATTATGTAATATGAATCATCAATTATACTTAGCTTTGTTTACTCTGTTTATTTCTGAAAATCTCAGCTTTTGAAGTAAACCCTTAGTAGCTGATGATAGTTTGATTTGATTGCTAATCTCAAATCTCAGTTTCGAAATATGTTTATGAATGCAAAGAAGAAACATGAGCCTGATGTAACCAATAATCATAAATTTACATGAAAAATCAACACTTTTGCATCTTTGTAGTAGAGTAGATTTCTAACTCTGTGACAGTGTGACATATTGCTACTCTGCTTTTGATTCTTAAAAATCTCAACTTTTGAGGTAACATCTTTGTATTTGAGGAGAATTTGATATGAGTGTGAAGAAAAAGAGCTTCATTTCACTAATTGCCACAAATTTATACGGAGGATCATCAATTGCTCTGTTTACTCTCGTTCTGTTTATGAAAATCTCAGCTTTGAGGTAGTATTTGATGATAATTTGATATGAATGCTAAGAAACAGGATCTTGGTTTGAATATTAAGTATTAACAACAAATTTACTTGGGAGAATCAACAATTATTCTGGTTTTGATTCATGATATCTCAATCTCTAGATGTAACTTGATACAAAATGCGAAGAAAAAGGAGCTTGATTTCACTAATAACCAACAAATTTACATGAAAAATCATCACTTTTAGCAACTTTGAAACCTTACAATACTGCAATAACTCAAGCTTTGTTGCAGAGCCTATCTCTAACTCTGTGATCTAAAGCTGCTAATTGCTTCTCCAACCAAACACCAACTTCCATCTGTTCTAGCAGTCTGGAACGAGACGAGAATGGTTTCTTATTTGATCTCTATCTCTCATGGAAATGTCGACTGATTCTCACCGGACAAGATTCAAGAACGAAGTCAAAGAATCAACGTCTCTCTTCTCAGAAGGATACTTGATCGCTCTCGAAGAATTCTTGGGGAAGACAAGTATCGTCGGGAAGCTACCGAGCTGCAACTCCTTCTTCGCAAACTCCTTCTGCTCACCGTCCGCTCTAAACTTCGCAACCTTGACTCCACTTCCAGCAAGCTTCTCCGCCAACTCATCATACGACGCTTCCATGGCTTGACAAAACGGACACCACGGAGCATAAAGCACAACGATCCAAGGCTCTCTCCTCTTCTCCAACTTCATCAAATTCTCAATCCCTTGCCTGCTCAAACTCACAACACTCTCACTCTTAAAGATATCCTCAACAACAACGGATTTGGAGACTGCTTGCTCCTCAACTTCACCACCTTCCTTGACATTCCCTTTGTGAAGTCCACACTCTTTAGCCTTAGCATCTTCCCACCACCACCTCCCTTCTCTCTCGTGCTGTCCAGGCAAAACCGCTCTCGTGCACGGCTCACAACCGATGGAAACATACCCTGCAGCGTGCAATGCGTTAACCGGAACGTCCATAGTCCTCAAGAACCTCCACACATCGTTCCCTTCAACGTTCGCAACCGGATTCCACTTCACCAAACTACCAACTCCACCGTCTAAACCTTCGAAAACCGGATCGACCTGAACAACCGGAATCTCAGACCTAGTCCCGGGAGATTGATCTTTCCTCTGACCGGTTATCCAAGCTCTTAAACCCTTGAGTGCACGCCTCAAAGGTTTAACCTTTCTCACACGGCAACACTCCTGATGACCATCCTCGTAGAATGAGAACAACCCTTTGCTCCTAACCAAACCTTGAACCTCTACAGAGTCAGGAAACATATACTCAATCCTAATCCCGTAATGTTTCTCAACCGCATCGAAAAACCTATACGTCTCAGGGTTTAATCTCCCTGTGTCTAAGCTAAATACTCTATATGGCCTCCCAGTTAAATGAGCATACTCAATCAAAGCAACATCTTCTGCACCACTGTAAAACAAACAAAGATTCAACCAATCAGTCTATGAACAGATCTCATGAATCATCAATCTTAAAGTATGTAACTTTACCTAAATGCGATGGCGATATCGTTGCCGAATTTCTCAAGGGCTTTGTCCATGATCTCAAGAGGTGAAGCATTCTCTAGATTCTTTGCAAGTTGTTCGAAATATTCAGTCTTTTCTACTGCTTCTTCTACTTCCTCTGCAATCTCTGCTACCATTGTTGCTGCGAGAGGAATCATCGAGTCTTTTGTTTTTGGCTCTGCGTTTAAGGGTTTAACAGATGATCGTTTCCCAGGTTGATTCAGAGATATCGGAGTGACATGAACACGATCCAGCAATCTCAACGAACCGATTTGCAACACTGTGAGAAGACAACACGAATTATATCTGAGATTCTACAGATTTGTACCAAAAATTAATCTAATTTTCGTGTGTAATACGTAAAAGTTAAAACCCACATTGACCCATCAAACAATTTCGCAGATTTCGGCCATAAAATCGAAAATCAAAGAGAAAAAAACGAAACTTTATTTATACCTTTGGGCTCTGACGAATTGGCGGAACGAGAGAAAGCAAAGCTTGTGATCCCAGAAGAAGAAGAAGCTGTTGCAGCCATTGCCATTTTTCGAATTGAGAACACAAATTTGCTGCTCTAAGATTTGATTTGATCTTTCGTTTTGTTTTTGTTAACTTTTTTTTTCCAAATGCTTTGTGAGATGCTTGGGATTATATAACAAATGGAAGAAACCAGGTGATTCCAGATTCATTGAACCTGGACACATTTGTTTTGTTTTTGGCAGCGCAATATCCTGGTCCAAGTTGATGACGTGGCAGTTTTTAAGTGGATGAATTTATTTTTGATTTCTTTTTTTTTGACGTGCCATTTATTTTTGATTTCATCCAACATTCGGAATGTTGAAGGAAACGATGTGACATGTTTCTTGTTTGATGAAATAAATCAAAACAATACTTATCTCAAAAATCTAAACTTTTCTTATTAAATATCAACAACTTCCTTCATGAATTCCAACGTGAATAGATAATCCATTGCATGATGTACAGAAACATAACTATCATAATAACAATAGCTTGCTTGATTCCCATATAACTTCATGCCATTGAATATCTGCATTAGGCTCTCCATAAACTCATATATTGCCATGAAACGATCGGAAAGAACACCATTGTAAATGTGAGCACAAAACCTTGCAAACCCACGGTGGTCATACAAACTGAAATTCCTCTTTACTTGGTAGGACATATGCCTTGAAATTATCTAATAAAACTGTCAAATGCCTTGAAGAAAAAAGACAATTCAGATAGAATTGTCAATGTTTGTAAGCTCTACGTTGAGAAAGTCCAATGAAAATCCAATGTCAAAGACCACAATACTCATGAAGATATCCTACTTTACCTGTTTACCATTAACATGTCGTATGTTATAATATCTAACAATTTCGGAAATCATTTGTTATTTTCCTTTTGACATAATAACACATATCAATTCTTAATTTTTTTTATAGATATCTTCATATTGCATCACCAATAAAAGATTAGATTCCTTTCTTTTTTTGTTAAAGATTTTTATACAATATGTTTATGAGAAATTCCTATATGAATATATTCTTTCAAGTAAAGTTAAAAGTTATAATCTTTTTACTACTTTTTTTGTGGTCCAATCTCTTAATTTAAAGTATACTTATCAACAGTAGTTAATTTTATAGGTAGATTTTAAAATAACCTCACCAGATTATGAAAGTAGGTGCTTCACCAACCTAAACGTTATAATGCATGTGACAAAACGAGACTAAACACATGTGTTTTTATTTTTGTTTTTGTTTCATAATGTCAAATTACACTCAACAAAAGCCTTTTTCTACAAGAGCTTGCAACGTTTTCGAGTTTCTCTTTTTGAATCGAATGCTATATTCAAAAAATTAATCTGTTTATACAATTGCTACTTCAGTTTTCTGAAAGATAAAAATAGAGTAGGATAAAGAATGCATTTGATCAGGCAATAAAACGAGCCAAGAACTTCAATTGCTGCTTTCTCCTGACAAGTTGTCCTGAATAGCTAATGTCTAATTTGTGAGACTAATTTCTAGAAGCTTTAAGAGAGATTTCTGGATTGGTTTAACGGCGATAGAATATATATTCATGTATTAGTGGAAGATTAAACTTAAGCCCTATCTACTAATTAATGACGACTGACCCATTATCATCTACAAGTAGATAAGATATTAGTATCTTTTATCTCCTCGTTAGGGTCATTTACGGATTTCTGGTAGCTCTTTCTATTCTTTCGGCTAAGATAGCTTCTTTGTAAACCCCTTCAACAAAAAAAAAAGATAGCTTCTTTGTATTCGAAGATCCATCCTTTAAACTGAATCTACTAGTATATGATTGGGCTTTATATTTATTTTCTAAACATTTGATCCAACTAACTTTCTTAGCTAATAAAGCGACCCGTCTTTTCATGGGCTTCGTAGGAGCCTACAACTTGGGCCTCCTTAAGAGCAAATTCTCAAGAATACGAAAATTATAAAGTGTTCGAGGTATTTTCCCTCTAACTTCGACGATGTGAAAGAAACTAAAGTGCGAATACTATTGTAAAATATGCTATATAATTTTTCTTCTTCAGTGGAATACAAAAAGGAGACTATTGTAATACACTTACATTATTTTTAATATATTTGGAAAAAAATTCAGCTATGACACTGACACATCATTGTAGCAATCCATGAACGGTTAAATTTTGTAAAGGGAAAGTGTTCGTCGGAAAACGTTACAGTTGCCAGAATTTTGGTCAAAAGATTTTTTATGCACCCGCCCTTATATAAATCCAAAATATAGTTAAAGTCATGAGAAGTCATTCCTTATATTTTTCGATAAACTGACAAGTAAAAGAATACATGCGTTACAAAGAATAAAAAATGCGATGATTTTGGAAATACGTTATGATGTAAGATGTGTATTTAATAAAATGATATTCCAGCCATGTGGCATTGCACCACTTAAGAGTTCAAGATTCTCTTTTGTCCTTTCGTTTTATAGATGAGACGATATATTCTCTTTATATCAAAATTCAAAAGAGCGAACAATTACTTGGTTTCAAATTTCAAAACATATTAAAACTACAAGCAAACACACACAATCTGTATCATTGTTTACACGCTTAATAATGATAATTCATAACTTTAATTTTTAAACCATGATATTTTAAACGAAAAACAAAAAATTAAAGCATGATTAATTCAGTTTTGACATAAATAAGATGGGATGATGGGATGAATTTTGTATTGGGTAGGATCGAGAATATGGGATAACTGAGAAAGGACTTGTAGAAAAATGACTTATATTAAAAATTAGTTTACAAATTAATAACTCTATTTAGATATCAAAATATAACGTCAGCGAGCGATATACAATTAATATTATTGTTTGTTTGCATATTCTTCAAATCCGAAACGTAGACTTTTTGATTGGAACTTGTTACGTGTCATCGCATGAGGATTCACATACATGCAATATGCTCGCACCAAAAATAATATTTAAATGATAACGTTGTGATGGACCGAAGAAAGTAAATGACAAAGGGGAATGGAATGAGAATTTTAGTTGACTATAATAAAATAGTGGAAATAATTTGAGTCTGTTCACTAACAAACATGCAATGCTTCTCTCACAAGCGTAAGTTACGTTCGTGCATGGGGACAAATATAAATAAATGTTCTGTCCAGCTTCGTACCATTAAGGCATTAATTAAGCCAATTTAATAAGACATGCATTGTAATTTGTAACTTAATACAAATCATTTTGAGCGTCTTCATTACAATTAGGGTTTTAGATTCATTACGATTATGTAATGAGGGTTTTAGATTCATTACGATTATGTTCGTACGTTTAGAATTATTAATAAATAGACGTTATCATTTTTTTACGTCCTTATATAATCCTAGATTAAAAATGTAAAGCTTTAAATTTTAAATAGAAATTAGTTCGAAGAATTTATAAAACAACCTGAAATTCCGTCACTCTTTTCTTTTTAGTACGAACTTTGATAGTTCAAATTCCATATACACTAATATTCTAATATTCATAGTTAATTCTGTATTCTTTTTTTTTTGACAACAAGTTAACTCTGTATTCATATTCGATTGTACTATATGGCTAACTTAATTAAGCAATCAAGTTAACGGTTCTTCCATCATCCTGCCGGTTCTGTATTACATGAGGCTTTTTGGCTAATTAAGGGACATTTATATATTTTTTGAAGTTTAACTATACAAGTTTTTAAAAAGGAATTAACTTGGACTTGGTAGTACTAATAATTAATCATTTTGACGGAAAAAATGAAGAACAGGAAAACTCCTCACAACATGACAAAGCGCAACAACAAATTTAATAAAACTTAAATTTAATCTTCTCTCTTTAGGGTATTTATTTATTTTATTTTTTTCCTAGAAAAATGAAAAACTAATAAGACAAAGGTCACGAGGGCAATTTATCCAACCAAACTTGCCTATTTGCAAACAGAGAATTCTCTATTAGTTACCTTCATCCCTTTCATTTGCTGCAACAATTTTGAATCGACCGAAAGAATATTCGGTAAGATTTCCCAAAAGTATCAAACTGTGAGCTTCAGAAAAGAACTGATGAAAAACCCAGTCGTTAGATCATATGTTAGGTCAAAAGTGCCGCGGCTGCGATGGAATTCAGATCTTCACAACTCTTTTGTTCAAGCCGTCGAACTACTCGGTGGAGAAAATAGTAAGCGAATTTCTATCTTCTCTTTTTATTAAATAATAATTACCATTTCTCTTCATCATGTTCATGTAATTAACAAAACTCATTATTTTTGCCATCCGAAGAAACATACTTTAAGACTAATATCAATCATGGAAATCCTGTTCTTTTGAAGTCATCGACTATCACTTATTTGTAGTAAAGATGATTTGATTTCATTTCATGCAATATCAAGATAAGTTTATACCTTTATAATCCTTAAAATTGCAGGGGCAACTCCAAAGATGGTTTTGCAGTTAATGGATGTGAGAGGACTCACAATATCACATGTGAAGAGTCATCTCCAGGTCTTAACATTCTTGTATCATTACATTCGTGTATATACCAGTATCATAATACTTGGTTTGGATATTGAACCATATATCTCTCATTTACATTCCAACAGATGTATAGGAGCATGAAACTGGAAGAATCTATGCAAGGTAACAAATACCATTTTGCATTTTGATTTTAGATTATATAAATATGCATGTAACATATTTTGCATATGATATGCTTTTCGTATATAAACACATACAATCTATGGCAGACGAGATATTAGCAAAGAGAAGTGTTAGGGTGACAGGAGAAGTGACTTGGTGGCAATTTCAACAGTACCTTCATAACTATCAACGCCTTCGAGGCAATGTCAACTTTTTCCAAAATGAACAAAGGTTCGTGTAATTATTAATATTTATCAATAAACTTACTCTGTTTATATATTTTTTCTGTTTTTAACGTGAAACCGAGATATATGTATATTTATATATTTTATACAATAAATTTCTTGTAGGCAAGAAGAGGAAATGTATGAAAAAATAATAACATTTGGAGAACCAAGTAATGAAACTAAGGAAGTACCAAGTGACTATTTTACCTGCAAGTCTCTCTATGAATCTTCAACGGTAATCATTCATTTCCCTATGCATTTCTATATACAGTATATGTATACATATATACTTGATATCTGTGTGTATTTTTTCGTATACAGAAGATCATCATGCCACACGTATATATATACACATATAGTAAATCTATGATCATTACTTTAACAAAAAAAAAAAATGATTACCCAATTATTACAGAAGCGATTTTAATTTGTTGAATATTGCTTTACCAAACTGTTCTTTCAATCTCCTGGGGTGAAACATCTCATACACTATCATTGTATATTTTCGTAATTTTATACTATTGTTTATGACAGGTCCGCTTAAATAAAACTAAAGTTGATGATGAAAATGATGATGGTAATGTTGGTGATGAATCTGATGATGTTGTTACTGATGACAATGATGTTAGTTTGTCACTAAACTCGATAAAAGCCTCAAAAGGTGAAGAAGAATTGTCCCTTGATCTCACCCTTGGCTAGACTTTGATTTTTGAAGAAACCGTTGGGAGTATATGTATCGTAGATATATATTGAAAAACAGTACTTGTATATTACTGAAAATCGTTGCAATTTGGTGTGTTTTAATGAGAACATACTATTAATGTTATTAGTTGGTTTGTTGTCTCAAAAAAAATGTTATTAGTTGGTGGGTTTTTTTTGGGTGATACATTGATGTCACTAACACAAAATATTGTACTATATATATGCTACATGTTCCGTTAAAAAAAAAAACAGTTTTCATGTTTTTTTTATTGTTGTAAATATTTATAATATTTAAAACTATATTAGATGTGTATGTAAAAATTAATGTATTTTAAATTAAAAATATACATAAAAAAGAGCATACATCTTGAACAACATTGTGCTAATTAATGCTCTACTATGATACATATAGTCATATACCTAAACAGCTTTCTGTCATTATTTTTTTAAATAGATAAAGATTAAGAATCCAGGTCCTCATATTAATTAACATTATGTCTTCAATTAATTTTCCAAGATAAATTTTACATAGGAAGAATTATACAAAATTTTCTTACTATGTTATTTGATATTTTAAATTACTACCATAACTTCTTTTTCTTTCAGTATGATAAATATTATGAAAAAAGTCCACCATTGGCTACTGTTAATTTCAAGGATTTAAAAATGACCAATTTATTATTTAATATGAATAAAGTACAATCAACACATAAGGAAGTTTAGGGTGTAGTCATATAAAATTTATTAAATATCTGTATTTTGATATCTACACTATTGCAGTTTTATGTGAGTGGTAAAAAAAAAAAAGTTATAAAGGCAGTATTTAGTTAGAATGATAGGAAAAATCTGGTAGTAGTAATTCAAACTTTAAAATTAAAGGTACATACTATAACCATGAGAAACTTTTACTGTCAAATAATCTGCTTTGTCTTGTAAAAGTACAGTTTTGATTTTCTTTTAGAGGAATAATAAGAAAATCACAAGTCAGAACAACAACAACAACAATATTTATTAGCATTAAATATTTTATTTAGAGGTTATTTTTATAATTACATCATCCAGAAAAACTATAAATATTAATCAGTACAATTTCTCTTTAAAATATATGATCAACTTACAAAATTTTATCGAAAAATGAAAACGATGAAAAAATCAACTGTTAGATCTTATGTTAAGTCAAAAATACTGCGGTTTTGGTGGACCACCGATCTTCATCGCTATTTCGTTTATGTTGTTGAACAACTACTCGGTGGCGAAAAAAGTAAGTGGATTTTATTTTATGTTACAGAATACCAAATAATTTTGCATTGAGAAAAAATCATAGAAACTAATTTTTTTTGCTATACTATCCTTTTTTGTTTTTTGTTTTTTGTTTTTTTTCTTGTGTTTCATTGTGATACCTCACTCCTCTTTTAGTTTTCCGATTAGTGTAGTAATTTGTTTTTTTTTGTATACAATTTTAAATTTCACGATATATAAAAGTTCGATATTACTATTATCCTTGAAATTGCAGGAGCGACTCCTAAGAAGATTTTGCAGTTAATGGGTGTGAGAGAACTCACAATCTCACATGTGAAAAGCCATCTCCAGGTCTTTATACACACACACACACACACATTATCAGCTAGCTATACACAATATGTCTATACTTATCACAAATCACAATATTCTCTATACTGGTGTGAATTGAATATAATATGTTTCTGTTTACACTCAATAGATGTATAGGAATACGAAGCGGGAAGAGTCTATACAAGGTAAATATCTGTCACCTACACTTTCCTTTAAAGTTGTATAAATATGTTTGTATTGAAAATCTGTATATATAGGAGATGTTGGGTTCAAAGTAGAAATGCTTTTGTGTGTGTGTGTGTGTGTTCCGTAACCGATAAGGAACTAGCTAGATACCATATCCGGATTTTCAAATGGATATTTCATATTTGATTCGTTTCATAAATTTTAAAAAAGAAAATTGAAACTTGAGATTCAAATTAATAAAAAAATGCAGTGTAATTTTATTTGTTCTATATATATTGGAATTTGTATATGATTTGCTCTACGAAATTATGGTTATCTTAAAAGTACTTTGCGTAGACCTAATATATGTAGGCATAAAATGTAAACACGCACTGACGCACATAATTGCAGAAAAGAGAGTGATACAGGAGATGAAGTGGCGGCAACGTCAACAATACCTTCAAATCTATGAACACCTTCGAGACACAACCATTTGTATCCAAAATCAACGAAGGTTAATTTGATGATAATTTGTACTAATATGTTAATCTCATTATTCGTTTCATATATATAATTTGTTTGCCGCCTTATAGTAACTTTTGTTTTTAATTCTTTTAGGCTACAATGCGATATTAATAAAAAGAAATCAAGTGACAAGACTGTGGAAGTATCTTGCAAGTCTATCTTTCAGTCTTCAAAAGTAATTTTTTTGTTTTCTAATTTCCTTCACATTTCTTACATTATAATTATGCATGACCATCAACAAAAATTGGATTCACATGACCTAGATACATGTATATATATATATATATATATCACATATACAAGATCATCATACATACTCTACACCCACTACTTATATTATTGCCAAAATTACATTTATCATAGTTAAAAGGAAATATGATATCGATATAATAGTTTTACAAACGATTTTCTATATCACTTTTCGATGATTGTGTTTTAGTTTTTGCTGATTTTGGTGAGATTTTTAGCAAAAGAAAAAAAAAAAAAAACAAAGAAGACCTACATAACAGTAGAAAAATGAGAATCCTACTGATTTTCCTATTTATAAATATCCATATAAATGTTTCTAGCAGGTCGGACTACTTGAAATTAGAGACGACATTGAAGATAATGATACTGTTATAGTTCACGTTGATGATGATTTCGCTGTTGCTGATGATGGTATAAGTGATACCTTAAACTCAACAGAAGTTTGGAAGGGTGAAGAAAAACTGTCCCTTGAACTCACTTTGGGTCTCAAGTACTAAGAGGAATTGGTTTCTATCTTTTTTAAACTTTCTCTCTATTTATATAGTGCTTGTCCCATAATGGGATGAGAAAAATAAAAATGAACAATATATTATAAGATGCATGGTAGTACCTATGTTATAGATATTAGAAACATTCCCATAGATGTTATATACTATATATGTACCTATGTTAAAATAAAAAACTTTGAAATGTAATGGAGTAAAAATATAGTCCAAATGCTCGAATAGCAGCGCCTAATGAAAATTTGAACAAAAGTTAGAGGTCTTAATGCATGTGAAAATCTGTAAGACACTAGTGTTTGTGGTGTGTCTTTCAACAGCTTAACCTGTCAATTCCAATTCCAATTATTTCATTACATGGTTGGTCGGAAACTACAATGAATCGGAAAACATAAATGAGAAAGCAGGACCTTTAGGTAAACTTTGCCCTAACTTTTTGATTAACAAATTTATAACTTAACGACAGCTCAATTCCGTGATGACATTGCTCACTGACATTGTCCCATTTTTTGAATGGGATTGATTCCTTGTGAAAGCAGGACCTTTAGGTAAAGGAATGGTGATAGTTTCACTACCAAGCCAAACTATTACGGAGTTCATGGTTGGTCTCTCCGCTGCATTCTCTTGAACGCACAATAGACCAATCTGGATTAACTTAATGATCTCATTTCTCTGATTCTCAATCAGGAAAGGATCAATTACAAGCTCAGGTTTTCCTTCAACCCATCTCTTCCGTGTCTGCACCAAGACAAGATATGTTCTTACTGTCTCTACATATATTAGAAAATAAAAGAATGCAGCAAAGAATAATATGATGTAATAGAAGCTTACAAAAGCTGCAAGCCCTTCTCCTTCGAAGCTATTGTTTCTTTTACCACTTATTATCTCTAGAAGCATAACACCGAAGCTGAAAACGTCAGATTTAGCTGAGATTTGCCCGAAATTCATATACTCGGGAGCCATGTATCCTCTGCATACATGCAAATGAATTCTTGAATATCTAAAAGATCCGGTTAAAAACAGAGAATTTATATGTGTCTTCAAGGTTTAATGATATGCATGTTCTTACCGAGTTCCAGCTATTCTTCTTGTCTCAGCTCGAGTCTCATCAGTGTCGAACGATCTTGCGGTCCCAAAGTCAGCAACTTTAGGGTTCATATCTGCATCTAAGAGTATGTTACTCGCCTTCAAGTCTCGGTGAATAATCTTCAACTGAGAATCTTCATGAAGATAAACAAGACCTCGAGCTATGCCTTCTATAATTCTGAACCGCACATCCCATTTAAGAAGTGCACGCTTCTCTTCATCTGCAGATTTCAAGAAAACACTGTTTTGCTAAAACATTTCCGTAAGTATTAAAACCAAAACGGTAGCTTTCTTTCCAAGGCTCACCAAAGATAAAGTGATCAAGACTTGAATTAGGGACAAGCTCGTAGACAAGAATTGCTTCATCTCCTTCATTACAGAAGCCAAGAAGTTTAACCAGATTCTTATGTTGGAGCCTTGTCAAGAGTGAGACCTCATTCTTGAACTCTGTATCTCCTTGTCCTGAACCACTTATTAATCTCTTCACCGCTATCTCTTGCCCGTTTGGTAAAATCCCCTGAAACCGGTTTACATTGCTATAAAAGCATTGACAAAATTCAAGATTTTACTAGTTTATGATTGTTCTTACCTTGTAAACAGTTCCAAATCCACCTTGACCAAGCTTATTTTCAAGCGAAAAGTCATTGGTTGCGGTTAATATCATACCAAGATCAAACCGCAGCATAGATTTCCCATCAGAATCAGAACACTCTGCAACATACCAACATAAAAAAAAAAAAACTCAAACTTCTACCTCTACAACAATTGAGCTTCATTGAATCAAACAAGCAACTTACCATTGACTGTTTTCATGTAGGACTTTCTCCTCCGATCAAAGATGATGATGAGACAAACAAACACAAAGACATTAATAACGGTGGGAACCACAATTATTGTGATAGTTGCATATCGAATCTTTTTCTTCCTGCAAACAAAACAACTCATCAATCTCTTACAACCAGTAAGATAAGATTTTGTTCTTCTTCTTTTGGTATGAACCACTAAGAGAAGATTGTGGAACTAACAAGATAATGTAACATATAATTCTACCTCTCTTTCCTGAATTTAACTCAGCATCTCCTTGGGGAAGACTTGAATCACGGCTAATCATAGAAACCCTTGTCATGTTCTCATAAGATCCAGGAATAGCATAAAGATCCCACCGGAAATAACAACTCGGAAGCCGACCTGCACCGCCTTGGCTTCCCCAATTATTGTTTTGAAAATTCAACACACACTGTCTAAGACATTTGTTACACTCACTAGACAAAATGTCAGGAGTGCATTGCATCATCATGTAAACATTTGAAAACTCTGTGAACTCTGCTCTAATGACACTATAGAACTTGAGCACAACCGAGGAGTTGTCAGGAGCTGATGTGGCAGACTGCATAGTTAGGTTAGCCAATGCTTCCCATTCTTGTCGAAAAAGCGTAATGCTCTTAGGTGGCTCTATGTTTAAAGGATTATCTGACAAAGTAGGTGGCCAAAGCTGGAGATTCGCGGAAACAGAGTGGTTAGCGTAACGTACAAGGCAAGAAGCATTGTCACTGTCTCTAGTGGTCCACCTGAAAGATGTCATTCGATTTGGACATCTTTGTTGTGATTCTTGAATCGCTTGCTCCACGCAATTCACACAAGGTTGCTTCTCGTAGCCTCGTCCACAAAGGGCAAGACCGTAAACTTTGTTGGAGCCTTCTCCTGTTGACGTGTTGTAGAAACCGTCGTTAGCGACGATGTTGCTTGCCAAAGAAGAGAAGAGAGAGTTGAGGTTGTCGCTGTAAGTGCTGTTAACGGCGAATAAGCTGCCTTCACAAGCGGCGTTAACGTCGTCGGAAGTTTGAAGAAGAAGATAACAAGAGAAGATAATAACAGTAAAGATTTTTCCCATTTTTTTGGTTATAATATATTTTTTTTCTTTAGTATCATATTGTCATTGCCAAGAAATGGATTGTATTTATAGGTCGTAAACTCGTAATTGGGAACCGTACACGTAATGCTCCAAAGCGTTTATTTATTAAATAATGAAGAAATTTGAAACCATGGCTCTTGTCTCTTTTAAGCCAGCTTGTACTTCACGTCGTACTGGTTTCAATGTTTCATAGATTCATGACGTGAGAAATAGGTACCAGTTGACACTTTTTAATTGTTGTCAAAATACCAGTTGACTAAGCAGACAAGACGTAGACTTTTAACTTAAGTAACACGTTTTATATATTAAAAAAAAAACATAACTAGTTGCTGTATATTTGTTTTTTTTTGTTAACAACCAAAAGGAAATCAATCGCGTATACTCTCTCTATTTTAAATTAGTTGTCATTATGCGAAAATGTATCTGCAGTTATTTGAATGTATCTGAATGTGTTTTGGGTTAAATACATCCAAATAATTGCAGATACATTTTACCAAAATGACAACTAATTTGAAATGGAGGGAGTATTCATTTTTTTTTTTATAATTCCAAGATGAATACAAGCAATTAATTTCCTTCAAGGTTGACAAAAAAAACTATTTCGCATGATTTTGGGCAAAATTTGAAATAGGTGGATATAATCCACCTGTATTTAGTGTGATTTTAAGTTGATTTTGAAAAATTTTAAATTAACAATAATTTTTTTATTTATTGTAGAACAGATTCGTCTATAAACTTCTAGATGGCAAATCTAGAATGCCGATATTTTGGGTCATAATGTTATACTTACAAATTTTCCATAAACTGGAGATATGAGTTAAGACCCCAAAATGTGTTCATATCGGTTTTCATAGAGTATTTGAGTTGAAAAGAGACATAGCTATAATATAAAAATGTGTTAAACAACTTGGAAAATGGATACAACTTGGAAAATGGATACAACTTGAATAAAACCGGGAGACATGTTTTGCTAATTTATGTGCTTACTGGATTAAAGCTTCATATAACATAGGCAAAGAACTTTCTAAAGAAAAACATAGGCAAAGAAACTTCGCTGGAACTTTGATGCCCACAATGTGGTCCTAGCAAATGAAGGTTTTCCACTTTGAAGTCTATAGAGATAATGACTACTATTATTTCGATATTTAGATAACTATGTATTTAGATTCATCTAGATTTAGCATTAGCTTGTTCCTATTAGAAGTCGGTTTAATATATGTGTATAAATACTCTCTTGTACATTGTAATACATTCAACACTTCAAATATATTCTATTTCAAAGTCTCGGGTTCTTGACATTTTAACAAGAAAAAGTCTTGAGTTCTTGACATGTGGTATTGACTATATTGATAAGAATTTTATAATAATGTTAAAAAAGAACAAAACAAAAAAGAATGACCAGAGATTTCTAATGCACATGAAGGGACTGGTCTTCGTGAATCATTTAGGCTTTGAATGACTATCATCTTTTTATTTTCTGAGAAAATAAGTAAATAAATTGATATTGCTAGCACTTCTATGTTTATATTGGCTAGCTGCCAATGTGTAACTCTCTCGTATAAGCAAATATAAGAATGCATTTGACGGAAAAGAAAATTATAGAATATAAGAATCTTCTAGTTAGCTTTAACAAAAAAGAATCTTCTAGTTAATCGTTGTAGGAAATAAAACTCTTCTGTGGGTTCGTACCTTGGATGGCAAGTCTCCTGTGAACAGAGTACGACATGTGGAAATCTGTAAGACACTAGTGTTTCAGTGTTTGTGGTGTCCTTCAACAGCTTAACCTGTCAATTCCAATTATTTCGTTACATGGTTGGTCGGAAACTACAATGAATCGGAATTACAAAAGCAAAACAGAGAAGAGAAAGATCTACACACCAAGGAAGAACCTTTATAGAGCAACTCGCAAAGCAAAAAAAAATTTAGGGCTACAAAAATTACTCTTTGATTTGTTTTTAGATGACACATACAACATTTTTACCCTAACTTTTTGATTAACAAATTTATAGCTTAACGAGAGCTCAATTCCGTGAAGACATTGCTCATTGACATTGGACCATTTTCAGATTGGGATTGATTCCTTGTGAAAGCAGGACCTTTAGGTAAAGGAATGGTGATAGTCTCACTACCAAGCCAAACTATTACAGAGTTCATGGTTGGTCTCTTCGCTGCATTCTCTTGAACGCACAGTAAACCAATCTGGATTAACTTAATGATCTCATCTCTCTGATTCTCAATCAGTAAAGGATCAATTACAATCTCAGGTTTTCCTTCAACCCATCTCTTCCATGTCTGCACCAAGAAAAGATATGTTAGAAGATACAAGAAAGAACAAATGCAGCAAAGAATAATATGATATAAAAGAAGCTTACAAAAGCTGCAAGTCCTTCTCCTTCGAAGCTATTGTTACTTTTTCCACTTATTATCTCTAGAAGCATAACACCGAAGCTGAAAACGTCAGATTTAGCTGAGATTTGCCCGTAATTCAGATACTCCGGAGCCATATATCCACTGCATATATATGTGCAAATGAATTCATGGGTGTTTAATCCAAGAATATCTAAATGATTCTGTTAAAAACAGAGCAATTATATGTGTGTCTTCAAGGTTTATATATATGCATGTTCTTACCGAGTTCCAGCTATTCTTCTTGTTTCAGCTCGAGTCTCATCAGTGTCGAACAATCTTGCAGTCCCAAAGTCTGCAACTTTAGGGTTCATATCTGCATCTAAGAGTATGTTGCTCGCCTTCAAGTCTCGGTGAATAATCTTCAGCTGAGAATCTTCATGAAGATAAACGAGACCTCGAACAATGCCTTCTATAATTCTGTATCTTACCTCCCACGTAAGAATCGAACGTTTCTCTTCATCTGCGGATTTCAAAGAAAGAAACATTGTTTTACAAAATGTTTCTATAAAAATACAAAATGAAAGCTTTCTTTCCAAGGCTCACCGAAGATAAAGTGATCAAGACTTGAATTAGGGACAAGCTCGTAGACAAGAATCTCTTCTTCTCCTTCATTACAGAACCCAAGAAGCTTAACGAGATTCTTATGTTGGAGTCTTGTCAAGAGTGAGACCTCATTCTTAAACTCTGTATCTCCTTGTCCTGAACCAACCACTAATCTCTTAACCGCTATCTCTTGCCCGTTTGGTAAAATCCCCTGAAGCCGGTTTAGCTTGCTATTAAATCATTAACACAATTCAAGATTTGACAAGATGTTACTATTTTATGAATGTTCTTACCTTGTAAACAGTTCCAAATCCACCTTGACCAAGCTTATTTTCAGGCGAAAAGTCATCGGTTGCGGTTGATATCATACCAAGATCAAACCGCAACATAGATTGTCCATCAGAATCAGAACACTCTACAAACATAGCAACATACAAAAAAAAAACATTCAAACTTCTATCTCTAGAACAATTAAGCTTCACTGAATCAAACAAGCAACTTACCGTTAATTTTTTTCATGTAGGACTTTCTCCTCCGGTCAAAGATTATGATGAGACCAAGAAACACAAAGAGATTAATAACGGTGGGAACCACAATTATCGCGATGGTTCCATACCGAATCCTTCTTCCTGCCAAGAAAACCCCATTAAGCATATACAACCAAAAAGAGACGATTACGTAAGTAACAAGATAGCTAAACATATATTCACCTTTCTTGACCTTTCCAGGTGTTAGCTCAGCATCTCCTTGGGGAAGACTCGAAGCACGGCTAATCATAGAAACCCTTGTCATGTTCTCATAAGATCCACAAATAGGATAAAGATCCCACCGGAAATAACAGCTCGGAAGCCGACCTGCACCGCCTTGGCTTCCCCAGTTATTGTTTTGAAAATTCAACACACACTGTCTAAGACATTTGTTACACTCACTAGACAAAATGTCAGGAGTGCATTGCATCATCATGTAAACATTTGAAAACTCTGTGAACTCTGCTCTAATGACACTATAGAACTTGAGCACAACCGAGGAGTTGTCAGGAGCTGATGTGGCAGACTGCATAGTTAGGTTAGCTAATGCTTCCCATTCTTGTCGAAAAAGCGTAATGCTCTTAGGTGGCTCTATGTTTAAAGGATTATCTGACAAAGTAGGTGGCCAAAGCTGGAGATTCGCGGAAACAGAGTGGTTAGCGTAACGTACAAGGCAAGAAGCATTGTCACTGTCTCTAGTGGTCCACCTGAAAGATGTCATTCGATTTGGACATCTTTGTTGTGATTCTTGAATCGCTTGCTCCACGCAATTCACACAAGGTTGCTTCTCGTAGCCTCGTCCACAAAGGGCAAGACCGTAAACTTTGTTGGAGCCTATTCCTATTGAAGTGTTGTAGAAACCGTCGTTAGCGACGATGTTGCTTGCAAAAGAAGAGAAGAGAGAGTTGAGGTTTTCGCTGTAAGTGCTGTTAACGGCGAATAAGCTGCCTTCACAAGCGGCGTTAACGTCGTTGGAAGTTTGAAGAAGAAGAACACAGGAGAAGATAATAACAGTACATATTTTTCCCATTTTTATTTTCTTTAGAATCATATTGTCATTGCCAAGAAATGGATTATCTTTATAGGAATTGCCCTTTTTCTTTGTAGGTCGTAATTGGCAACGGTGCAAGTGATGGTCCAAAGTTTTTATATAATAAATATATAATGATAAAATTTGAAACCATGGGCTCTTGACTCTTGTCTACTGCTTTCTATAGGATATACCAGGTTGTGGTTTTGTTTTTGTTCATTTGAATTCCGTGGTTTACTTCACGTTGTACTGGTTACACAGAAGGTTCATTGGAGTTAGTTTTTTGTTTTTTTGGGTAAAATCATGGGAGTTAGTTGATTAGAATAATGGAGGATTTTGATAATGTTCGGTCTGTTCATATAGTATTAAGGTTTTTATCGTATTGTTAATGTGCACAATGTTTTGGTTGGTCCTACAGTTGGCTAAGGCTGTTTGAAAAAGGTTCATGTGATAGATAGATTCATGCATCTCATAGGAAGCTGCGTGATACTTTCATGGAAGGCCAACACCTACTTTCATTGGGCTAATCTTTTTGTTTTCGCTTTAAACTATAACTATTAAAGAGTTTGTTATATTAAAAAAAAAAGGGTGATATTGCTCAATACCCATGGAAACTTTGAAAATTAAGTTTTTGCCAATGATTAGTTCTAAATTAGGTAGAAGGAGAGAGAAACAAAATAAAGGCCTTTAATATCCTTTTTATTTTATTTATCTACAAAAATGTCATTGATTAGAAACTGTTCATTAACCACCTGATGACACTGTTCATTGATCGGTTTCACTGTTCATATAGAATCATCGACATTAATCGTCTAGTTATCGTTAAAGATAACTATTTACTTATCATAGCAACAAATAAAATATCATAAAATATTGCTAACTTATAATAATTTATTATACAATTGACATGCTAAACTAGTTAGCACATTATTAAAATATCGTGTTAATCAAATTATCATGACATAAAAATATAAAATATTTCGGATACCATAGTTATCATACCAACAATTATCATGTTAACATAATTAGCATATTAACTAACACAATAAATACCGTGTTAACATGATTATCATGTTAAAAATTATTAAGCTAATAAAGTTATCATATTTTAGGAAAATATGAAATATAAAATTAAGAAAATTACCTTGTTAACTCAATTAAATTTTATGAAATTACAGGTTTAACCTAATTATCATATCATAAAAAATATAAATTATAATGTTTAACTGAGTTATCATTTTAAAATACATAATAAGTTACATAAAGTTATATCGGTAATCAATTAACCAGCTAACCAACATAACTCACCGTCAATAATCTTACCTGCTAGTGTTGTTATCACCGCTGTTCATCGATATTATTGCCTTTTACACAACAGTCGCCACTGTTGTCTTCATCACCGTAGATTCAACCGCTATTGCTGACTCCCTCCTCCTCCTCTTCTTCTTCTTTCTTCTCTTCCTCCGTTACTGCCATCGCTGGCTTCTTCTTCCTCCTTTCTTCTCTTTCTCTGTTGATGTCATCGTTGGCTTCTTCCTCCTCCTCTTCTTTTTTCTACTCTTTCTCAATTTGTGTTTTTTTTTTGTCAGATCTACTAAAACAGAGACCATATATATTTTAGTACACTTGATTCAATTAGAGAAATAAAAAAAGATCTTAATTTGATCGATTGATAAAAAAATCAGATCAGAAGAGTTTGGTGATAACAAAAGTCATCGGAAGACAAAAAAGCAGATCGGAAAATACAAGAAAATAAACAACGAAAGATTTAACTGAATAAAGCCGAGGAGTTTTGAGTAATTACCTTTTGTTGAGCACTGTTGAGAATAGTGTCAAAACCTGTCAGTTAATTTCAGAAGTATTGATGGATAGTTTGTGCTATTACTAAAAAAAAAATACCAAAGACTCACTTAAGTTAAAGCTACTGGCGTAGTGCCTACTTCCATTCAAAGCCTATATATTATAAGAAGCAACTAGCCTACTACCACATCAGAGTTTCATGGAAGACCAAGATTCGTTTACTCAAAAGTGATAAAGAATAGTAGAATACACATTGCAATATTCATATAGATAACTTTAAAGTTTTGTTTCCTAAAATATTATTTCTAAGCAAGTTGACAATTTGAGGTAATCAATAAAATTTCTTAGATTCATATAGATAAACAAATATATGTCCATTGTGGACATTCACTGTATCCAAAGTCTTCCACTGGTAGGACCAGGACTGGTATATAACATGTTAAATAGCTGTGGTTCACCCAAAACATCTCATAAAATACAATTGAGGAGATATATGTTTAAGATGACATATACCAGTGTATAATACACTAATGTGTCATGTACGTACCTTAAAACAACATTTTGATTCACTGGATTTATAACTCAGTGAGAACTCAATTCCGTGAAGACATTGCTCAATGATAGTCTCACTGCTCATTCCATTATATAACTAACAGAATATTTAGAAAATAAAAAATAAACAGAAAAATAAAATTTCATAGAAATTCGTTTCAATTTTGAAGATTTTATGTCTATAATTTTAAAACTTTATGTTTCATATTAATTTTTTTTTATCAAATTGACAATTATTACATGATTTTCGGGTGATAGAAAAAAGTAAAGAAACTAGGCTGAAAGGAAATGCTGTTGTTTGCACTACACGGCATTATTAATTGTCCAAAGAAAGCCAAGTATACAATTATCCAAACATGCTTGATGGCACATGACACATTAGTTGTGCAGTGGTGGTGATGGTGATGGTGATGATGGTGCCGTAAGAAAGGCAACAGGTGCAGGCACAGGCATGGTGGTAGAAGCGTGAGTTTCAAGCCATACGAGAATTGAATAAACGGTAGGCCTTTTGGAAACATCCTCTTGAACACACAATAAACCTATGTGAATTAGATTCATCACTTGGTCTATTGAGATGCTGTTACTCGGCGCAGCCAAAGGATCGATTATCTCTGCAGATTTTCCTTCAATCCACCTCTTCCACACCTGCAAAGAAATTTTGCAACAGTTGAATATCATGAGGCAAAAAGTATAAAGATGATCGAAATATGTAAAAATTCTTACAAAAGCTGGAAGCTCTTCTTCTTCTTCCTCTTCTTTTTCTTCTTCTTTCAAGCTTTTGTTTCTTTTACCACATATCATCTCAAGAAGCATAACACCAAAGCTATAAACATCGGATTTAGCTGAGAATTGTCCGTATGTCGCATATTCTGGAGCCATATATCCACTGCATTAACCAAATCAAGTTAATTGCGATGCTGGTCGAATAACCTTAGGCTAGAAAAACAGAGCATATATCTGAAAAATAGCATCTACATGAAACAGAGCATACTTACAAGGTTCCAACTACTTTGCTTGTCTCTCCTCGAGTCTGGTTCATGTTGAACAGCCTCGCCATCCCAAAGTCTGCAACTTTAGGGTTCATGTCAGCGTCTAAAAGAATATTGCTTGCCTTCAAATCTCGGTGAATAATCCTCAACTGAGAGTCTTCATGGAGATAAAGAAGCCCTCTTGCAACTCCTTGTATGATTCTGAACCTCACATCCCACGTAAGAAACCTGCGTTTGTCTTCATCTACAAATTTCAAAGAAAAAAGTTTTTTTTTTTCTTGTTTTATGTTGTTTGCTAAAAGTATTGTAACTTATATGGAGCGAGTCTCACAAAGGCTCACCAAATATGAAGTGGTCAAGGCTTGAATTGGTGACAAACTCATAGACAAGAATCTCTTCTTCTCCTTCATTACAGAACCCAAGAAGCTTAACAAGATTCCTATGTTGGAGTCTTGTCAAGAGTAAGACCTCATTCTTGAACTCCATATCTCCTTGCCCTGAACCTTTATTTAATCTCTTTACCGCTATTTCTTGTCCACTCGGTAGTATTCCCTGATAAAACAATTCTCATGCAATACGATCACTAACCCATCTTTTTGGACATCGATCACTAACCCATCTAAATGTTTTAATATGGACTCTTGAAAATTTATTTACCTTGTAGACAGTTCCAAATCCACCTTGGCCAAGCTTCTTTTCAGGAGAGAAGCCATGTGTTGCAGTTAGAATCGTTCCAAGATCAAACCGTACCATAGATTGACCATCACTTGAATCAGAAGACTCTGCACATCACCATGAAACAAATAAACAAAAAAATCAAACTTTTTGTTTACTCTGAAAGAAGAACTTTTTGTTTAGCTTTAGAAAACAAAATGAATCATCTTATATATTCATCTAAATCCAAAAATCTGGACAGTGTAATGTTAAATTTTAACCGACACACACACACATATATATATATATATATATATATGAACTCAACTTGATATACAAGGTCGTTTAATCAACTTTACCTTTGATTCTGATGTGTGACGACTTTCTTCTCCAAGAACAGATTAAACCAACAAATATGAAGAGATTAATGATTGCAGGGACCACAATGATTGCAATGTTTCTTCCTCCAAAATCTTTCTTGTCTCCTCCACAATGAAGAGTAGTACTCGAAGAATCTTGAGCAGGAGGAGGAAGAGGAGGAGCAAGAACTCTTGTAACATTATCAAAAGCTTTGTAAAAAGGAAAAAGATCCCACCGGAAATAACAGCTAGGCCGACCAACTCCACCTCCCTGTTTTCCCCATTGCTGCCTTTGAAACTCAGTCACACACTCTCTAAGACATCTCTTGCAATCACTTGGCGATAGATCAGGTGTGCATTGCATCAAAGCGTAAACATCTGTGCTTGTGATCTCTGTGAACTCTGTTCTTGTGGCGTTATAGTACTTGAGGACTGAGGAAGTCTCAGCGGTAGAAGCAGCCTCGAGCGTCCGGTTGGCCATTGCATTCCATTCTTGGCTGAAAAGGGTCATGTTCTTGATTATGGAGGATATATTGTTTGGGTTCGGATTGAGAGTAAACGGTGAGAGCTCTAGTTTGCCGAAAATCGAGTGATTAGTGTAACGTAAGCTGCAAGAAACGTCGTTGGGTTGATGAGTGACCCACGAGAAAGTCTCCTTTTGATGAGGACACTTTTCTTTTGTGTCTTTGATGACGTGCTCCAGACATGCCTTACAAGCTTGGTCCTCGTAGCCTCGTCTGCATAAGGCGGAAACATGGACTCTGCTGTCTCCAGAATCACTGCCAAGTGACGCGTTGTAGAAACCGCCGTTATTGATGACGTTAGAAGGAAGTGAAGACAAGAGATTGTCTCGATTGCGGCTGTAGTTAGCGGTGGAGAAATCGCCATAGCAGAGGAAACTGGCTTGAACATAATTTAGGGTTTGAAGGAAGAGAAGGAGGAGGAGCGAGAGGGAAGTAGTCATAACACACCTCTTTCCCATTTACTCGAAAGTCGAAATCTCAAATTGATAGGATTGCAAAAACTGGTTTTTATTTCATATTCTTTCATTGTAGGTTGACATCGCTAATTTATATCCATTTTTGGGGGGTCAGATACTACAACTTGATTCATGACGTGAGAAGTAGGCACCAGTTGACTGAAAGATAGGACGTAGACTTTTAACTGAAGTAACACGTTTTACTTCTTTTTTTTGTATATATAAAAATTATATTATACTATATTTTAAACAAAAACTAAACTAGTTGCTGTATTTTTTATAGTATTTGTTAATTGTACATTTCTCTACGCAGACATCAATTCGCAGCCAAACGTATATGATAAAAAGTTGTAGACTTGTTGTATATTAGCATGTGTATCGTATAGGCCATGAAGGAAATATACATTCAATGTTTTTTTCGAGAAAGGGATTCAAACTTCAAAGTTCTATTTATTAAGCATATCCAACGGCGAGGCTCTTTCTCAAGACTCTCAACAGCACATTACATCTTATATATAATTAGGGAGTTGCTCTCTCCTCTTAGAGTGTCCACATCAGCAAAAAAAAAAAAAATTAATTAAATCAAAATTAATGATTCAATTAATACATACACTTTCATAATATCATTGAATGATTTATTATTCAACCAAAAATATAAAAATGTATTAAAAAAAATGATTAATAAAAATATAAAAGACAAAAATAAATAAAAATTGGTTGAACTTAATATTTAAAAGATTAAAAGTTAATTTTTAACAGTAGATGCAAGAGATTTGTTTTTAAAAGAAAAAAATGTACTGAAAATTTAAAATGTCTAAAATTCATAATAATATATATTATGTAAAAAGATAGTGTATGTAATAAAATTTCATGGAAAATGTTTAACTGTTGAAAGCTAACAGTTAAATTTAAGTAATAAAAATAAGTTATATATAAAACTAAATTATTGATTTTGATGTTAAAAAAAACTAAAGTATTGACTATTTCTAACATTTAAAAAAAAATCACTCAAATTTTTTTGTTTGTATAAATATTTAATAAATAAACATCAATATCATATATACAGAACAACACATAAAGGAAAAACATTAAGAGCACAGTTTGTAAAGTATATAAATGATGATGAACAACCAAAAATATATGCAAACTAATATATATATATAAACCCCTCGTTTGCGCGAGGATACAATTCCTAGTTGTATTTAATTAGCTAGTAAGTGTGTAAACACAAAATTATATTAATATTTAAATAGTAAGTATCTCACAAACTTAAATATTAATATAGTTTTGTGTTCACACTTTTAAAAGAATCTCTACTGATTGCAAATTAAGGTTTTCTACTTTGAAGTCTTGATCATTGGCATTGACTCTATTAATTATAATTTTATAATAACAAAAACAAAAAAGAGAAACCGAGCGGACTGGATCTTTCACTCTTTTGTTTTTGTTTTTATTTATTTCAGAAGATACCAAAACTAAAATTTACTTATAGGAATTGTAATATTTTTAAAATATCCATAATACGTATGTAAACATATCACTACTACAAGAATAAAAAAATCTTTACAAACTGCATACGATTTTGAATAGTCAGATATGAAATTTCTGATGGATAATTGTTTATATATATATATATATTTTTTTTCCAAAATTTGTATTTAATAAATCCATTGGAATTTTTATGATGGAATTTCCATTGACGTGCTACTTGATTAAAGCTTCATATAAGAACATAGGCAAAGAAACTTCGCAGGAAATTTGATGCTCACAATGTGGTCCTAGCAAATTAAGGTTTTCCACTATGGAGTCCTGAGTTCTTGACCTGTAGCATTGACTCTATTGATCATAATTTTATGATAGCGTTAGAAAAAGAAAGAAAAAAAAAAACAAAAAAGAAAGACCAGACCTTTCTAATGCACATGCAGGGGACTGTTTTTTTTTTCTTCTTTTTCTTTGAATATTACAGTTATGCTCATTGTGAAAGAAAAAAAAGACATTGAATGAATATGAATTTTTTATTTTAGTTTTTGTTTTTTTTAGAAAATATAAAATTAAGTAGGTTTTAGATTTCCAAACGAAAAACAGGAAGGTAAAATTTAGGAAAAATAGAATTTTAAAATTAAGTGAGTTTGTTTGTTTGTTTTTTATTTTTCAAAAAGTAAACTCAATTAGAAACTGCTCCCAAAACCTAGTATGTGAGAGCTTCATGGATTGTCATCTCGATCCTTAGCTTATTTGGTTGGCCCAGAGAGATGCAATCATGTTTATCATCCCGATTTCCCCCTCTTCTCCTTTTCTTCTTTTCCTTGTTTTTCCTTGGGCTTGTCTAGTCTATTCCATTATGCTTCCTTGGCATCCAATTTACCTAAAAGGGACTCCAAAATGCACATGTATGCAAAGACCTAGCTAACACTTTGTAAACTCTAGAATGGATGCAAACTAGCTATGCCTTTAATTAATGACAAGATGATGTATGAAACAATGCAAATGTTATGAGATATGTGTGCTTAAATGAGCTAAATTATGCACACATCAACATTGCACATTGATTGTGTAATTTGTGTCACTGCTAAACCATATCATTACCGAGATGTGGTCTCATTTTTGCATTCTCTTGAACACAAATTACACCATTCCGGATCAACCTGATGATCTGGATTTTATGTTTTCATCTAAAATAAGAAACGGAATGATCGAGTGAGTTTGTTGTAAACAAATAAATATCAAAAACTCACTTAAAACTACTACGATTCAAAGTAGGTTTCATGAATGGAAAACCAAGCCACGTCACTAAAAAGTTATATAAAAATATTTTATAATTTAATTTTAAGTCTTTCTAAACTTTTTGTAAGATTCATGAACTGTATATATTGTTCAGTTTTGATTTTTCTTCGTATTCGTTTTAAGCTAGTACTCAAATATCCCATTTTACATATTCGTGAAAATGTGGATATCTAATCATTATGATATAACTAACAGAATATTTAAGAAAACAATTGAACGATAAATCAAAAGTTCATAGAAATTCGTTTCAATTTTGATAATTATATGTATATAATTTTAAAAATTTATATTTCATATTAAACCAACAAATATGAAGAGGTTAATTATTGCAGGGACAACAATGATTGCAATGTTTCTTCCTCCAAAACCGTTTTTGTCTCTCCCACAATGAAGAGTAGCCGTCGAAGAAGCTTGAGTAGGAGGAGGAGGAGCAAGAACTCTTGTAACATTATCAAAAGCTTTGTAAAAAGGAAAAAGATCCCACCGGAAATAACAGCTAGGCCGACCAACTCCACCTCCTTGTCTTCCCCAATACTGCTTTTGAAACTCAGTCACACACTCTCTAAGACATCTCTTGCAATCACTTGGCGATAGATCAGGTGTGCATTGCATCAACGCGTAAACATCTGTGTCTGAGATCTCTGTAAACTCTGTTCTTGTGGCGTTATAGTACTTGAGGACTGAGGAAGTCTCAGCGGTAGAAGCAGCCTCGAGCGTCCGGTTAACCGTTGCAGTCCATTCTTGGCTGAAAAGGGCCATGTTCTTGATTATGGACGATATATTGTTTGGGTTCGGATTGAGAGTAAACGGGGAGAGCTCTAGTTTGCCGAAAATCGAGTGATTGGTGTAACGTAAGCTGCAAGAAACGTCGTTGGGTTCATGAGTGACCCACGAGAAAGTCTCCTTTTGGTGAGGACACTTTTCTTTTGTATCTTGGATGACGTGCTCCAGACATGCCTTACAAGCTTGGTCCTCGTAGCCTCGTCTGCATAAGGCGGAAACATGGACTCTGCTGTTTCCAGAATCACTGCCAAGTGACGCGTTGTAGAAACCGCCGTTATTGATGACGTTTGAAGGAAGAGAAGACAAGAGATTGTCTCGATTGCGGCTGTAGTTAGCGGTGGAGAAATCGCCATAGCAGAGGAAACTGGCATGAACATAATTTAGGGTTTGAAGGAAGAGAAGGAGGAGGAGCGAGAGGGAAGTAGTCATAACACACCTCTTTCCCATTTACTCGAAAGTCGAAATCTCAAATTGATAGGATTGCAAAAACTGGTTTTTATTTCATATTCTTTTTTTTTTTGGGTCAGATACTACAACTTGATTCATGACGTGAGAATTAGCATCAGTTGACTGAAAGATAGGACGTAGACTTTTAACTGAAGTAACACGTTTTACTTCTATTTTTTGTATATATATAAAATTTAGATTAGATATTTTAAACAAAAACTAAACTAGTTGCCCCCACTAGTTGCTGTATATTATATAGTATTTGTTAATTGTACATTTCTCTACGCGGACATCAATTCGCAGCCAAACGTATATGATAAAAAGTTGTAGACTTGTAGTATATTAGCATGTGTACATGAAGAAAATATATATTCAATGTTTTTTGGAGGGATTCGAAGTTCTATTTATTAAGCATCTCCAATGGCGAGGCTCTTTCTCAAAGTCTCAACACCTCATTACATTGTATTTAATTAGCTAGTAAGTACAAATTATATTAACATTTAATAGTAAGTATCTCACAAACTTAAATATTAATATAGTTTTGTGTTCAAACTTTTAAAAGAATATCTACTAATTTCAAATTAAGGTTTTCTGCTTTGAAGTCTTGACCATTGGCCAGAGTTGTTCAATTTAATAAAACCGATCCGAATCAAACTGAACCGAACCGAACCGAAATAACATATGGTTTAGATTTGGATGCACCGTATATACTGTATATATGTAATTTTATATAAACTATGGATATTGATATGGTTTGGATATTAACCGACCTAACCACAAAAATCTAACCATAAAAATCGAGAAAACCAGAATAATTCTATATACTAATATAATGACAATTGACTCTATTGATCATAATTTTATAATAACAAAAACAAAAAAGAGAGACCAAGCGGACTGGTCTTTCACTCTTTGTTTTTGTTTTTGTTTATTTCAAAAGATACCAAAACTAAAATTTATTTATAGGAATCGTAATATTTTAAAAATATCCATAATACGTATGTAACATATCACTACAAGAATAAAAAATCTTTACAAACTGCATACGATTTTGAATAGTCAGATATGAAATTTCTGATGGATAATTATTTTTATATTTATTTATTTTGTTTTTCCAAAATTTGTATTTAATAAATCCATTGGAATTTTTATGATGGAATTTCCACTGACGTGCTACTTGATTAAAACTTCATATAACAACAAAGGCAAAGAAACTTTGCAGGAACTTTTGATGCCCACAATGTGGTCCTAGCAAATTAAGGTTTTCCACTACGATGTCCTGAGTTATTGACCTGTGGCATTGACTCTATTGATCATAATTTTATGACAGCGTTAAAAAAAGAAAAAAAAAAGAAAGAAAGACCAGACCTTTCTAATGCACATGCAGGGGGCTGTTTTTTTTCTTTGAATTATTAGAGTTATGCGAATTGTGAAAAAAAGGCTTTGAATGAATATAAACTTTTTGTTTTAGTTTTTGGTTTATTTTCGATAAAATATAAAATTAAGTAGGCTTTAGATTTTTTTTTAAACGAAATACAGGAAGGTAAAATTTAGGAAAAGTATAATTTTAAAATTAAATGAGTTTGTTTGTTTTTTTTTTTTTTCAAAAAGTAAAACACAAATTAGAAACTGCTCCCAAAACCTAGTATGTGAGAGTTTCATGGACGACCAACTCTACACTCATATGTGGAGAGATAAACGAAAATTTCGAATTTATGTAATATTCAGACAATTACAAGTTTACAACATTGTGAACATCCAATCCTAGATAACAAACTAACGGAATTGAAAAGCAGAAATACAAGTGCTGAAGTTTTAGAAATAAGATTTCATACATTAAAACATGAGTTTAGAGAGAGAGAGATCTCGGATTCAACGACCACTTAACTCGGTGACGGATAACTTGTTTAATGAAGCTTCACCTTTGGCTTGATTCGTTGCATCTAAGGTGAAACCAGCAGTTGTAGGTAAAGGAATCGAGATAGTGTCACTCCCAAGCCATTGAATAACCAAACCCATGGTCGGTCTCTTTGCAACATTCCCTTGAACACACAACAAACCAATGTGAATGAACCTCATGATTTCGTTTGTTTGGCTCCTACTCAAGACAGGATCGATGATACTCGCAGCTTCACCCGCAACCCAACACTTCCATGCCTAATACATTACCATATCATAAAATTTATAATCAGTTAAATGTTGCGATATTCATTTTGTGATGATGACTACTACATGCTTACATGTGTAGGGAGCCCCATGGCTTCGACTTCGACGTAGTCCTGGTTACTTTTACCGGTTATTATCTCCAAAAGCACAACCCCGAAACTGTAAACGTCTGTTTTGACGGAAATCCTTCCGTTCCTAATGTATTCAGGAGCCATATAGCCACTGCAATCATGCAATTGTAACATATGTCATGTTATCCTAATCAACCAGCCTCTGATATCAAAAGGACATTAATGATTAACCTGATATCAAGAATCACTACAAATTTCTATTTTAAATATAGCCTATCATCCATGAGTATCTATGTAAGAAACAAAACATCTATCTTTAAAACAGAGCATCTCTGTTTTGAGAAACAGAGCATACTTACTAGGTTCCAACGCGTCTCCTTGTTACTCCACGAGTTTGGTCCATGTTAAATAACCTTGCCATCCCAAAGTCTGAAACTTTAGGGTTCATATCAGCATCTAAGAGAACATTGCTGGCCTTCAAGTCTCTGTGAATAATCCTCAGCTGAGAATCTTCGTGTAGATAAACAAGACCTCGCGCAATGCCTTCTATGATTCGGTACCTTACATTCCACGTTAGTAGCAAACGCCTCTTTTCATCTGCAGATTTAAGTGAGATGCATCAGTACAAAAACCAATAGAGATCATGAAATGCAGTCAGCAAAAAGGCTCACCGAATATGAAATGGTCAAGGCTTGAATTAGGGACATGCTCATAGACAAGAATCCCTTCATCCCCTTCATTACAGAAACCAAGAAGCTTAACAAGGTTCCTATGTTGGAGTCTTGTCAAGAGTAAGACCTCGTTCTTGAACTCCATATCTCCTTGCCCTGAACCGCTTTTTAATCTCTTTACTGCTATTTCTTGCCCACTAGGTAACATCCCCTGAAAACCGTTTCTCATTGTTATGACTTATGAGGTCATTTTGAAAGCAAATTTTACAAGTTTCTTTACCTTGTAGACAGTTCCAAATCCACCTTGGCCAAGCTTATTTTCAGGAGAGAAGTCACTGGTTGCAGTCAGAATCATTCCAAGATCGAACCGTAGCATAAACTGACCATCAGATATACAATCCTCTTCTACACATTCTAAACCCCAAAAAAAAACCCATGAGCAAGGACAAGGATGCATCAAAATGTTGATTGGAAAAGCATGTGAACATACCACTTGTTTCGTTTTTCGGTTTCCTCATATGACCATAAGCTCTGATCAAACCAATAAGCACAATAAAGTTAATGACTGTAGGAATCACAACTATGGCAATAATTCTTCCTGCAAAAAAAAGTTGTATGCAAATCTCAGATGATTTTATAGGTTACAATAAGCATCAAACTCACTTGTTATCAAACCTTTCATGCCACTAGCAGAGTTTGCTTGTGTTTGACGTAGAAAAGGTCGAGGAGGCCCAGGGATTCTTGTTGTGTTAGCGAAAGCTCCGTAAAAACGGAAAAGATCCCACCGGAAAACGCAGCTCGGCCGACATACCGAACCTCCATTTTTCCCCCAAGAAAAATCTCTAAAATACTTAACGCACTCTCCCAAACATTCCTTGCACTCCCCTGAAGTTATGTCCGGTGTGCATTGCATCATCATGTAGACATTCGGAAACTCCATAAACTCTGCGTTCACAGCTCCGAAATACTTGAGAACCGATGCCGGATTCTCAGCGGTTGCAGCCTCGAGTGTCCGGTTAACCGTTGTTTCCCATTCTTGGCGGAAAAGGGTAATGTTCTTGGTTGATGAATCGAGATCAACGGGATTGGGGTCGTTCGTAAGTGGGTCAAGATCGAGTATCCGAAAAGTTGGGCGATCCGTGGTACGTACAAGACAAGATACCTGGTCTGCATCGTCACCGTCCCAATTGAACGACTCAACTTGATCAGGACAGCTTCTTTTTATCTCTCGAATGGCCTTTTCGATACAGTTTATACAAGCTTGCCGCTCGAAGCCTCTTCTGCAGAGGGCAAGAGCGTGAGCTCTACCGAGTGAAGCGTTGTAAAATCCACGGTTTGTGAAGACTTTGGAAGAAAGAGAGGAGAAGAGAGTGTCGCGGTTTTCGCGGTAGCTACTGTTGCTGAGGAAGCGGTCTCCGACGCAGAGGAAACCGGCTTTAACTCCGTTGAAAGTTTGAAGAAGAAGAAGAAGGGACAAGGAGAGGAAAACTGTAGCAGAGTTTTTCATTGCAATTGTTTAAAGACTTCAAAAGAAATGGAGATTATGAGTTTGTTGATTGTTATATATGTTAATTCTCTCAATAAACTCATTCCTCACGTTCTCACCATTTTGAAGTCTTCGTCAATGTTATTAATCAATTGATATACCCTTTGAATACGGCTACGTCAGTTTTCTTTTGGACTTTACAAAATATAAAAGTTGGACCAGTTACAACTCGTGGGCGACTCTTGCTTCTGATCTAGCTTTCAAGTCAAGTGTGTAAGAGTTGAATTAGCCATGTACCTGCTATGTATATTTCTATAAATATAATATGGCAAAAGGCCAAAAGCTATATATATATATATATATATATATATATATTATAAAAACTCCCACTTTTCTCTTGCATCATCATTGTTTGAATGTTAATCATTTCTTATACTAATAGTTAAACTCACGGTGTTATGCTTATCCCTTGTTTAACTTATTGCACTTGATCATTTTTTTTTCTCCATTTTCTAGCTTTTAGAACCAACAACCCAAATGTTACAATTGGTGTAGACTAATTAATTTTCTCATCCACAAAAGTTAGTTCTTGTGAAATATTATTTCGATGAAATCAGTTCTTAAATATTTTATTTGTAACATGTTTATAATTTGTTTATAGCTTTATAATTCTGGACTTTTAGCGTTTACTAGAGTTTTTTTCCACTAGAAAGATTAAAATAGAGCATAACCAATATAAATGTGATTTTTCATCCAATTCTAGATTAACTCTTTATTTCAAGCTAATAAATTTTGGATTTAAATTCAACCACTAGGACTGGTACAAAATGTTAAATGTCTCATAAAACAAAACGGAGGGAAATGTCAAAACAACATTTTGATTCACTGATATATAACTCAACGAGAACTCAACTCCGTGAAGACAATGCTCATTGACATTGAACTACTTTTAGATTGGGACTGAAGACTTCCAGTGAAAGCAGGAGCGTTAGGTAAAGGAATGATGATAGTCTCACTGCCAAACCAAACTATTACAGAGCTCATGGATGGCCTCTTTGCTGGATTCTCTTGAACACATAATAAACCAATCTGAATCAACTTAATAATCTCGTTTCTCGGATCCTCTACCAGTAAAGGATCAATTATAGTCTCAGGCTTTCCTTCTACCCATCTCTTCCATGCCTGCACCAAGAAAATATCTTACTCTCACTCACTACATATGTTATAAAAAATTATAAAGCAAAGACTAATATAATGTGAAAGAAACTTACAAAAGCTGCAAGGCCTTCTCCTTCGAAGCTATTGTTTCTTTCACCACTTATCATCTCTAAGAGAATAACACCGAAGCTATAAACATCAGACTTAGCTGAGATTTGCCCGCGGTTCAGGTATTCGGGAGCCATGTATCCACTACATATATGCAAATTAATTCATGATTGCTTGATCGAAGAATGTCTCAAACATTCTATTTTTTTGCTAAAATGTCTCAAACATTCTAATTAAAACATCAGACGTATATGTGTCTTCAAGGTTTATTGGTATGTACTTACCGAGTTCCAGCTATTCGTTTTGTTTCAGCACGAGTCTCATCAGCGTCGAATAACCTTGCGGTCCCAAAGTCTGCAACTTTAGGGTTCATCTCTGCATCTAGAAGGATGTTGCTCGCCTTCAAGTCTCGGTGAATAATCTTCAGCTGAGAGTCTTCATGAAGATACAGTAGACCTCGAGCAATGCCTTCTATAATTCTGAACCTCACCTCCCAAGTAAGAAGCGAACGCTTCTCTTCATCTGTGGATTTTTGACGAAGATATTCGCTTACTAAATATTTCAAGAAGTATTGTAACCTAAGTGTAGCGTACGTCTCAAGAAAACTCACCAAAGATAAAATTATCAAGACTTGAATTAGGGACAAGCTCGTAGACGAGAATCTCTTCATCTTTTTCATTACAGAACCCAAGAAGCTTAACAAGGTTCCTATGTTGGAGTCTTGTCAAGAGTGAAACCTCATTCTTAAACTCTGTATCTCCTTGTCCTGAACCTTTTGTTAGTCTCTTCACCGCTATCTCTTGCCCGTTTGGTAATCTCCCCTGAAACCGGTTCTCAAGATTTATTTCTCATCTCATCCAACACCAAGTTAGATCAATCAACAACTCAAGATTTATTGTTACTACCTTATGAACCGTACCAAATCCACCTTGGCCAAGCTTATTTTCACACGAGAAGTCATCGGTTGCCATTGAGATCATAGCAAGATCAAATCGTAACATAAATTGACCAGCAGAATCAGAGTACTCTGCACTACCAACTAAAATAAAAATTAAAATTAAATTCTACTCTCTTTGTCTCTAAATCATAAAGTTTATTGAAGCAAGAAACGTAAGGTATACTTACCATCGGTTATGTAATTCATGTTGTATGATCTTCTCCTCCGAGCATAGAGTTTTATGAAACCAATAAACACCAAAAGATTAATGAAAGTAAAAACCACAACTATCGCGATAATTTCGCCAGAGCCTATGCTTCTTCCTGCAAATTATTAAACCCTTTTTAGTCTAAGAAACTCTTTATCATAATATCATATACTTACAAATTGTGGAAATTATGTAACACATTTGTTCTACCTTTCTTGTTTGTTGTAGAGCTCTCATTTTCCTGAGGTCGAGGAGGCGCAGGAGATCTTGTTACATTATGAAAAGCACCATGGAAATCATATAGATCCCACCTGAAAAAACAGCTCGGACGATTAACTTCTCCGCCTTGTGTTCCCCAAAACTGGCTTTTATACAACCTCACACATTCTCCCAACACATGTCTGGCACTCTTGGGAAGTTATGTCGGGTGTGCATTGCATCAGCATGTAAACATTTGGATACTCATTGAACTCGGCTTTTTCCGCAGCATAGTACTTAAGTACCGAGGAAGTTTCAGTTTCCGTGGCAGCCTCGACGGTTCGGTTAACCATTGCGTCCCACTGTTTTTCGAAAAGGGTGACGTTGTTAGATGGCTCGATGCTAAGTTGACTTGGGTATATAATAGCTGGTCTAAGCTCGAGTTTCCCGAGGGTTGTGTGGTTTGAGGAGCGTACAAGACAAGAAACACTGTCTTCAACGTCTTTGTCCCACGTGAAAGAGTCCATGCGGTTATATATTCCCCGAGCCGCGCTTTGGACACAGTTCATACAAGCTTGTTGCTCATAGCCTCTTGCGCAGATGACAAGAACGTGAGCTCTGTTGGGACTATTTCCGAGTGAAACGTTGTAGAATCCACCATTGGCGACGACTTTATCAGGAAGAGTAGAGAAGAGATCGTCACGATCAGTGGCGAATCTACTAAGTGCTATACGGTGTCAGTTGACACCGTTTAAATATTATAAAGACCTTAAATGTAACTAAAACACAAGACAATTTACTAGCAAAATGGTAAAAGATGCCTATTGAACCCACATCATCCAGGTTCGATTCCTACCTTGACCCCAGTTAATTTTTTTTCTAGATTCGCCACTGGTCACGATTCTGAACGTAGCTGCTGTTAGCGTTGAAGAAGCTTCCGGCACAACCGACGGCGTTAGCGGTTTTGAGGTTTTGAAAGACAAGAAGAAGAGAAGAAGCGAGGAAGATCATCAAAGCAGGGGAGTTCCCCATTTTTTTATTAATGATAAAAACAAAACAAATTTTCTTGCTATTGTTAAGAAGTAATCATTTTTAGAGATTGTTCATATTTATATATGTAAGATGAGAAATCGAGCATTGGTTGACTTCATGAATCAAAAAATGTGTATTGGTCATTTTATCTTTTGGTTCATGTAATCGCCCGGTCGTTGGTCGTTGGTCGTTGGCTGCTTGATTATATAATACTGTTTTGCAACTCATATTTAGTGATTTTTTTTTTGGTCAAGTGGATTTTGATAACCTAAGGTTGGTTTATTGCTAATAATGTAAGGTCGTCTACGTAATGTTTGCTGTATATGTCCAAAAATTCTTGGTTTATTCTGCAGTTTGGCTTAATGTTATAGACTCATGCAGAGAAGACCAAGACTCTTCATTCAGATGTGGACATGGAAGAATATGTAGAGATATATTGATTTTTATTGCATAAAAATATGTTATCCGTTTGGATTGACAAACTTTTGACTCGAGTCCGTGTTATAGTAGGTAGATAGTTAAATATTCATAAAATATTTAGATGGCCAATGGTGGTGGGGGGTAATTTTACACCATTTAGGAGTTAGAAGCTATTAAGCTAATCAGGGATTAGGGGCAATCTCCTACTCATCTTTACGTAGTACGTGATGTAATTACACACAAATCAAACATGCATGAACCTAAAGCCACACTAATAGCTCCTATATATGCCATTCACAACAATATCTACTGCGCATCCAAGTAAAGAGCTTTTAATTTCTTATTCGTGACAAGACAACATAAGAATCCAAGTAACCAAAGCCTGGTCAGACTTGACCCAGAGAGTGGCCCGGGTAAAGCGTATACATATTCCACAAGTTTGAAATGAGAACCACATGAATTTGTATTGGTTTAGACTCACTCAAACAAAAAATGTTGGGAACTTGTTCAAGATTTATTTCATGAGACAAAATTGGTACTCTCTCCGTTTCATAATAAGTGTCGTTTTTGACTCTTCACTTACCAAATGTATCTAGATATATATGGATGTATTAAGACTCAAAACATATCCAAATACATTAATAAATAGTCCAGATTCATTTTGTCAAAACGACACCTATTATGAAACGGAGGGAGTAGCATTTAGCCTTTTATTCTTGGCGAGATCATTTGAAGTTACCAACATATCGTTTATATATGACAACAAGTACTACTTTTCATATTTTGTATCTTTTTATGTAATGGATCATGTGAACAAAAAAGCAGCTTCTTCATAAAAGCATCAAACACACACGGTTCTCTTCTGCCCTTTGTATGAGAAAGAAGAAGATGATTTTCACTGATGTGTCTTGTTAGAGAGGATACTTTTATACTTACACAGTTACACTATTTAATTATTTATACAGATTACAGAGTGATGTACGAAAAGTCTATAAAATTCAATATCTAGCAATGAATGAAGACTACAATACAAGAAAGAGGAACATATATGGTGACTGAGATAGCAAATATTTGGCAACAAACCAAAAACATATGTATTACATATTACTGAAGGGGCGTATTAAGATTCATAGAGATTACCATAATAAATTTTAAATAAAATCTGTATCAACTACTAGCATATACTCTCTGTAGAGTTTCAATTAAAATGCTTTCCTCAAAAACAACACATTGGTTTAACAATTATTAATGACTCAACGAGATATCAGCTCTGAGAAGACGTCCTTGCACATTGACATTACACCATCTTCAGATTGGGCTTGAGTCCATGTGAAAGCAGGAGCCGTAGGCGAGGGTATGGTGATAGTCTCACTGCCAAGCCAAACTGTTACAGAGCTCATGGTTGGTCTCTTTGTTGCATTCTCTTGAACACACAACAAACCAACCTGGATCAACTTAATGATCTCCTTACTCGGAGTCTCTGCCGAGAAACGATCAATTATAGTCTCAGGCCTTCCTTCAACCCATCTCTTCCATGCCTTAACAAAAAAGAAAAAAGAAAGAATATAAATGTTATGTGAAGATACAAAAGGAAGGACCAAGAAGACTGATATGTGAAAAAAACTTATTACAAAAGCTGCAAGTCCTTCTCCATCAAAGCTATTGTTTCTTTCACCGCTTATCATCTCTAGAAGCATAACGCCGAAGCTATAAACATCAGATTTAGCTGAGATTTGCCCGTGATTTAGGTATTCCGGAGCCATATATCCACTGCATATATGCAAGCAGTAAAGTTAATGATGGTGAGTAATATTTACGTGTCTTCCAAGTATACATTTGATTGATATGTTCTTAGTTTCTTACCGTGTTCCAGCTATTCGTTTGGTTTCAGCTCGAGTCTCACCAGTGTCGAACAACCTAGCTGTCCCAAAGTCAGCAACTTTAGGGTTCATCTCTGCATCTAAAAGGATGTTGCTCGCCTTCAAGTCTCTGTGAATAATCTTCAGCTGAGAATCTTCATGAAGATAAAGTAGACCTCGAGCAATGCCTTCTATAATTCTGAACCGCACCTCCCATGTAAGAAGCGAACGCTTCTCATCATCTGCGGATTTATAAGAAACATTGTTTTGCTAAAAGTTTTCTTAAGAAAATCAAAATGAAATCTTTCTTTCCAAGTCTCACCAAAGATAAAGTGATCAAGACTTGAGTTGGGGACAAACTCGTAGACAAGAATCTCTTCATCTCCTTCATTACAGAACCCAAGAAGCTTAACAAGATTCCTATGCTGGAGTCTTGTCAAGAGTGAAACCTCATTCTTAAACTCTGTATTTCCTTGTCCTGAACCTTTTGTTAATCTCTTCACCGCTATCTCTTTCCCGTTGGGTAATTTCCCCTAAAACAGGTTCTCAAGATCTGTTACTCCTCCAAGACCAAGATCAATCAATACTTCATTATTACGAAAAAAAAGGTTATTACTACCTTATAGACCGCTCCAAATCCACCTTGACCAAGCTTATTTTCAGACGAGAACTCATCGGTAGACATTAGGATCATACCAAGATCAAACCGTAACATATATTGACCATTATCAGAATCAGAGTACTCTGCACTACCAACTAAAAATAAAAATAAAAAAACATTTAAGGCTTACTCTCTACATTATAAGGTTTATTGATACAAATAATAAGAGGTGCATTTACCATTGAATCTCTTCTTTAACTTTCTCCTCCGAGCATTGAGTTTGAAGAAGCCAATAGATACCAAAAGGTTAATTAAAGTCACAACCCCAACTATCATGATAATTCCCCTATACCCAATGCTTATTCCTGCAAAATATTAACAACCATTATAGTAATGATGATAACCTCTTTATCATACTTGCAAATTGTGGAAATGCGCTAACTCATTTATTTTACCTTTCTTTTCTGTTATAGAGTTGTCCTTATCTGTAGCTTGAGGTCTAGGAGGCGCAGGAACTCTTGTTACATTATCAAAAGCACTATGGAAATCATGTAGATCCCACCTGAAAAAACAGCTTGGAAAACTAGCCATGCCTCCTTGTCTTCCACGATACTTTTTTCTATAATACCCCACGCAACCTTCCAAACATCTCCTGCAATCTTTGGAAGTTATGTCGGGTGTGCATTGCATTAGAATGTAAACATTTGCAAACTCGGTGAACCCGGCTGCTACAGCACTATAGTACTTGACAGCCGAGGAGTTTTCAGCTCTTGTGGCCGCCTCGAGGGTCCGATTAACCGTTGCGTCCCATTCGTGTAGGAATTGGGTCATGTTTTTAGATGGCTCTATAGGATTTGGATTTGCGTTTATGACAGGAGGTCCAAGCTCGAGTTTCCGGAAAGTTGAGTGGTTTGAGGATCGTACAAGACAAGAAACAAGGTCTACGTCATCATTGCCCCAAATGAACGAATCCGTGCGGTTAAGACAGTTCGTTTGTGTGTCCTGAGTCAACTTTTCGACACAATTGAAACAAGCTTCGGGATTGTAGCCTCTTGCGCAGAGGACAAGAGCATGAACTTCGTTGAGATCTTGCCCGAGTGAAGCGTTGTAGAATCCACCATTGGCGACGACTTTATCAGGGAGAGTAGAGAAGAGATTGCGGCGATTCTGAACGTAGCTTCTGTTGCCGATGAAGGAGCTTCCGAAACACCTGACGGCATTTACAACTTGGAGGTTTTGAAGGACAAAAAGAAGAGAAAAAGCGAGGAAGATCATTAAAGTAGGGCTTTTCCCCATTTTTGTTTTGTGTTTTCAATCTGTTATAACAACTTTTCTTCTTCTTGTATTGTTAAGAAGTAATCGATTGATGAGCTTTGTTATATTTATATCCCTATTTATATAGGTGAGACGAGAGAACGAGTATCGGTTGACTTCTACATAGTACTGAAAAAATGTGTATTATTTCTAGATGTGCTGAAAAGTAGCTTATAGGGCTTATACGTGGTCTTTGGTCTTTGGAGTTATACGTGGAATAGAAGCGGTACGTGGAAAATCAGATGATATCTTTTCCAGAAAACGTTTTATATACTCTGCATCTCTCATTCTTTGTAATTACAAAAGGAGGGATTTTGATTTTTGAGTAATAATTTCGTTTTAAGCTTTGTTACTTATGGTCAAGACTATTGATACTTACTGTTACTGTTACTGCCTCAATATTTAGTACTTGTATGTTGTTAATAACAGCAAAACCTGGTCTAGTTTGAAGTTATGCATGGAATATAGAAGCGGTACGTGTGGTAAAGTAGATCGTTTTTTTAGAAAAAAAAGGTACGTTTTAAGAACACATAAAATACCAAACATCAAATTATATTATAAAAAATATTTTAGTAAAAATTATATTATTGAACAACGGATCATAGCACTCGGAAAAAAAAGATTATTGTATTTTTTACTTTCACCAACTCTATCACACAAGAAGCGGTACGTGTGGTAAAGTAGATCGTTTTTTTAGAAAAAAAAGGTACGTTTTAAGAACACATAAAATACCAAACATCAAATTATATTATAAAAAATATTTTAGTAAAAATTATATTATTGAACAACGGATCATAGCACTCGGAAAAAAAAGATTATTGTATTTTTTACTTTCACCAACTCTATCACACAAGAAGACTACATTACTTATAATATATATATATATATATATATATTTTTTTTGTTTGGTTATACACCTAAAATATTTCTTTAGATCACATTTGGTATAGAAGAAGAACCTCTTGTTTTTGTTATAGACCAAGTAGTCTTTTGATTTGATGCCAACGATCTTGTGATCCTTCATCCTTGAGAGTACATGACTTCAAAATTCTTTTAGCCCTGTAGACTTCCACGCGCTTGCTATATGAGATTTAAAAAAAAAAATGGGATAGTTTGCATATAGGATAGTTTTAAGTTTCAAAAGAGGTGGGTGTAGTTTTTAATTGGGAAAGTAGGAGAGAAGGTTACTTTTGTGTTTCCATGATCGAAATCGCCTTGTGTGTGGGAGAGAGACAGACCGATGAGAGAGAAGCATAAGTGATCCCAAGCATAAAAAATAAATTATTTTTCTCTTTCCTACTTTTTCATAGTTAATTTCTCCCTTAAATTTGTGATTCAAATTTATCAATGTAAATTTTAAATTATATGATGATATATTCATTAAAAATTTATAAATCTTTTTCTACACATATTAAATTTTGAATTTTTTAATACAGATAATTTTATAGGGTAAACATTATGTCAACCCATATACAATATATGTACACCACCATTTACAATATATATGATGTACGCAAAAATAGTGTACACGATAATATATAGTGTATGCGTTAATATATGGTGTACCAATATATGATCATAATGGTGTACAACGTAATGGTGTATAAAATATGGTGTACAAACAAAAATATATACAATATATGATGTACGCGAAAATAGTGTACACAACAATATATGGAGTACACATCAATATATAGTGTACACAAAATAGTGTACGCCACAATATACGGTGTACGCGCCCAATATATGGTGTACCAATATATGATCATAATGGTTTACATTGTAATGGTGTATAAAATACAGTGTACAAACGATAGTATACACAATATATGGTGTACGCGCCAATATATGGTGTACGCACCAATATATGATTGTAATGGTTTACACTGTAATGGTGTATAAAATATGGTTTACAAATGATAGTCTACACAATATATGGTGTACACGTCAATATATAGTTTAGAAATATATGATCTTAGCCCTCTTAGCTATTTTTAGGTGTAATAACATGGAAAACCATAAAGTTTAAAACCTAAATGGTAATACCTAGTCAATGATGGTAAACCCATGGGAAAAAATCATAAACCCTAAACCATAATTACTAAACTCTAGTCAAGGATTGGTAAACTCTTGGAGAAGAATCATAAACCCTAAATGGTTAATATTAAACCCTAGTCAAGGATTAGTGAACCCATGGAAAAAATTTATTAACCTTAAACCCTAAACGCTAAACCCTAAACCATACAGAATAATATACGGGAAAAAATTAAAGCCTAAAATCTAAATGGTAATCCCTAGTCAAAGATGGTGAATTCATGGAAAAAAGTCATAAACCATAAATCCTAATTGCTAAACCCTAGTCAAGGATTAGTAAACCCCTAGAGAAGAATCCTAAACCCTAAATAGTAAATACTAAACCCTAGTCAAGGATTGATGAACCGATGAAAAAATTGTAAATCTTAAATTCTAAACGTTAAATTTTAGTCAAAGATTTGTGAATTCACTATTTTATTATAGTCTGAAACAATGATCTAAATTCACTAACCTAAGCTAAAATATTTTATTATAGTCTGAAACTATAATTTTAAAATATATAGCTCTCGACGACCTCTTGAATCTGGTGAAATACTTGGGACAGTTACATGTTTATAATTTATATAAATGAAGAGTTTTAATTTCACATTTGATCAAGTATTTTTCTGTTGTTAAATAAATATATACTCCAAAACTAAAAAAAAATAGTTAATTGGTTAAAAATGTGTTGTTACACGTGAAAGATTCAAGTTATAGTTTTTTTTCTAATTAAACTTTTCTTTGCCAACAATTAATCAACAAATTATGATTTTTCTTAGTAGTCAAATTACCTAAATTGCTATATTTTCCTATCAAATAAATAGTAAATAAAAAGAGGGGATAATATTGGTTTTTTTTAAATCTTGTGTAAAGTAAAATGATTAGAGAGGAAGAAGGAGAGAGAGAGAAATACATGTATTGAAAAAAGAAAAGTCTAAATGGCATTATCGTGATTAAATTAGAAAGGGAAGGGCTGTTGTTAGGGCCCAAACAGTGAACCACCTCTTTTGCCAATTCCAAACTCGTTTCCGTCAAAAAGTTAATTACAAACACAAAACCCACCTACGCAGCAAGTTTCCCAAAAAAAATTAGCAGTTTTGAAACCACGTGGTTTGATTTTATTCATGGTCCTGTGGTCCATGCATGCAGAGTACTACATGAATTCAGTTTTCTTTTACCGAATCCAACGCGTTACATAATAAGTATAGGAGACGATGTCGTTTATCTCCAAACGTTGAAGTCTTGAGCAAACATTGCATGCACTTCAGGACAATGAAGTTTTCGACGAGTCGTTTACGTTAAGATAGAGAAAAGTATCTTCCTGGTGGTTTCCACAACGCTTCCACAGGCGGAGTTTAATCTCTTGCCCTTTGTTGAAAATACTACGAAGTGTAAACTTGTCGTCGCTGCATCAACAGAGCGAGTATGAATCTCTTAACACAATGCCAAGGCAAAACAGAAGCATATCACTAGGATTCTGAAAGCGATGCAAAGGTTTATTGTCTGGTACGTTACCTAAATATACTACATTTGGCAAACTAATATTATTGTAGACGAGTAATATTATTTTCTCTAAGACGCTGAGAAGAATCCTAAAGTTGCAGGCTTTGGGATGGCAAGTTTGTTTAACATGGAAGAAACTGGAGGAGAGAGGAGCACCGAGCAGAGTACGTAGTTGGAACCTAGTAAGTATGCTCTGTTTTATAAATTGATACTCTGTTTTGGACCTAGATGCGCGCTATTAGACATGGATCATGAATGGATGCGCTCTGTTTCAGACGTAGTTAGTATGATATGTTTTTCAATCTATGATAACATTTCATCAAAGTGATCAAGATTATATTGGAGGGGCGTAGTGAACATTCATACAGATTGCCATAATAAACTGTAGATAAAATATGTACCAATAACAGTTACTGGCATATATAATCCCTGTAGATTTTCAATTATAATACTTTGTACTTCTTAAAAAGACAACGTAATGATTAACAAATTTATAACTCAACGAGAACTCAGCTCTGTGAAGACGTCTTTGCTCATTGACAATATACCATCTTCAGATTGGCATTGAGTCCATGTGAAAGCAGGAGCCTTAGGTGTCGGTATGGTGATAGTCTCGCTGCCAAGCCAAACTGTTACAAAGCTCATGGTTGGCCTCTTTGTTGCATTCTCTTGAACACACAATAAAGCAACCTGGATCAACTTAATGATCTCGTTACTCGGAGTCTTCTCTACCAAGAAGCGATCAATTATTATCTCAGGCCTTCCTTCAACCCATCTCTTCCATGCCTTAACAAAAAAGAAAAAAGAAAGAATATAAATGTTAATTATGTGAAGATACAAAAGGAAGGACCCAAAAAACACAAAAAAAAAGGAAGGACCAAGAAGACTGATATGTGAAAGAAACTTACAAAAGCTGGAAGTCCTTCTCCTTCAAAGCTATTGTTTCTTTCACCGCTTATCATCTCTAGAAGCATAACACCGAAGCTATAAACGTCAGATTTAGCTGAGATTTGCCCGTGATTTAGGTATTCCGGAGCCATATATCCACTGCATATATGCAACTAGTAAAGTTAATGATGGTGAGTAATATTTACGTGTCTTCCAAGTACACATTTGATTGTTATGTTCTAAATTGTTCTCACCGTGTTCCAGCTATTCGTTTGGTTTCAGCTCGAGTCTCATCAGTGTCGAACAACCTTGCTGTCCCAAAGTCAGCAACTTTAGGGTTCATCTCTGCATCTAAAAGGATGTTGCTTGCCTTCAAGTCTCGGTGAATAATCTTCAGCTGAGAATCTTCATGGAGATAAACTAGACCTCGAGCTACGCCTTCTATAATTTTGAACCTCACCTCCCATGTAAGAAGTGAACGTTTCTCTTCATCTGCAGATTTCAAAGAAACATTTATTGCTTAGAGTTTCTCAAACTATCGAAACTGCAATTGTACACTCTCTGGAAGTCTCACCGAAGATAAAGTGATCAAGACTTGAGTTTGGTACAAACTCGTATACAAGAATCTCTTCATCTCCTTCATTACATCACCCAAGAAGCTTAACAAGATTCCTATGTTGGAGTCTTGTCAAAAGTGAAACCTCATTCTTAAACTCCGTATTTCCTTGTCCAGAACCTTTTGCTAATCTCTTCACCGCTATGTCTTGCCCGTTTGGTAATGTCCCCTGAAACAAGGTCTCAAGGTCTTTTACTCCTCCAAGACGAAGAATAATTAAATATTAGGAAAAAAGGTTATTACTACCTTGTAGACCGTGCCAAATCCACCTTGACCAAGCTTGTTTTCAGACGAGAAGTCATCGGTTGCCATTAGGATCATACCAAGATCAAACCGTAACATATACTCCCTCCGTTTCAAATTAGTTGTCGTTTTGGCAAAATATATCTGCAAATATTTGGACGTATTTGTAATGCAAAACACGTCCAGATACATCCAAATATTTACAGATACATTTTGCCAAAACGACAACTAATTTGAAACGGAGGGAGTATTGACCATCATCAGAATCAGAGTACTCTGCTCTACCAACTTTATAAATAAAAAAAAAGGAGAAGAAATAAGGCTTTGCTCTCTACATCATATAGTTTTTTTTTTTTTTGGTGAATTCTACATCATATAGTTGATTAGAGCAAAAAAAACAAAAAAAAAACAAAAAAAACAAAGAGAGAGGTGCATTTACCATTGAATTTCTCCTTTAACTTTCTCCTCCGAGCATTAAATTTGAAGAAAACAGTAAATGCTAAAAGGTTAATTAAATTCACAACCACAATTATCACGATAATTCCCCTATACCCAATGCTTATTCCTGCAAATTATTAACGATTACTCATGATAAGAACCTCTTTATCATACTTACAAATTGTGGAAATGCTCTAAATATTTTGTCTTACCTTTCTTGTCTGTTGTAGGGTTTCCCTTTTCTTGAACCTGAGGTCGAGGAGGCGCAGGAACTCTTGTTACATTATCAAAAGCATATAGATCCCACCTGAAAAAACAGCTTGGAAAACTAGCCATGCCTCCTTGTCTTCCACGAAACTGTTCTCTATAATACGCTACGCAATCTCCCAAACATCTCCCGCAATCTTTGGAAGTTATGTCCGGTGTGCATTGCATCAGCATGTAAACATTTGGAAACTCAGTGAACCCGGCTTCTACAGCACTATAGTACTTGAGTACCGAGGAGTTTTCAGCTCTTGTGGCCGCCTCGAGGGTCCGATTAGCCGTTGCGTCCCATTCTTGTATGAAAAGGGTCATGTTTTTAGATGGCTCTATACGATTTGGACTTGGCCATACAACAGGAGGTCCAAGCTCGAGGTTTCCGAAGGTTGAGTGGTTTGAGGATCGTACAAGACAAGAAACAAGGTCTACGTCATCATTGCCCCAAATGAACGAATCCGTGCGGTTAAGACAGTTCGTTTGTGTGTCCTGAGTCAACTTTTCGACACAATTGAAACAAGCTTCGGGATTGTAGCCTCTTGCGCAGAGGACAAGAGCATGAACTTCGTTGAGATCTTGCCCGAGTGAAGCGTTGTAGAATCCACCATTGGCGACGACTTTATCAGGGAGAGTAGAGAAGAGATTGCGGCGATTCTGAACGTAGCTTCTGTTGCCGATGAAGGAGCTTCCGAAACACCTGACGGCATTTACAACTTGGAGGTTTTGAAGGACAAAAAGAAGAGAAAAAGCGAGGAAGATCATTAAAGCAGACCTTTTCCCCATTTTTTTTAACAACTTGTTTTTTTCTTCCTTGTAATAAGAAGTAGGGATTCTTGCAATAGTGACCTAAAAATTGGGGTCAATTGCATATGTAACCTCTTTTTCAACTCTCCAAAAATTTTGCCACTTTCTCTCAACTTCACCCTATCCAGTTTCTTATATTTACGAAAGTGCCATTACATTTTTTATTTTTATTTTAATTTAAGAAATCCAAAAGACAAAACAATCCTCATCCTCTTCACTTATTCACGAAAATGCCATTGACATCAATTCTTCCAACCACCATTTTCAACCAATTTGAAGCTTTTAAAGCTTCAAATACCCATTTTTGAGCACTCTAATCTCATTATCATATCTAAAAACCTTATATTCTTATATTTTCTCTCAATTTTCATCTAAAAAACTTCACAATTTAACATTTCCAAATTTGATAATCAAAGAAATTGCAATAGCTCGTAGTTTGGCTGTTGATAGTGTATGGGCTTTCTTGGTGGTGGTTAGAATCGAATTTATGAACCGTCTAACAAGCTCAAGACCACCGTAAGATAATTTTCCGATCAATTTCGTGAAATTTCAGATTTGTCTCGCGAATGAAGTCTTCTTTTGAAGTCTACTAATGATCGTAAACTTGAAAAGAAGTCTGCTGGTCAACGCACAAGTTAGTTTTGCAATTGACTATTTGACCGATTTACAACAGTAGACTTTGGTTGAAGTCGACGCCCTTTTCTTTGAGAACAAAAAAATATGGCGTAGACTTCAGACGAAGACTTCGTTAGAAACGAAGTTATTTTTGCAATTGACCGATGAGAAGACTTTTTAGAGAAGTCTGCCTCTAAAGTCTGTAAAAAAAAATGTTAGTTTTGTAATTGACTAATGCTTGACTTTTCTGGCAGACTTCTTTCGAACTCTACTTAGACTGATTTTTGGATTGACGAAACTTCAAATTTTGAGTAGACTTCAAGTGAAGTCCACTAGTTGAGTAGACTTTACACGAAGTCTACTAATTAATTTATTTGATTTTTGGTCAACCCCAAAACTAACTCAATATAGACTTCATTTAAAGTTTGCTCGGTAGGTAGATTTCTCTGAAAGTCTACTATAAAAAGTCAGATTTGGTCAATTGCAAAACTAACCTCTGTAAAGTCTGCTCAGAAAGTAGACTTCTCATGTGAAGTCTACTTTTACGGGTAGACTGTAAGCGAAGTCTACTTAATTTGAAGAAGTCTATTCCAAAAAAGTTAAAATTTGTTCAATTGCAAAACTAACTCACGGTTTTAAGCAGATTTCATGAGAAAACTTCTCTGAATGAATAGACTTCCTCTGAAGTCTACTAATCTTTTGACAATTGCACAAATAACCTGCAGGAGAGACTTCATATGAAGTCTACTTATGCTGACTTGATTGTTAGTTTATCCATGTAGACTTGCATAGAAGTTTACATTCTTACGTTTATTTCAAAATGCATTTATTTCAATTTTATAGTTGTTTTTTAAGTTTTTTTGTATCTTGCAGTTGTGTTAGTAAGTGTACTTACTTATATATTAGTTTCACATGTTTATAAGTTTTAGGTATGATGGAATCAATTTTCTTTTTCTATTTGGCATTTAACTCATTAATCGCAGACTTCTTGGAAAGTGTACTTAGTAGACTTTGTTTGAACTCTGCATATTTATTTTTTATACAAAATTCACCTATCTGAAATTTGTGACAAAAAAAAGAAAATTGTTGAGTCTTAAGTTGGTGTTATTTATAGTTTTTGCTTTTGTATAAGTTTAACATGTTTGTATGTTATAGTTAAGCTTTAAATAATATTTTTTGTGTGATTACGTTTTTCGTTTATTAGATGTAGACTTTAGCTGAAGTCTATGTTATCATTATAGACTTTAAGTGAAGTCTACTTGTTAAATTGTCATTCTTAATGTGGTTTGTATCTATTTTACCTAAATGTAGATAATGGCAAAAGATGAACATTGTTTAACTTAAGGAATGGTTGAGAAAAACAAAAATCTATTATGTGATTTGTATATGTTGTAAGTGAAGTTTACTTGTTAAATTGCCATTCTTAATTCTGGTATTAAGAGCAAAGTGTTTATGTACACTTTTAGGTTTCATTGCTGTCTTTTGTTTATGGAGTAGATAGACCTTTCTCAAGGATGGCTTTAAAACCTTTGTTAAGGCTTGAGATTTCTGAAAAACTTTTTTTTATGTATGGTTCTCAAAATCCTTCGGTTAAAACACTCTTTGACGAATGACAATGTTTGTACATCAAGAATTTAGAAGCAACCGAACATAAGACAAGAATTAAAAACATGGCCATGAAAGCTTTGATCGTCATAGTAAACCATGCCTGAAGATTTTAATCCCTCAAGCTGCTTAGCCAAGTTGTCCACAAGCCTGAAAGAGAAATCGAGAGATGATGAGCTGAGGTAAAATAATTGAACATGAAACAGAAAGAGCATAAGTGGATCTAATATGCAGTTACAAGAACTCTTGAACACCGCGTGAGCAAACACAACAACAAAATCAAAACATCTTAAAAGCTCATCATAGAGGTAAAGGAATCAACACACTTCGTTGTTTCTGCAACCCAAACATAAACATAAACTGAACCTTAAGAACAAGACAAGACATAAACAAACCGATAAAGAAATATCACGAACCGCAACAATGTCTAAAGAGACCAAACAATTGCAGAAATCGCAAGGCAAAGAAAACAGCTTAGAATACACAATAAATCCTACACACACTGAAAGAACATCAATTTGAGAATCATAGAGAACAGAATACTATGAACAAGACAAGACATAAACATTATCAAGAGTAGCTAACATTAGCACAGATGATAGTCTAACTCATTATCACCAAAACCAATGAACTAAAGATAATATACAAGTCTAAGAGGAGAGAAACTTAACCACAAGTGACAAGAGTTCCTTGCAAGATCTTTTCAACAATAGAATCTCGCTGCCGCTTCCTTGCAAGCTTAGTCCATTCTGTTTTCTGCAGCAATAGGATCGAAATCTCATTACCCATCATTAAAAAGATCTATATGTAACCTAAATTTGCAACCTTTTCTCCCAATCTTTCAAAATACTAAACCTCCAGCAAAATTATATTTCCCTAAAAATCGAACTTTTCAACCTAAAGCAATTTAGGAAAGGGATAGAGAAATCTTACACTTTAGAGGCATAAATCCAACGGCGAAGACAACAGGATCTGTAAAATCAAAGGTAGCGACTAAGGGATTGAGAGTTTAACTGCAAGATATGCTGGTAAGGAAAGTAAGGGAGTGAGATGAGAGTCATTACCGGCGAGAATCGAGATAAATTACGGCGAGATTTGGGAGGAAAGATGGCAAAGCAAAAGCGGCGGCGGAGATATGAGAAGAGGAAAAGGAAACTCGATTAATTCACTAAACCCATTGAAGTGTTTCTAACGAACAGAGTAAGAGAAAGGAACAAGTATTACCGGCGGAGAGGCAAGCGCGGCGGCGAAAACGATGAGTGTCGGAGAACTCTGTTTGACGACGACGGCGACTCGGCAGCGGAAGAAAAGTTGGGGTCGAGAGGAATTAGGGTTTTTTTCTGAAAATGGAGTCTCTCTTCGGTAAATCCGAATATATATATGCTGGTTAATGTCTGGTTTTGGGTAAAATCGTTCGGTTCAATATATCTTAACCGGCTCAGTTGTACTAGAAGACTTCTTCCAACGTCAATATACAAAGTTTACTAAAGTAGACTGATTAAATTTCGGTTCCCTCCAATTTGCCTAAAATTTTGGATTTCCGCTCAGCTTAATTGATATTTCAGACTTCTATAAAAGTTGGTTATTGAAGTCTACAGATGAAGTCTGCTAAACCCTAAATCCAAACCCTAAACCCTATTTCGAAATTTTAACATTAAAACTTATATCTAACATTGATTTGATATCATATTCACATTTTACAGTTAAAATAACAATTATATGAACTTTAACCAAACCATAATCAAAAATTATTAATGAATTTGGACTTACCCTAACAATAACACTTATATACCATACACTTTAACCCTCAAACTCTACTCATTTCAATCTTATACTTATGAAACTTACAAATTGTTTCATTTTTATGATTTTGTTTTTTATACAAGTGCTAGTTATATATGTTTACGCTATGGATTCAATTATTTATCCAAAATGTTTTTTATAATTTTTATAATTAAGTTTTAAACTTTTGTTAATTAGTAGATTTCACAAGTAGACTTCCAAATGTTGTATAGGTTTCTGACCTAATTTGTTGGTTTTGATTTAAATTGAATAATTTTATTTTTCATACGTGAAGAACATCTATATTTTGGTTTTGTATAATTTTTTTATATCAAATTATTTTTTGTAGAATTTGTAATTAAATTTTATGATGAAATTATGTGGTAGACTTCAATATACGTCTGCACAAGTAGATTTCCCAAGCAGATATCTTCGGGTAAATCTGACATTATGACACACGTTTTTTCTTTGTTCACAAAGGAGGAATTGTAATTTTACTAACCTTGTGGGTTAGTTTTGCCAAACATACAATATAGAGGTTAGACTTCTTGAAAAAATGAAATTATGGGTTAGAAATAGCAATTTCCCCTAAGAAGTAATCGATTTATGAGATTTGTATTATTTATAAAGATGAGACGATAAAACGAGCATCGCTCGCTTGACTTCTAAAAAGACTTAGAAAAATTGTATTATTTCTAGATGCGCTGAAAAGTAGCTTAGAAGTCCGGTAGAGCCCATTCAATGGTAGTCAACCATCTATGAGTGAGTCTCTCATCCAGAAAACAAATGAAAAATAAATTATTAAATATTAACCCCAAATTCTTAAGAACGATTCTCACTTGAGAGACAATGAGAACTTTTTGAGAAACTATGAGATTCATTTCTATAATTTAATCAGGTCTTTTTATTCTTAAGAAGTGTTTTGATTTTATGACAAATTGACAACGATCGTGTGGTCCTTGAGAGTACACGACTTCAGATTTCTATCACACCCAGAGGCTTCTTTCTTTTTTATCAGTTTTGAAACCATTGCAAGTCGTTTGATTTTATTATGTTCATTGTCTTGTACTCTTGTGGTCCCATGGAGAGTGCCTGAATTTAGTTTCCTTTACCCAATCCAACACGTTCAATTAGCCTACGCTCAATAATAAATATATTAAACGACGTCGTTATTTCCAACGTTGAAGAAGTCTTATCATTGTATACACTTAAGGACAATGATTTTTTTTTCTTCTTTAGCAAACATTGAGTACACTTTTTTTTGGGTCTTATCATTGTATACACTTGAGGAAGGACAATGAAGTTTTGGATGAGTCGTTTACGTTATGACAGAGAAAAGTCTCTACCTTACTCCTTCGCCACCATTAAAAGTCAGGGTAGGGTTAAAACAAAAAAAAGTCAGGGTAGGGTTTTTCCACGAAAACGATATATTTTTTTTTCTGTTAAAGATATGATAATAGGAAATCTTCCTCTTTCTCTTGCCTTCTCTTGCGTCATACATCATCGCAGAAAGCGGTTTCTACAACGCTTCGCTAGGCGGAATTTACGCCCTTGCCCTTTGTAAAACACTACGAAGTTCAAGCTTGTCCTCGCCGCATCGATAGAGCGAGTAGGAATCTCTTAACACAGCGCCAAGGCAAGACAAAAGCATATATCACTAAGATTCTGAAAGCGATGCAAACGTTTCTTATCTGGCACGTTACCCAAATATCAGTACATTTGGCAAACTAAAGCTAACGCCGAATGTTCCTGACTCGAGTCTTCCCTCTTCGAATTGACCAGTTTCACCGAAGAGTTTAGTGTGATGGCTGATCTAACACTCGAGGCTGCATTCAAGGCTGATGAGTCTTCGGTACTGAGGTACTATGGAGTCTCCAGTAAAGAGTGTACAGATACCCCTGAGGATTATCCATCGAGACTTAAAGACGAGTAATATTACATTCTCTTAGACGCTGAGATGAACCCTAAAGTTGCAGGCTTTGGGATGGCATTGTTGTTTAACATGGAAGAAACTCGGGGAGAGACGAGCAGAGTAGTTGTAACCTAGTAAGTATGCTCGGTTTTGGACCAATATGCGCGCAATTAGACATGGATGCAAGCGCTCTATTTCAGACGTAGATGCTATGTTTTAGAAATGGATGCTCTGTTTCAGACCTAGATGTTTAGTATTGGACAAGATATAGATCCTCTGTATTTGTTTTACATAAATTTTAGAGATTCTTGGAATTAGTATCATTACTCATGTGATTTTGGTTCTTGCAGAGGCTATATGGCTCCGTAGTACGTGAAAAAAAACGTACAAGAAAATTTTCCTTTCGATTATATGGGTCGAAGGAGAGCCTGAGAGTACAAACGATCCTTACTTAAACGAAATTCCGATGCTAAACGAGATCACAAAGTTGAATCAGATTGGTTTGTTGTGTGTTCAAGAAAATGCAGCTAAAAGACCAACCATGAACTCTGTAATAGCCTGGCTTGCAAGAGACGCTACTCTAACAAGACCTAAACCTACAGAAGCTGCTTCCTCCGTGAAACCTACAAACAGATCCTTTAATAAGTCTAAACACAAAGATTCTGCGTTTTCAGTGGACGATGTTTCGATTACTGTGTTGTATCGTCGGTAAATCTTCCACACTATTAACCTAATCTGCATTCACCACAGACTATAGAAATTGCAGTGTAGGATAGCGTAAGATCCAAGAAAGCTCTTTGATTTTTTTTATTTTTTATTTTTTTTAAAGGATTTAAGAAGGCTTTGTGAATTTGAATCATAATGATCTTGTGGACAAGAGGACCGTGGTGATCCCAATGATCTGTTGAATTTGAATTAGGACCTTGCTCCGATTCGTATTCAGACCTTTAACCAAAGTTTGCACTTTGCAACAAAAAAGAACAGCTACATATTAGGTATATGGTGATTGAGTTTATAAAGCTGGCTACATGCCAAAACATATTTGGTGATTAGCTACCTAAGTTTTAATGTATATCTAAGAACTACATATCTACTAACTAACATAGACTCGAGTAAAAAACGTGTCAATCTCAACGGATTACACAATATTCCTCTGTCCACATCTGAATGAAGAGTCACGCTACTTCCTTTGAATTACATTAATTTATAACAATATTATGTATTGAAACGGTACCAGTTTTTTAAGTGAGTTTTTCATTTATTTATTTTTTGTAAGAAACTCATATAGTATGTTGATAGTTGCATTTTTTACTAAAAGTAAGAAAATCTGAGTTTATCAAGAACAGTTCGTCACTAGGACAACCTATATATATACCGAGCTTCCTTTCTCCCTTTAATCACCGATCTCATTCGCCTTTTACCATAAAGAGTTCCGACTACTATAGCATTCATTATTAACCGACTTATTACTGTACCGATCTCACCATTTACATTTGGAATGCATGAGTCTATTACATTAAGGCATTAAGCCAAACTGCAGAACCAACCAAGAATTTTTGGACATATACAGCACGGCATAACCTCTATCTTAATTGCTACTATATTGCATGTTGTTAAAGGGAGCACAAATGATTATGTAGACGACCTTACATTATTAGCAATAAACCAACCTTATATTATCAAAATCCACTTGACCAAAAAATGATTACTAAATATGAGTTGCAAAACATTCACATATTATAATCAAGCAGCCAACGACGAACGACCGGCGATCACATTTCTCTGACCGGAACCATAAAATAAAATGACCAATACGCATTTACTGATTCATGAAGTCAACTGATGCTCGTTTCTCATCTCACTTATATAAATCTGAAAAACCTCTAAATGATTACTTCTTCACTATAACAAGAAATTTTGTTTTCATTTTATCATTAATAATGGGAAAATGCCATACTTTGATGATCTTCCTCGCTTCTTCTCTTCTTCTTGTCTGTCAAAACCTCAAAGTCGTTAACGCCGTCGACGGGTGTGCCGGAAGCTTCATCAACGGTAACAGCAGTTACATTCAGGATCGCAACAAACTCTTCTCTACTCTTGCTAATCAAGTCATCGCCAGTGGTGAATTTTACAATGCTTCACTAGGCAAAAGTCCTGACCGAGTTTACGCTCTTGCCCTCTGCGCAAGAGGCTACGAGGAACACAATTGTATCGATTGTGTTGAACGCGCGACTCGGAGTATACAAACTATTTGTTTAAACCGCATGGATTCGTTCAGGTGGGACAAAGACGGCGAAGACCGTGTTTCTTGTCTTGTACGTTCCTCAAACCACACAACCTTCGGGAACCTAGAGCTTAGACCAGCTAATATATACCCACATCCAGATGGTATCGAGCCATCTAAAAACATGACCCTTTTCCAACAACAGTGGGACGCAATGGTCAACCGGACCGTCGAGTCTGCCACAGAAGCTAATACCTCCACGGTACTTAAGTACTATGGTGCCCTAAGAGACGAGTTCACGGAGTTTCCAGATGTTTACATGCTGATGCAGTGCACACCAGACATAACTTCCCAAGATTGCAAGAGATGTTTGGGAGAATGCGTGAGTTTGTATAAAAGCCAGTATTGGGGCAGACAAGGAGGAGAAGTTAATCGCCCGAGCTGTTTGTTCAGGTGGGATCTATATGCTTTCCATAATGCTTTTGGTAACGTAACAAGATCTCCTGCGCCTCCTCGACCACCGGCTCGGGAAAAGGAGATCTCTAAAACAAACAAGAAAGGTAAAAAATAAATGAGTTAGAGAATTTCCACAATTTGTAAAGTATGATAAAATGGGTTAAAGATGTTCTCATCATGACTAAAATGTGTTAAAGATGTTCTCATCATGACTAAAATGGGTTAATAATTTGCAGGAAGAAGCATTGGTTATAAGGGAATCATTGTGATAATTGTGGTTGTGACTTTAATAATTAACGTTTTGGCATCTATTGGTTTCTTCAAATTCAGTGCTCGGAGGAGAAGATTAAAGAAGAGATTCAATGGTATATACACCTTCTTCTTTTTTTGCTTCAAATAAATCAACCTTAAAATGTAAAGTGAGACTAGTGAGTAAGACTTAACTGTATTTTTATTTTAGTTGGTAGTGCAGAGTACTCTGATTCTGCTGGTCAATTTATGTTAAGATTTGATCTTCATATGATCTCAACGGCGACCGATGACTTCTCGTGTGAAAATAAGCTTGGCCAAGGTGGATTTGGAACGGTCCATAAGGTAGTTAGTAGAAACTTTTTATTTTATAATAATGAGTTTATGATTGATTTTGGCTGTGATGAGTAATAGATTTCAAGAACCGGTTTCAGGGAACATTACCAAACGGGCAAGATGTAGCGGTGAAGAGATTAACAAAAACTTCAGGACAAGGAGATACGGAGTTTAAGAATGAGGTTTCACTCTTGACAAGACTCCAACATAGGAACCTTGTTAAGCTTCTTGGGTTCTGTAATGACGGAGATGAAGAGATTCTTGTCTACGAACTTGTCCCTAATGCAAGTCTTGATAATTTCATCTTTGGTGAGTTTTCTTGACACGGACGCTACATTTTGGTTACAATACTTCTTGAAATATTTAACAAATGAGTGTTTTAAATCGATCCACAGATGACGAGAAGCGTTCGCTTCTTACGTGGGACGTAAGATTCAGAATTATAGAAGGCATTGCTCGAGGTCTTGTTTATCTCCATGAAGATTCTCAGCTAAAGATTATTCACCGAGACTTGAAGGCGAGTAACATACTCTTAGATGCAGATATGAACCCTAAAGTTGCTGACTTTGGGACCGCAAGATTGTTCGACACTGATGAGACTCGAGCTGAAACAAGAAAAATAGCTGGAACTCGGTAAGAAATACATTGTTAGGAATCCCATACAAGATGAGATGTAAAGTATTATATAAGTTATAACTGTTCATATAAATGCTCGGTTTTTAGCAAAATCTTTAAAATAATCTTGGATCAAACTAACATGAATTCATTTGCATATATGTAGTGGATACATGGCTCCCGAATACTTGAATCATGGGCAAATTTCAGTTAAATCTGATGTATATAGCTTCGGTGTTATGCTTCTAGAGATGATAAGTGGTGAAAGAAACAATAGCTTCGAAGGAGAAGGACTTGCAGCTTTTGTAAGCTTCTTTCACATTATATTAGTCTTTGCTTCATCTTTTAAAATTTTTTAACATCTATCTGTAGAAGGAGAGAGAGATAGTAAGAACATGTATTTTCTTGGTGCAGGCATGGAAGAGATGGGTTGAAGGAAAGCCTGAGATAATAATTGATCCTCTACTGATGGAGGATCCGAGAACTGAGATCATCAGGTTGATTCAGATTGGTTTATTGTGTGTTCAAGAGAATCCATCAAAGAGGCCAACCATGAGCTCGGTAATAGTATGGTTTAGCAGTGAAACTATCATCATTCCTGTACCTAAAGCTCCTGCTTACACTGGAAGCCAATTCCAATCATCTGAAAGTGGTACAATGTCAATGAGCAATGTCTTCACGGAGTTGAGTTCTCGTTAAATTATAATTTAGTGTATCAAAATGTTGTTTTAAGATAAAGTTATTGTATATGTCATCTTTTACTGCGTTTCCTTGTGTTGTTATACCAAACAATTTATTTTTATGATTGAAATACAACATGAACTTTTTGGTTTGTAAATGACCAAGATGAAATTAACTTTATGATAGATAAAAAAAACGACGATGCTCAACTACTTTAGATGATTTTATACACATATACTATGATGTTTTCATTCATAGAAGAACTATACTATTATACACAGAATTGTATATTGCATTCAAACGTTTTTCTTTGATTTTTTTAAAAAGTTATAAACTTTAGAGTCAACTAAGCAATTATCTTATCTTTCTATTCATATATATTTATTTTTGAAAAATAGAAAATCCAGTCAACCACTCAAATATACATCCAGTTCGACGGCTTGTTCGGTTTTTAAAACATCCGAACAAAAACTTCATTGTCCGTTATTTAGGTGACGTTTATTAGGTGACGTCTGCTGAAAACTTCTTTGTCCGTTTAAGACAATAACTACATCGTATCCGATATTTATTTTTGTTTAACAAAAAATCATTCTCAAGAGTTATTTTTCATGAAATGTCTATGATGAAAAATCTTTGATGGTTCAATAGAAAGTTAAAAAACATAGCTTTTCTCAACACAGGCCATCAATTTTTTTGGGAGGGTGTGTGTTTGATTATCTTTTATTTGGTTAATTGAGGAGTTTTACATCAGGCCACTACAAAATATCCTTATCAGAGTTTTACGGTGAGGATATTTTGTAGTGGTATCAGTTTATTTTTTTTTTTGTTTTGTTTTGTGTGCACTTGTTTACATATATCTATTTTTTGAAAAAACTAGTAACTGATGGATTTTTATTTTTTGGTCAACACTCTAGTTATTGATTGATTATTTGCCTACTTTTCAATATACTACATACATTGTGCTGCTTCCACAAATTTGCAAGTTGTTGAACCCGCCAAATCTGGAAATAAGTACATTTTGTTTTATTCAAAGAAAAAAGAAGAAGACCAATGAATACACATTTTCTCAGTCTTTGGAGTTTGGAGTCAAGCAATACTCAGTTTTCTCATCTCACCTATATAACAATGCTCTAACTATAACGGATTAGTACAAAAATAAAAGTTATTATCATATTAATAAAAATAAAAAAATGGGCAAAGGCCCTGCTTTGATAATCTTCCTAGCTTCTTCTCTTTTTCTTGTCTTTCAAAACCTCGAAGTCGTTAACGCCTTCGGGTGTGCCGGAAGCTTCATCAACGGTAACAGCAGCTACGTTCAGAATCGCAACAATCTCTTCTCTACCCTCCCTGATAAAGTCAAAGCCAATGGTGAATTGTACAATGCTTCACTAGGCAAAATTCCGGATAGAGTTTACGCTCTTGTCCTCTGTGCAAGAGGTTACGAGCAAAACGCTTGTATCGATTGTGTCGAACTTGCGACTCAGAGTATACAAACTAATTGTCTAAACCGTACGGATTCGTTCAGGTGGGGCAAAGACGGCGAAGACAATGCTTCTTGTCTTGTACGTTCCTCAAACCACACAACCTTCGGGAAACTCGAGCTTAGCCCAGCTAATATATACCCACATCCACTTGGTATCGATCCATTTAGAAACATGACCCTTTTCCAACGAGAATGGGACGCAATGGTTAACCGGACCGTCGAGGCTGCCACAGAAGCTAATACTTCCACGGTACTTAAGTACTATGGTGCCCTAAGAGCCGAGTTCACGGAGTTTCCAGATGTTTTCATGCTGATGCAATGCACGCCAGACATAACTTCCCAAGATTGCAAGAGATGTTTGGGAGCTTGCGTGAGGTTGTATAAAAGCCAGTATTGGGGAAGACAAGGAGGAGAAGTTAATCGTCCAAGCTGTTTGTTCAGGTGGGATCTATATCCTTTCCAAAATGCTTTTGGTAATGTACCAAGATCTCCTGCGCCTCCTCGACCTCATGCTCGGGACAAGAAAGGTAAAAACAAATGAGTGAAAGCATTTCCACATTTTGTAATTACTCCTTCTGTTTCATAATACAAGGGGTTTAAGATATTTTTGTTTATTTTTCATATTATAATGTGTTTTTCAATTTCTATGCAAAATTGAATGTGTTTTGTTGCTTTTAACTTTATGAATTGTGCAGATTTTTTTTTCATTGGTTAAAATGTTTTGGAATTGATGATAAAATATATTTTATTTTGACAACCTAAAAAAATAAATGAGTTTTTAATCCATGTGCAAAGACCTTAAACACTTATATTATGAAACACAGGGAGTGTATGATAAAGAGGTTCTCATCATGACTAAAAAGGGTTAATATATAATTTGCAGGGAGAGGTATTGGGACTATCGGAATTATTGCGATAGTTGTGGTTGTTCTTACTTTCATTTATCTTTCAATGCTTATTGGTTACATCAAAGTCTATTCTCGGAGGAGAAAATCAAGAAACGGAATCAATGGTAACTGAACCTTGTGTTTTGCTTCAAATCAATTAGTATATGTTATCATGTATAGAGAGTAAGACCTAATTTTTTTTTTCTTGTAGTTAGTGGTGCAGAGTACTCTGAATGTGACGGACATTTTATGTTACGGTTTGATCTTCGTATGATCTTAATGGCAACCAATAACTTCTCGTCTGAAAATAAGCTTGGCCAAGGTGGATTTGGAACGGTCCATAAGGTAGTAACAATATTTTTATTAATGATAAGTTATTGAATGATGTTGGTCTTGCATGAGTAACAGATCTCGAGACCCGGTTTCAGGGAACATTACCAAACGGGCAAGATGTAGCGGTGAAGAGATTAACAAAAGGTTCAGGACAAGGAAATACGGAGTTCAAGAATGAGGTTTCTCTGTTGACAAGGCTCCAACATAAGAATCTTGTTAAGCTTCTTGGGTTCTGTAATGAAGGAGAAGAAGAGATTCTTGTCTACGAGCTTGTCCCTAATTCAAGTCTTGATCACTTTATCTTCGGTGAGCCTTGGACAGAAAGCTTTCATTTTGTAATTTTATAGAAACTTTTTGTAAAACAATGTTTCTTTGTTTGAACTGCGCAGATGAAGAGAAGCGTTCGCTACTTACGTGGGAGGTAAGATTCAGAATTATAGAAGGGATTGCTCGAGGTCTTGTTTATCTTCATGAAGATTCTCAGCTGAAGATTATTCACCGAGACTTGAAGGCGAGCAACATACTCTTAGATGCAGATATGAACCCTAAAGTTGCAGACTTTGGGACTGCAAGATTGTTCGACACTGATGAGACTCGAGCTGAGACAAGAAGAATAGCTGGAACACGGTAAGAATATCCATGCAAGAATATAATCCCATGCAAGATGAGATCTAAAGTAATGTTATGTATTGTTCTATGCATATAAATTTTTAACAGAATCTTTAAGAAATTCTTGGATTAAACAATCATGAATTAATTTGCATATATGTAGTGGATATCTGGCTCCCGAATACTTGAATCGCGGGGAAATCTCAGTTAAATCTGATGTATATAGCTTCGGTGTTATGGTTTTAGAGATGATAAGTGGTGAAAGAAACAATAAATTCGAAGGAGAAGGACTTGCAGTTTTTGTAAGCTTCTTTCACATTATATTAGTCTGCATCTCTTGAATCTTTTAACATCTATCTATAGAGAGAGATTAAGAACATATATTTTCTTGGTGCAGGCATGGAAGAGATGGGTTGAAGGAAAGCCTGAGACAATAATTGATCCTTTACTGGTAAAGGATCCGAGAAACGAGATCATCAGGTTGATTCAGATTGGTTTATTGTGTGTTCAAGAGAATCCATCAAAGAGACCAACCATGAGCTCAGTAATAGTATGGTTTAGGAGTGAGACTATCATCATTCCTTTACCTAATTCTCCTGCTTTCACTGGAAGCCAATCTCAGTCATCTGAAAGTGGTACAATGTCAATGAGCAATATCTACACGGAGTTGAGTTCTCGTTGAATTATAATTCAGTGAATAAAAATGTTTTTTTTTTAAAGATAGACTTGTTGTATACGTCATCTAAAATATATACATTTCATACGTTTCTTTATAATACCAAACGATTTATCTTTACAGTTTTCTTATAAGTTCCTTTCAGACCATTTTAGAATTGGTTATCTCTAACATTTCTTTTAATTTTCTTGCTTTTGCATCAGCGTAGCGTAGACGTCAAATCTTAAACTCAATTGCTATATGAACATTTTTATCAGTTTCTGAATAATTTCATGGTCTTCTAATCGTTTGGATATGTATGATTATGAACAACGTAGGCCTTGACTCTACGGGTCTATTCATGTCCAATCGTCGTTTTCTATTTTGTTTGAAATCGGAAGGATATACTTTTCGCAATGTTGAAGAAGTCTCCAAGATTTTAAAACCAATAAAAGGTTAAAAACACACAAAAAAAAGTCTCGAAGACACTGCATGCCACTTAAAGGTTATTAGAGAAAAGTCGCTACCGTGCTCCTTACGTCACTTGACAAAAGTCAGGGTTTCTAAAAAGGTTTTTACACTCATGAAAACGATATGATAGTAGAAAAGTCTATTCCCTTCTCTGTTCTTGTTTTGTTTTCAAAGAAACTTTACAAATCAAGTCTCTTTATTTAAAGCCAAAATAAAGCATTTAATAATCAGACGTCAATTGTTTGTATAGATGGAAAAATCTGTTCTCTTTCACATCCCTTGTTTTCTTCTCTTCCTTCTCTTAACCATCAATGGCGTTCACGGTAACTACTTCATCTGCGGCAACGAAACCTTCTCTCCAAACACAACCTATGGCGAAAACCTCAACACTCTCTTGCCTTCTCTTGCCTCAAACGTTACCGCACAAGGCGGTTTCTACAACGCTTCACTAGGCGGAGTTTACGCCCTTGCTCTTTGTCGAAAACACTACGATGTTCAAGCTTGTCGTAGCTGCGTCAAAAGAGTAAGTAGGAATCTGTTAACACAGTGCCAAGGCCAAACTGAAGCGTATCACTGGAATTCTGAAACCGAGGCAAACGTTTCTTGTCTAGTACGTTACTCAAATCTCCCTACATTCGGCAAACTAAGGCTTGACCCAATTATGAATATTCCTCACTCGGGCCTTCCCTCTTCGAATCTGACCCGTTTCACAGAAGAGTTTACGGTGATGGCTAATCGAACAATCGATGTTGCATCCACGGCCGATGAGTCTTCAGCGTTGGAGTACTATGGAGTCTCAAGTGCGGAGTTTACTGAATTTCCTGAGGTTTACATGTTGATGCAATGCACACCTGATTTATCATCCGATGATTGTAAGCATTGTCTGAGAGAGAATGTTAGGTATAATCAAGAACATAACTCGGATAGAGTCGGGGGAACGATCGCGCGTCCTAGTTGTTTTTTCCGATGGGATCTGTACCATTTTGTAGGAGCTTTCGACAATCTTGAGAGAGTTTCAGCGCCTCCTCGACCTCCTCCAGAAGACAAACAAACAAAGAAAGGTACTAATAAAACAGATAATCTTTTTTGCTGAAATGTTGAATTGACTTAACTTGCATAACACTTCACTGTTTTTTTATTGTCTTCAGGAAGAATTTTACAACCTTGGAGCGTTGTGGTTGCTGTCGTTCCTACTGTCATTAATATGTTCGTGTTTGTTGCTTTCGTGATTGCTTATCGCCAGATGCGGAGGAGGATTTATGCTGGACTAGTCTACAGTGAGTGTAGTCCCAAGTCTTTTTGAGTAAATGTTTGAAAAGTTTTTGAAGTTTTGTTTTGAAAGCAAAACCTTTAATATATGTGCAGATAATTCTGATTCTGATGGTCAATCTATGTTAAGATTTGATCTTGGCATGATATTAATTGCAACCGATGAGTTCTCACCGGAAAATAAACTTGGACAAGGTGGATTCGGTTCTGTCTATAAGGTAAGAAATTTCACAAAACAATGCACTCTGTAGATATCTTTCATAAAAACTTGTTGATAAAAAAAATTAAGTTTATTTTTTAGACAAAACATGTTCATATAATTATATATGAGCCTATGATCTTACACCGGTTTCAGGGGATTTTACCGAGCGGACAAGAGATAGCGGTAAAGAGATTAGCTGGAGGATCAGGACAAGGAGATTTAGAGTTTAAGAATGAGGTCTTACTCTTGACAAGACTCCAACATAGGAATCTAGTTAAGCTTCTTGGGTTCTGTAATGAAGGAGGTGAAGAGATTCTTGTTTACGAGCATGTCCCTAATTCAAGTCTTGATCACTTTATCTTCGGTAAGCCTTCACAAGAACGATAAAACGTTTTTTTTTCGTTATAATACTTTTATCAGATTAAGACTAAAGACAAAATGTTATCCTTTAAAATTTGTAGATGAAGACAAACGACTGCTTCTTACTTGGGATGTGAGGTGTAGAATCATAGAAGGAGTTGCAAGAGGGCTTCTTTATCTCCATGAAGATTCTCAACTGAGGATTATTCATCGAGACTTAAAGGCAAGTAATATTCTCTTAGACGCTGACATGAACCCTAAAGTTGCAGACTTTGGGATGGCGAGGTTGTTTAACATGGACGAAACTCGAGGAGAGACAAGCAGAGTAGTTGGAACCTAGTAAGTATGCTCTGTTTCAGACAAATATGCTTTGCTTTTTCTTTTGAAGATTCTTTGATAAGCGTCACCATTAATGAGGTTTTGGTTCTTGCAGCGGATATATGGCTCCAGAGTATGTGAAACACGGACAATTTTCGGCAAAATCTGATGTTTACAGCTTCGGTGTTATGCTTTTGGAGATGATTAGTGGTGAAAAAAACAAGAACTTTGAAGATGAAGGACTTCCTGCTTTTGTAAGCTTCTTGATCACTTTATTTTTTTAATCTTCTGTACAAAGAAACGTATAAAGAACATTTTGTTTTGATTCAGGCATGGAAGAGATGGGTAGAGGGAAAACCTGAGAGCATAATTGATCCTTCCTTAAGCGAACGTCCCATAGACGAAATTATAAAGTTGATTCAGATTGGTTTGTTGTGTGTTCAAGAGAATGCAGCAAAAAGACCAACCATGAACTCTGTAATAGTATGGCTTGCAAGAGACGGTACTCTGACAATACCTAAACCTACAGAAGCTGCTTTCGTCACGCTTCCTCTCTCGGTGAAACCTACAAACAGATCCTTGGATAAGTCTAAAGACAAAGATTCTGCGTTTTCAGTGGACGATGTTTCGATTACTGTGCTGTATCCTCGGTGAAGCTTCCATTTTGTCCGTCCTTCGAGAGATTCATCTTATTGAGGATTCTTAGGAAACAAGTTATCCAAGAGTTTCATCTTGGAATTGGATAGCGTAAGATACAATAAAGTTCTTATGAACTTGTTTGAGGTAGCTTACTTTCAGCGAATTTGGTTAAGTTTGGTTAAATTTTGTAACCTAATTTACACCAGTTCGGTTTGATTTGTTTTTTCTGGTTTAGGTAAATACATATTCTTAAATTCATTTATTAAAATAACATCTATCTTGTGTATATTTTAATCAAAAGTTATTTATGGCTGTAACTGGTTGTTCTTAAAAGGGATGTGCTGAATAAAATGAGTGGAATGGAAAAATATGGGATGATCAAGAAATGGAATAAAAAATTGGAATAATGAATTCCATTCATCCCATACATTCATCTACGATTTTGACATGGAATAAAAGGGATAAATTTAAAGAAGGATTTGTGCTTTTTTTTCCCATTTGAAAATGGAATACATGGAATTGTTTTTACTTTTTATTCATAATAACTGGTCAATTTTCTATGGGATCTCATGGAATAATGCATTCAGAAGAAATTTATCCCACAAAAAGGCATTTCAGTTTCTTTTTGAAGTTTCGTAAGAGTAGAATAAAAATGATTTTTTTTTTGTTAATAATTAACAAGATAACTCTGTTGGTGCAACCGTACAAATAAATCAAAGAATGAATGAATGAATTCTTCTATACATAAAGAATGAAAATTAATGTTCTCTCTGTAATAAAACCTAAAAAAGCTTGCTTGCGAATTCATTAGCCTTAACTTGAGAGAGATTCGATCTCTTCGCAAGATCTCTCAGTTCCGATAAGCTTCTCCCTAGCTTCAACGCAACTTTTGTCTCAAAAACTTGTCCGTTCTCTCTCTTCTCCGTCGAATTCATCATTTCTTCTAGCTGAGAGAAGAATCCGGCGGAGTTTCTATACATCTCAAACACCATTCCCACTTGACCACCGTGCTCTAAAGTATTGACCATCGCAGCCAGAGAAGCGCAAGTCAGCGCCACCATCCCAGCTAAACCGGAATCTTGACCGATAAAAACAGAACTCACGGCTGAAACTCCGGTTAAAACTGGTCCAGATATAGCCAAGAACCGGTTTAGCTTCAACGCCACGTTACCTAATCTTTCATAGTCTTCTGCGTCTCTGCTCTTCACCACATGAGCTACTTCTCTCATCTCCGTCTCAAGCTCTTGACTCCACCCGTTCGCAAGACCGCTTCTAGGGTTTCTCCTTTTGGTTTCAGGCCACCAAGTCGCCGGTTTAAACTCCTCCGGATACTTCTCGAGCATTGTTCCGATTAGAGGAAGAGGGTAAGCTTTGTCTAGAGACAATACTTTCTCCATCGCTTCCTTCACGTCTTCTTCATAGATTTCCTCGTTTGCTCTCAGAAACATTTCGATTTCGGTTCTCAGCTTCTTGAACAGCCTTGTCGCGTTCCTCTGTTCTTCAGCGAGCTGCGAAGGTTGAATCTTGCTCATCAAGGCACCAATACCCGTTGCGGAGGTTAGCAAAACCGTTGAAGCTATCTTCACAGCGGTTATAGAATCAACACCGTGACCGTTGACTGAAGCTATTCCGGCCATCAAAGCGGCGGTGAGAGTGATCATGTTGACGGAATTGAGCAAGAGAGAGTTCCAATTCTTGCGTTGATCTCCAATGTTCTTGTGCATCTCGATTCTATCCATAACCGCTTCAAGAACCGCATTGAGGCGTGCCCTTTGGATAGAATCAGAGTCTCTCCTCTGTTTCAAAGAAAGTGGAAGACTTTCAATGAATCCATCTAACTCAAAGCTCCGTTCTTTAACCGATAAAGTTTGTTTCTTTACCGGTATTTTCGGAACCGAGACATGAAATTTAGGCAATTTCGGGATGGAAACTGCAGCTTTAGGTCTCGTACAAGAAGATGAAGACGAAAGAACTAATCTTGAAACTTGCATTGAAGCCATTGATGTATAGAAGAAAGAAACAGCAACTAAGAATCTTATTTCACTTGGTTTAAACCGGTTATGAATCTGGTTTGGTTACGTTTGTTTTCTCTCTGAAGTTTTGTGATTGTGTTTTGGTGAATATGGTGAATGGAGATGATGATAGTGGTATATATAAGTTCATCGATGATAGGCAGAAAAAGCGTTAAACAAGAATAGAAAATTCAAGGAATTGAATTGACCAAAGAGAGAATGAGTATTGAATTTTGACCAGGACCAAATAATTCTTATGCTTTGATTGATTCTCTTGTGGCGGAGGATTTGGTCTAAACCGGAAGCGTTTTAATTTTACCCGCCATCCTTGGAGAACGAGTCCTTATTACTCTTAACCGAACTTAACCAGTTCGGTTTGTTTGGTTCTCATTTGTTGGATCCAACCGGATCGGTTTTGTATTAAGGAAATGTTGGTACAAACTACAAAGTGATCAGTTTGATCACACAGACAGAGACTAGAGAGAAAAAAATCAGAAAGACAAGAATCCAAAAAATGGGATCGCCACCAAACAACAAGACGACTCTGCAACGATACTTGTCACAGCTTCAGCAACATCCTCTAAGAACAAAGGTTCGATCTTTGTTTTCTCTTCCTCTTCTTCTTCTTCTCTGTGATTTAAACATGATTAATTGTTCTCTGAGGGAAGTGATTGATGGTTGTGATGTAGTTAGGTGGGTAGTTTCAATTCTTTGGAATTAGGGTTTAGCTTCACCGATAATGATGTTTTCAATCGAAAGTTTGTATTTTTGAACTAAACCCAGTGTATCTGAGAAGTCATTTTCATAATTCCAATAGATCTTTGACTTTTTATTCATGATTAGCTGGAATTCCTGGGGATGAATTTAGGTTTTTCTGGGTTCTTGTCTCCTCGTTGAACTGAATTATGTAGTTGATAGCTGTTTGAGATTGAAATTGGAGTCGAAATGTCTGTAATTTTGTAGGCAATTACAGCTGGAGTATTGTCTGGTGTTAGCGATGTTGTTTCACAGAAACTTTCTGGTATACAGAAGATTCAGCTGAGAAGAGTTCTTCTCAAAATGGTAAAAAAAGCTTGAACCTTTCTCTCATCTAAACCCCTGTTTTCAAGCCGAACCTAGCTTCATTTCGATTCGTTTTTTTCCGACAGATATTTGCAGGTGGTTTTCTCGGACCAGCGGGGCATTTCTTTCACACAACTCTAGATAAGATTTTCCAAGGGAAGAAGGACACAAAGACTGTTGCAAAGAAGGTTTGAAGAAAAAAGTTTCTACTCAAATGTTAAAGATTCATTAAGGTTTATGCTAAAAGTTTATATGTTTTGGTAGGTACTTGTGGAACAACTGACATTATCACCATTGAACCATTTGCTTTTCATGATCTATTATGGAGTAGTCATCGAAAGTAAGTTCCTTTTCTTTTTCTTTCACTCCATTTGTAAAAGTCATGGAAGGTAGTCAGAGTTCTGATAACCGTTCTGTAATGTTGTGTGATATAGGAACTCCATGGAATCTTGTTAGAGATAGGATCCAGAAGACTTACCCAACAGTTCAGATTACAGCATGGACGGTATAAGTGATAGATATCAATTTAGCTCATGACTATTAGTTTAGCTCGTTACATGTTCTTATGTTTGCTAATTTGATTATGTTTGTTGTGAATCACAGTTTTTCCCGATTGTGGGATGGATAAACTACAAGTATGTGCCACTACACTTCCGAGTCATCTTGCACAGCCTCGTCGCATTCTTTTGGTAAGACAATGTTTCATTTGCTGCAGAAGAAGAATTTAAACTACTTTGTGATCTCAACATTCTTCTTCTTCTTTCTCTTTTGCAGGGGAATTTTCCTGACCTTGCGAGCTAAGTCAACGACGCTGGCTTTGGCAAAGGCTAAGTGATTAAGGGAAACACATCGATCAAGAGAGAGAACACAATCCTTGGGACTCATTACAGTCTTTGTACTCTGTAAGTTAAAATAATAATAAAACAGCTGCAACCAAATAAAAATCTGTATTAAGATGGTGATACCATTCTAGGATAGCAATGTTTTTAAATTATTACAAACCATTTTCAGATTTTTTTTTTTGGTTCTAAAACACATTCACAAACATCATATAAAAAAGGGTAATAAAGAAAAGAAAGAGATCATTTTGTTTAAGCAGCTTTAGCGAATCCAACTCTGCCTTTCCCATAATCGAACACAGTATGGTATGGTCCCATGAACATATCCCCCAAGATCCTGCATTTTCGCAAGATTACAAAACTTTAGAGTAAACCCATTTGATTATTTTGGTTAGTAGATTGGATATTGGGGATGAGATTTACCAGAGAGGTCCACGAGGTGGAGGGATATCCATGGCGGTGAAACCGCTGGTGCACTGAGCCTCAGGCCCTTCCCCAATCTTGAATATATACTGATCACACAAAAGAAAATTGAAAAGACTTTTAGCTTTAAACTCCTTTGGTTAGCTGATATTTAAGAGGAGAAGCTGATTAGAGAGAAATGTTACTTGTTGAGGGGAGAGATCAAAGGCTTTGCCACCAATATTGAATGTGACTATAGGCATAGACGAAATCCTCTCACAGTCCACTGCTGATTGTTGGTTTTGGGTTGGTATATGGTCACAAAGCTAAACATTTTGACAGAGATTAGAGTTTTTAAACATGGTTAATGTCTTAAAACAAGAATTCAAGACTCTCAAAACTTACCTCAGCAGCATAAGCGAGTATGCGATCTTGTGTTTGGTTCTGAGTCAGTTCACTCTGCATCCACACAGCTGCCATTTCACAGGTGCTGCACATCGCTTCGTTTAGAAGTTCTGATGTTCCATCTTCTATCATTGACTTAATCCCCATACTGCTGACAAACATGAATCAGTTTAGGTTTTGCTGTCTAATGGACAAGTTATGTCCTTTATTCCCGGACTATGTCAGTACTAACCTCACACTGTGTGAACCATCAAAATCGCAGAGTCCGATCTGTGAGCATACCTTCCTTGGATCCGCCTGTTAAGCCAAATGATGCAGAAAATTCAAGATTGTGTTGTTTATATGAATAGATAAGTGTGAATGTGTTGGTATGAGAAGTAGCCTCAAAACCTGAGATAGAAGAGAGTTCAACATGGTTTTTCCGTATTGACCAACAACGGTTTTGCACTCATGGCTTGCGAGTCCTGTTGCTCCAATGGCATGGTTGATCATTGTGATAACAGTCTAGACATAAAGAAAACAAAACTATTCAGCATTTTTCAGGCAGCTACATAGTGAACAATCTGTAAAAATCTTTAACTCACCGATGGACCGGTGAGCAGAGAAGTTCCGGAATCAGCAATGGCAGAACAACCTTTAGCACAATATCCTGAACGGCAAAGAAATGCACATGTTGAGTGTTATCTTGAAAGACTCATTCATGTTGTTGAAACTGAAATCTTCTCAAAGACTTTTTTAACTTACCGGTTGGTTTTCCAGCAATGTTGAGATCACCCATGTCGAATTGCCAGTAACCTTTATGTGTCACTGGAACAAAAGTATGCTCTCCTTGGAAGTGCTTAGGGTCGACTCCTCCAAAGACAATCTCACCACCTTCTTGATCTTTCGCGTTACGGTTAAGCCAGAACGAAAAGACCGGTTCCTTAACCAGACCTTTCTCTACCATGTTGTACCTATATATATATCACATCAATCAAAATTTAGATGGTACAACAAAATCTTTTATCATATGAAAAAAAGAGTAAGAAAGAAAGTGTTTTCATACCAAACCGGAGTTGAATTTCCTACAGCAATCTCTTTGAATCCTAAACCGAGGATACCATCAAACTTTGCCACCAAGAATGTAATACCAGGCTCATTAGTAGCCTCTATGAACTCCTGTGATGATAGAGAAGTAACGGTAAGATATGTAAACAAGAAACATCAAAACTCGCAAGATTATTCTTAGATATGAAAGATGAAGCATAGAGAGGTTTACCTGATCCTGGATAACAAGATCACCAACTTTAACATCATCATTGCTAAAGTAACCAGAAATAGCTCCTGTCCCATACCGGATCGACGCAGGTTTTCCTGTAATATCAATACATTTTAGTGTCAAGAACAAGATGTTATCATTTTCTTGAAAGCACTCAAGATCAAGAAATCAAATAACAAGATGATTAAACAGAACATACCGTTCTTTCTGTATGTGGATGACTGGCTAGCCTTATACTTTGAGTGAAAATAACAAGCAACCTGAAATAGATTTTAGGTTATTAGTTTTTGAGACTTAAGAAGACATAACAAGTTTAAGTGCTAATGCGTACCGATAAGTAGCATTTACTAGAAGGCATCCAGAGATTGGAGCTTCCGGTATCAAAGATGGCACTAAACTTCTGAGGTGGAGTACCAATGGTAATGTCACCATAGTATTGAGCATCCAGATAGTTTTTCAGCGGAACATTATCCGCATTTGCATCGGCCAGGCGGAAATAACCTTTAGGAGACCAATGTGAATGTCCTTGGCTTTTCGAAACAAGCTGAGAAGCTAGCCTGTTGGCTCGGTCTAGTTTCCTTTTCTTCAATCCGATTCTAACTATTCCATCACCGTTGTGGTCACACGAAATTGTCGATAGAAGGATGAAACATGAAAGCAAGAACACGAGCAAGAAGGATTGGAACCGAGTTCCCATTTTTTACCTGTCGTCAGAATATAAGAAACTCAGCATCAAAATTGGTAGAAAATGAAAAGTGAAAAACCTTAAAGTTTTGTTCATAAAAAACTATATTTTTGTTCATAACTCCAGCATGGTCTTTACCAGACCAAAAATCAAACAAATTAAAACAAAATTCTTGTGAAGACTAAAACAGGCCAACGAGTATAATGTTATTGGTTAAGTTATCCCTCAAATTTCAAGCCAATTAAGGTAGAAACAGAAAACCTTAATGGTGTTCTAGAGAAGTTAATATACTGAAACTGCTTGGTTCGTAACTCCAGCAAGATCTTTAAGCTACTACAAATTTTGTGTTATATTACTTCTTTTTCACAGAATTCTAGAGAAGACTATATAAACCGAGCCAAAGTGTAATATTGCTGATTAAATTATCCGACACATTTCAACTAAGATAAATAAAAAAGTGTAAGAAGTAATTGATAAAAAGGTTAAGACCGACTAAGTCAAGATATGATCCCCACAGAAGAAGCCAACAAACCTGAGATTTTAAAGTATAGAATCCCCAATTTTTGTCAAAACTTCAAACAGTTCTAAAAGCGAAGATCACAGGAACACGAGAAGAACATATTCCAAAATTTAAACGAGAACTGGGGAAAAATCAGAAATTGAGACTTTATCAAGACAGAAAAACAAAAATAAGAATTTGAGCTTTTACTATTAAGTACTAACAAAGAGAATGATTTGACAGGAAAATAGTGAAGTAACACTCACCGAGAAAATGTGGGTACAGAACAGATTCGTAAAGCAGACAAAGAAGAATAACCCAAGTTTAACGAGACGAAGAAGAGTGGTGCAGGGATTTATATTTATACGTAAATGACTTAACAGAGAAACGTTACAGAAAAATTACAGAAAGATAAAGCTTCATTTTTTCTGTAAAGCAATTATTACGTGTTGCTTGCAAATGGAAATTTTGTTTTAAAGTATTAATTACATTTAATTGTGTATAGATTCATAAGCAAGCGTCACGTTTATGGAACCTTGTTTGTGTCTGTGGGCCCAGACAGATCAGCAGAATCCGTTTTATGAAAAAACAAAAAAAAAAACAAAAATAACTAAAGTGATAATTTTGGTTTTTTTGTTTGTACTAAAAATTCATTATGAAATGGGTTGATTAAAATGCTTTCAGAAATGTTCGCTGTTTTAGGTTTGTCTCGCATTAGGTACGTTTCTCATTGATGAACCCATGCGTAGGTCCAGCTAAGCATACCCGTTTGTTACAGTAACGTCTTTAAATCAACTTCTTCACCCTAAAAATACTATTCGACATTTCTAGTTACGTTACTTAAATATATGTATTACTCTATAAAATTTCACAAGAAAAATGTTAAAAAAAAAGATTAGACATAACTTGTATTTTCGCAAGAAAAAGTAAATAAAATAGATGTGTTGTTTGATTGGTGTTTGCTGTAAATGGAAATTATAAGGTTGCTTTGATTTGTGGCACAAGCAAACGCCTTCACGTTGTTGACGCTGCGTGGGACCCGTAAACGCAAACAACGTTTCGTTAAAGCTTCAGCTTTTCACTATTTTCTCACTTAAACCCTTGAAAGTTTCTTTAGTTTCACTTTGACCCCTCTACAATGTTTTCTCCACTCTTTGAACTAGCAATAAATAGTCCGTTTCTCTATTAGCCAAACAAAAGCGATTTTAACGAATGTCTGATAAAACCTAGTGGAAGAAAGCACATAAAGAATAAAGATCCTTATGGCTAATGATTTTATTAAAAGACTAATATATATCTTACTTTATAATTAAACTTGCCAAATGAAAACTAATTATAGATATCACAATTTCGCAACTACCTTTCAAACCAAAAGCTATAAATTGGAATGCCATTTCTGATTTCTCTAAAACCACATTGTGCAATCGCTAATACATATCAGCTGAAATACAAATGGTCTTTTTAACTTTAGAGGATATCAAGAATTAAAAATAATTCATATCAATAACATCCAATCAAAGTGGTGCAGTGGTAGTTGGATCAGGATCTAGGGGATATGGATTGGGGATTACATTACGTCTGAATTTGATTCACATTACGAACTAAATCCTCTGTTTGAGCCATTTGGATTCATGGTTTTTGATCCAAGTGGCTAATATGTGGTGAACCTGCGTGAAACTTTTGCCAATAGGAGTAAACTTTTTGGGCCTAGGCTCATTCTTCAGTTTCACAAAAATCAGCCCAATCTTCATCTTTCAGTTATCCGTTTCAGACTTTAGATATTACATATATATCACTATTAGAAACTTGTGAAACAAATTTCCATTTGAGTTATTTTTTTTTTAATTTTTTTTTTTTGTAAAAATATTCCATTTGAGTTTATAAGAAATGAATTACTTTTGGAAAAAAGAGGCAATTTATATTCCGGAACAAAATTGTCGATCATACACAAGCAACAAGAAAAAAATTGCTCTCAACTCTCAAGACTCTTTGTTGTTCGGGAAAGAGAAAAAAATGCCGTAACAACTACCCAAAATGTAGAAAGAAAAAAAAAACGACCGATAAAAGAACCCTAACTCAAACATATAAAAAACGTTATTGCCTATTGTCACTCGTTGCAACATTACTATTATTATTGTTTCCGCTCTGATGATTGTTCGAACCGTTGATAATAGACGTTATAGCTGCGGCTAGAGCCGCTGCAAAGTTCGGATTGGCAGCGATAGCGGCCGTGGCAGCACTAACGCTCTCACCAGCGTTCATCGTCTGAGAAGGTATCTGTAAACCGGAGAATTTGGACTGTTGTTGGTTATAATACAAAGCTTGACCCATCATTTGAGGCAAACCCGATTGGTCCAGCTGCGAGAAACCTGACCGTTGAGAGAACTGCATCAACGGATTGTTGTTAGCTGGATTGTTGCCGTTGGTTGATGATTCTGTGAGGTCTAACGTAATGGTTGGGAATGGTGCTGAGGCTGAGATAGTGGCCATGCTTGAGGAACAAGGCAACATGGTCCGAGCCAATAGATTTGTTGGGTTCATTAATCCGTCTTGGCTCGACATTGTGGAGCCAGAGAGAAGCATGCTTGCAGCTGCGGTTGTGGTTGAAGCCATTGTCATAGCCGCTGGAGGTAATGGATGGTTATGGTTTCCTTCGTAGGTTGTTATGAGAATGGATCTGTCTTCTGCGCAACGTTGCACCTGTTGAGTCATTAGTTAGTTAGTTACAAAAAAAATATTACTAATTTAATTTTTTCCCTAAAACATATTAGGTGTTTGAAATGTTAATAACTACGTACACATGCCTAAATTTTCGGTCAAATTTAGTCTTATTTGTTCATGGATTTTCAACTCAAATGTCAAAATCAAAAGGGTAATGAATTGATTGGTTTTTTATTTGAGGAAATCTTAGGAATTTTTCGAAGAAATAATAAAAGTTTCTCTATGATAATCTAGACCACAATGGTATAAGTAACATACTTGCTTGCGAACAGGACATCCAACGGCCATTGTGCAGCGGTAATAAGCTCGAGGACAAGGGTTTCCTTTTGCCATTTTCTGTCCGTATTTTCTCCATTGACATCCATCACTTAGCTGTAGAACAATATCTCAATTATGTTAGTTTAACCTCCAAAACATTCGTATAGATGATATTAACAAAGATTATAGAAGGGAATATCTTATTGAGTTGTGTTGATGATACAAGAGCATAGGATACATATATAAAAACGCTAGTGATGGAGACTATTGTTTACCATGGGAGCTTCGGATCTAGCACGAACAGAGACACGTGCTTTACGCATGGTGGCTTCTGCGGCCGCACGATCAATGGCATTGGCGCCAATATTGCTACTGCCATCGCCATTACCACTGGAGGACGGGTGCAAGTGTTTAGGAATTTTGTTAGGGCTTCCCCAGCCGTTAGATTCGGTCTCTGGACTTTCTTCTCTTGCAAGCAATCTTTTCCCGCTCTGACGAGAGTTAGAGTTCTCTAGAAGCGATGGTGGAGAACCTGACCTAACCGTGTTCCTCTCCTCGGAAGTTACGTCAGCAGAGGGTAGTCCCAAATCGATGAACTGTCTCGGAACAATTTCTGGCGCTTCATGTCGTTGATTGGCTTTGTCTTTGCCCTCGGTTGTAGCCTGATGAAAAGAAGAGAGTTAAAAAACATTAACCTATCTAATAATATTTGGAGGAGTTTGATAGATGTTTTTATAAATATATTGATAACAGAAAAGATTTAAGACAAGTATTATGGAGTGTTAATTAATTACCAGATGATGATGATCTTCTTGTTGCCTCATGGCAGAAACAAGTTGCATCTGCATGGAGTTGAAGTTGATGGTTGTTTGATTTAGCATTTCTTTTAGTCTTTGATTCTCTTCCAACACCTTCTTTAGCTCTTCTTTAAGTTGTGCATTCTTCATTTTATCAACACAACCATATTATGTATTAGACAAACTAAATATTTTAACTGGAAAAAAAGTAAAAAATTATGAAAAACAAAAAAAAGATACATGTAGGGTAAAAACATCAAATTCAGTCAAATGTAAAGCTCTCTAAAATGTCCGTCTAATTACGAATTAACTATTATGAACACAAACAAAAGATTGTCAAAGTCTAAGAAAACGGTATATTTATCTGACTGTAAAGCAAATTGAGAAATATACATATCGATTTCATGGATTACGTACATACGAGGAAAAAAAAAACCGCATACTAGCTCGTCAAGATTTAGTTTTAAAATACCGTTTTCATGGATTTTGACAATTTATTGCTATTTTTGGTTCGTTCTTAAGATAGATATTTAGGTGTTTAGCTAAAAGAAAACAAAAATAACTTTTTTTTTTAATCGTTGTAAAAAAAGGAGCTACTAATTTAATAAGTGTACCTCAGACTTTGTACGTTTCTCTTCCATGTCCACAGACAATCCATCATCCACCATCGACTCGTCGCTTCCCGTGTTCGCAGTGAGAAGATTAAGTCCAATCTATTAAAATTAAAAATATAGATATATTTAGGATCAAATTTTCCATCTGTAAAGAAATTATTGTTTATAATCTGTTCACGAAAATCCGCAACAAATGATACTGACTAACAAACAAAAATTGATATGACGGTAAAAAATAAAATAAAATTTTAAAAGAGAGTATTAACTACTTACATTGATGTCCGTCGAACGATTATCATGATCATCAACACGTGAATTTTCCCTTTTCACGTTAACCCTATGAGCCTCATCGGTGATAACATTCTGTTCATCACTTGAAACCCTATCTCTCTTCTCCGCCGACCTGAAAAAGTCAACTTCATCCATCACCACCCGATGTTGCTGCTCATCTGATGGCTGTGACTGCTTCGTATTGTCACATGAACCTCCAAGACTCACCGGAAAACGAAACATTTCTCTCTATAGATATCCTTAGATATGGAGATAGACTAGTTAGATTGTGTATTGGTTTAAAGTATGAGTACGGATGAAGATTTTGTTACATCCGAATTCCGAAACCCTAGTTAAAAAAGAGGACATGTTACTTGAAGGACATGAAAGGTACGTATCTATCCACTCTCTGTGTGTGTGTGATTGTTCCGTAATCCGTACCATATCTAATCCTCCATATATAGGAGAGGTGAAGAAGAAGATATCATAGAAGAGAGAGAAAGAGAGATACTTTGTCGAGTATGTGGTTAGAGACGAAGATAGAGAGAGAGAGAGAGACCTTCTAACCGAACCAGATGTTTCGGCTACTAAAATGGTATTGACGTGGACTCAGATATTGTCAATTTTTTCTACTGATATATATAACTTTCAGTCTTTTTCATATGATAATATTATTGTTAAAAGACAATATTGTTGCGTGTTGTCTCTATTTTGTTTGTTTTGTGTATTTTTATACTTAATAATTTAGGTTTTAATTTGGATTCTCGTAGAAAGATATTTGTGGAGATTTGTTTTGGTTCGTTTTGCGTCAGTGTCGACGTCATTTGTCTACCACCTAGCATTGACCTCCAATATTAACAAACATATTATGCGACCTAACTATTTTATTTCATATTACAGACGGATTGTTTCTGTTTTTAAGATCAAACAATTAATTAGAAAAGACTAAAGTTTTATTGTTTCTTATAGGAGGAGCTAGCTAGGTTTAGTAAAAGGTTGATATTTTCTTCTAATTTGGGTTGGTTTTTCTAGTAGACAATTGTTAATGTATAAGTTTGTTACAAACTCTTAGATGCATAATAAGTTTAGGATTAGCAAATAATTAAAGAGTAAATGATATAATGCTCAGACAATAAAATTAATTTAGTTTTATTTGAAAAGATTGAATAAGTTTTAAATTGGTAGACCATCCTACTATCATGTGGGTTTTTTTGTTTACAGGGTTTAGTTATCTGTAAATTATAAACCATCCTACTCTACTAAAACAAATCTCAGGAATATTCTTTTCTAAAAAAAGAACTCTAATCTACGATTTTTTTTTTTCGAATAATTTGTCTTAAATAGTAAAACTTTGAATCCTTGGTTGATCAAGTCAATACATGAGCTTTGGAGAAGAAATCTATTTTTAGGGAATAAGTTTTTTTCAATGAATTCTTATTATAGATGGAAATTTAGATTTTCTTTTTCGTTTTTGACTAAATTAGTAAATTTTCTTTAAATTTTATTTTCCTTTTACTTGTTTTCTATAAGAAAGACTTTTTGACTAGTTCATAGAATTAATAGATCAGAAAATAGAAATGAATCTCACCGGTCGTCGCAATTCAATCGGCGATTCCCACGTGATTGAAGTAATTAAAAGCTTTATTTCTATTCAATGCCTGTTGTTACATCACATAAACTCAGACATGTACGCGAAATTTGTTGAATTTTGTTTAAGACTTGGTACACTGTATTACCTTAAAATGTTTTTGTATTTTTATTTTAACTCCAAGCTTGCATAAATTAGATTCTATAGTTGAAAGTTTTGTTTTGTAAAACAAATTTTTGAGTATCCTTTTTCTTTTGAAAATTTCATTATATATAGTTGACATATGTGTAATGTAAATGACTTAAATGGCAAAAACATCTACAAGCCTATATGTACTTACTCGCATCTACAAGCCTATATGTACTTACTCGCATCTACAAGCCTATATGTACTTACTCGCATCTACAAGCATCTGTGCGTAAATGAAAAGAGTATAACCTTAAACAGTTTCTACTCGAATTTACTAAATTGAAATTAACATCAACACAAACACTAGTATTATTGAAATTTCTAGATTTTCCATCAATATTAAGTTTTCATAGAGTTTTGTCCTCCTTAATAAATACTCTCTTCAATTCAACACAAGAATTAAATATTCTTTAAAAGAAAATAGACAATAGTTGAGCTAAGTCAGCGAGATTAATGGGATCGGAATGGGATACCTCACAAATGCAGTCTTGACTGGTGACCGGCTGTGGGTCCCACTACGTTTTCTATAAATAAGCTAACGTTTACCGGTAAACCTGTTGACTATCACACCATGGGACTCGGTCACTCTTTGACTTCTTAGCCAAAGAGACAAAGAATTGTCTCTCTATTATTTATTGAAAAATAAAATTTCCCTGCGCCACATAAATAAATTAGATGCAGTTTTGTGTAACAATAAAGAAAACAGTACTTCGTTAATTATTTTTAACAATCAGAACATTCTTTTTGAATTGAATGTTAAATTTATTGAACTGAATGTTTGACAATCATAACATTATTAACCATTATGTGTCTAAAAAACCACAAAAGTCGTTTGATTGCAGACGTCTAAACAATTATGTGTGCTTACTGGCTTAATCTTTAACACTCGTCGTCAATCAGTAGAGGTTTTAAACTCGTTAAACTGAGTAAATGTGTGAGTTTCATAATTTTATTTGATTTTAACAAAAACCAAATAACAATTTAGATAGGACACTACTAGTTTTAACTTTTAAAACATCTTGCAGTAAATTAAGTGTATGTGTACGTATTATATATGTATAAAGTTTCTAGATTTCTTGGATGATATACAGTAGTTGTGAAGCATACGAATGGTCAAAGAATACAGCTGATAACGTTTTGATCTAAATATCGGTTGCAAATAAATAACCTTTTCTTAATAAAAAAGTTAGTGCAAATATAAATGTTAAGATTCATACTGTACATGATATCATTTAAACCTACAGGAAGGTTTCATTTATTAATTTTTGATGGATGCATGTAAGAAGGTTTCATTTCATGCCCTCTTCTATACCAAAATAAATCCAGTAACAATAATACAATTCAATAGTATTAGCTTTTTTTTTTTTTTTTATAAACCTCAAGTATTAATAATTTTTTTAGCAACAACTATACCTATAAATATAAGCCAAAATTAAACGCATACGTTGTTATCTTACCAAATTTTTATCAATATTTTAGAAGACAATCTAACTTTGATAATACTGTCTTTTGGTTTTAAAACATTATTATGATACCCTGATCTAGCATTATTGATGTTATAAAATTCCGACCTCTTGATTCGGTAGGTCAAATGAAGTTAACTAAAATAACTATTTTGATGGGTTTGATTCATCCGTAGCTAGCACTACTTACCAGTTGTCATATATGTGTTAGACTGAGCAGGTCCTGATTATGTTTAAGCATCTCTGTGGTCTTATCTAACACTATTGGTCCACACCTGTTTTTTATCAATCATATACTATTCGTAAATTTGGTACTATATTGTAATGCATAATGTAGTGGTAGTTCGTATCAATTAACGCTAAACTAATTAAACTATATTTACAATATTCTATTTTAAGATTCATTTAAACCCTAACTAAACCCTACCGTGTAATGATTAAGCCAATGGAACTTCAATCAAGATTATCTATCAGCTCAATAGTCAATAACTATAGTGGTGCTTGATATAATTATATTATGCTATAGTGTACAGGTTTCGTAAATTCAGTTTCTTATCTTTTCCCGACAAATTCAGTTTGTCATCAAATATTCAACGTCAGATTATTCTAAGATTGTTTGCATTGGGTTGAACATAGAATCTAGACCTAATGATTCCTTGGGAAAAAAGTATGTTGGACACAGAAAATATTAATTATTTAACTATATATTAAAAATCTTACACATAGGAGATTTGCTTCATCTTTTTTTTTTTTTTTTTTTTTTTTAATTCTTTATGCGGCAAACTGAACGCCGAAGGAAGCATGTCAAATTACAACTCTTTAACAAAAAAATGTCAAATGACAACTATCATGATTCATGGACTCATGAAAATGATTTGGGAATAAACTATTAACTTGGTCTACATAATCGATAAATGAAAATAAATAAATATTTGAATAAAGTTAATCAGAAGTAAGAAAAATGAAAATAAAAACTAAATCCAAGTTCAAAAAGCAGAATGAATTGCAATACGTTGACCAATGGCCAATCCAATGCTTATGTGGCTGATTCAATTGACAAAAGTCCAAACACTTAAATTATAATGGTGTTGATATTTGGTAACATTTGTTTGTTTTCACCAAAGGTATCAATAATGAAATCGGAGAAGAGTACGCAAGCCGATGGAAACATGTGATATCTTTCTTTTGTTAAAAGATAAAAATGTGATATCTCCATAAACACAAATCCGAAAGGAGATATAAACCCAAAACAGAGAAACATACACGATCAATACATGATCCAGGATCAAAACCAAATTAAACAACGTAATACAAACAAGACCAACGACAAAAAAAGCAATGAGAAGAAAAAACTGATCCTTGAGTTGGTAACCTAAAATAATGAGTGTGAAATGATAGTATATGACTGGTAACATTAAATTATGCAATTTTTAAGTAGTAAGAAGAAATTGTTAACAATAACATAACATATGTCGAGAGAAGTTGACAAAAGGTTCGACACTTCGAATGTGCGGTAATGGCAAGCGATCGAGCGAAACATATCGAACAAATGTGGTTATTGAGAAATCACGTTCGAAAACGCGTTCCAAGCGAACGATTTCGCGGCAGTGATATGCTAGCTTACCAAATTTGATACTCGAGGATTCACCAAATTTGAAGACACTAGAAGAAGTGAATGAGGGGAAGAAGAAGATAAACCAGATCACAGAGTCACCTCAAAACAGAGAAAAGGGCAAGAAACATGATGGAGAAGAACAACAACGATCACCACTCTCACTTATAAGCAACACTGGTTTCAGAATATGCAGGCCTGTGGCGAGTTTCTCATGGCCCAAACTGCCTGCTCTTGCAGATACTGCTGGTGATACTGCTCCTGGTAATAATGCGGAGTTTGCTTCTTTGCCAAGTCACGGACCATCTTCTACTGCGCATTCTTATCCAGTGAAGCTACTTGCAGCTAAGCGTCCTCTCGTCTTGCCTTTTCCCTTCACCATAAATTCCCCACAAATCCGTGAGATCAGAGATGATGGATTAGCTAGCCTGAAAAGGTACAAAACCAACTTTATATCTAATTGGTTATATCATCTTATATAAGATTTGATACTCATGTCTGTGTTTTGGTCTTGAGCAGAGAATTTGAGAGACTCGCTTTCAAAGAAGGAAGAGGAGGAGAAGAGGAGGAGCTTATTGTCATGACTACGCCTAATTCTTGTGTCTCTAGTCAGAACGATAAGCTGAAGACTCCAGCCAAGGTAAAGAGCTCGAAGCAATATTAAATGATTTATATATCCTGTGATCATACTGTTTAATGCTACATCTCTGCTGTTTCAACTCAGGAAATGCACCCTCATTTGATGAAGAAGAAATGCAAAATTGAGGATTATGGTGAAGATAAGGGGGAAGCTAAAAATTCAAAGTTGGCCGCATTGGAGAAAATTCTCTCATCTCATGGGAAGAGTTATGGAGCCATTCGAATACCTTGGAGGGTACGGTGTTTGTTAAAAAAGAAAATTATTTTTGGATGTTTTTTTAAAAAGAAAATTCTTAGCTAATCGATTTGTTTTTGCACCAGGGAGCTTTTGACAAAGCTAGCTTTATTTAGACTACCGCTGCTCAATCCCGAGGATCTACTTCCACTTTTTGAACGATGCCTCTCCTTGAAAGATTTGGAACTGCAAGATGTAGAGTAAGTTCATCTTTTCTTACAAATAAATTAGAAAACACCATTTATTCTAACTATTATTTTTGGGTTAATTTGCTTAATAAACAGATTAGAAAATAATGATTATTCACTTCAATAGCCCTTTATTTTTTGTGTTTTTTCTTTGCAGAGGCATTCCTGTTGACTTTGTGCTAGAAGCGGCTACTCACGGATGATATTGCTCAAAGAATTCTGTTGCAGTTTGTGAACAGTTGTCAAAGAATCAAAGAGCTAGCTCTGTGTGGCCTCATTGTATTAGACAACCAGATTGAAACCATTCTCCAGGTATGTGTGATTGTTTTTTTTTTCTTGAAATAAATGAGAGTATTGGAGCAATAATCCAGACATTTATTTTTCCAGGTCTTTTGAGATTGGAAACTATAAACGCGAAGACCTCAATTACTCTTACATGGGAATAACAATTTCGCCATTTGAGTATCTTAATGGTTACGGTGTTTCCTGTCTAAAAATAATATTTTTGGACACTTTTCTTGGTTTGTTTATAATATATCAGCTAATCAATCAGTTGGTTTTTTCTCATCTTTTTTTTTTTTGCAGAGAACATTTGACAAAGCTTGGTCTCTTTAGACTACCGCTTATTACTAGTAAAGATATGAGGCCTCTTTTTACTTGGTGCCATTTGTTGATAGATTTGGAGATGGTCTGTGCACGGATTGAGCGTTTGATTTACTCAGACGTATATGATAACGTATATGATAACCAAGCAAGGATGGCAATCACGGGAAAAACGGTGTAGGCGTTTGGACTTGTCTTTGAGAAGATTTAGAAGGAGATTCTTAGCGTGAGTTAATGTGACAATCAGTTTTAAGTTTTGACTTTTAAAGAAGTTTACTTTCTAATTATTAGGCTGTTTATATCTACAGGGAATTTGTTACTCATTATGCAGAACTGGTGCTTGATCGATGCCGAAGTATCACGGTGGTAATTGGGCTATAGCTGTGTACATAAATGATAAAAAAAAAAAAAAAAAAAAAAAAAAAAAAAATTGGATTAAATTTTATGTGATTTTTGTTGTTGTGTATGTAGACTCAGCTTAGAGCTTTTTGCAGGCAGCTAAGTAGAGGACCGTATGTCCACATGCGGGAACCGGTAAGTTAATTCTTGTTGTTTTCAATTGTAATGTTCAATCATTTCATGATTTTATTTCCTTTTTTATGATACATGTTAAAAGAGTGTCAAAAGCGAAACTGTGACTAGGTTACCTTGAGATTTTCTGAAACGGGTTGAGCTTCAAAGTTCAAACGGTGAATGACTGTAGGGGGAGATGAAGATCTAGGCAGAGTAGTAAGAATCTTTTCTCTCCTTCTTTATTAAGTATCTGTATTATTAATAACAAGAATGAAGTATCTAATTAGGCATGGTTTGTTTTGAAAATGGCAGCGGAGCAGGAGGAGATTGAATGGAATGAATGGAATCGCAAGCGACTAGAAAAATTGTACGATCCTCATCCTCCTAATCCTGAAGAATACAGTGAGTATGATTACGATAGTGACTATCCAGCTATAATCCTGAAAAGTTATAGTTCGTGTTTTCCTACGCAGACTATAATATATATAGCTCCGTAAATAAAATAAAACTACCAAAAATCAGTCCCAATTTTCTCATTCATCAAATTAGGCATTAAAACCGGAGACCTACATCAGTGTGCTCAAACATAACCCATAAGCAAAAGGTTGACAATCCTGATGCTTACAGAGCACTCCTTCTTTGTTAGAAAGTGGTGTCAGGGTAGAAGACGTTTTAGCCACACATGAAACTCTTACTCTTAGCTGTAATTGGACAACTATAAAATCCTAGCTGTAGCATATCCTGCAAATGAAATGACTCAAACTTAAACTTGCAGCGTCGGTATGTCCAGACTCACTCGATCAATTATTTGGTTTGAGTTGCTTCACATATATGCACAATTTTAACCTGAAATAGTTAAGAAAACACATCAAAAATCTAAAAGATAGCGATGCATCAACCACAAGCTTGCACATACAGAATAACAATGGATATAGATTCGGATATGTACTTACACTACTAAAGCCGGCCAGAACACGAGGGACAGCTTCGCTAGGACCATCAATGCCAGGCATGGTTCATCCATCCTAGGTCCAATCCAGTTAAAAGGTCTTACAATGTTGAACTCAAGTCCATTCTCAGTATCCTCAGCTGTAACAAGAAACGAACGAGGTGAAGTCACGCTTATTGTAAATCTCACTCATAGTAACATTCGGTTCAGTTTTCGATTTTACTTTTTTGGTTTGGTTCGGTTTCATATATAAGTCTGATAGACCGTTAAATCAATTTATAATCTTCAACATTTTGCAACTGTAAAAAACTGAAATCGAGTCGTCTCCTTTTTTCCCCGCTTTGATTTCAAAACCATGGAGCTATGATCAGACCTTCTTCTTTACTAAACTCCACCAAGTCCTTCAACTCTGTGATTAACCATTTCTCATCTCATGGCGATCACCACCAAGTTCTCTCCACTTTCTCTTCCATGCTCGCCAATAGACTCCAACCTGACACTTTCACTTTCCCTAGTCTTCTCAAAGCCTGCGCTTCTCTCCAGCTCCTCTCTTTCGGTTTCTCCATTCACCAGCAGGTTCTCGTTAATGGGTTCTCTTCAAATTCCTACATTTCGTCTTCACTCGTCAGTCTCTACTCTAAATTCGGACGCTTGGCTCATGCTCGGAAAGTGTTCGACGAAATGCGTGAGAGGGATTTGGTACACTGGACTGCAATGATCGGGTGTTACTCACGCGCCGGAGTTGTCGGAGAAGCGTTTTCTTTGGTTAACGAGATGAGACATCAGGGGATTAAACCGGGTCCGGTTACGTTATTGGAAATGCTGAGTGGAGTTTCGGAGATTACTGAGTTACAATGTTTGCATTCCTTTGCGGTGATTCATGGATTTGATTGTGATATAGCTGCGAGGAACTCTATGTTGAATTTGTACTGCAAGTGCGATTGTGTTGGAGATGCTAAGGATTTGTTTGACCTAATGGAGAAACGAGATATGGTTTCATGGAACACAATGGTTTCAGGATTTGCAATTGCTGGTAACATGACTGAAATTTTGAAGCTTTTGTGCAGAATGAGAAGAGATGATGATGGTTTTAGACCTGACCAGCAGACATTTGGAGCATCACTTTCCGTCAGTGGAACAATCTGTGATCTTGAAATGGGAAAAGTGTTACACTGCCAAATTGTGAAAGCTGGTTTCGATGTAGATATTCATCTAAGGACGGCGTTGATGACGATGTACCTAAAGTGTGGTGAAGAGGAAGCTTCGTTTCGAGTTCTTGAAACGATTCTTGATAAGGATGTTGTTTGCTGGACAGTGATGATATCAGGACTTGTGCGGTTGGGTAAAGCGGAGAAGGCTCTGGCTGTGTTCTCGGAGATGTTAGATTCAGAGTCAGAGCTGTCGAGTGAGGTCATAGCTAGTGTTGTAGCAGCTTGTGCTCAGTTAGGTTCCTTTGATCTCGGAGCGTCAGTCCATGGCTATGTACTGAGGCGAGGATGTAAACTAGACACTCATGCGTTGAACTCTCTCATCACAATGTACGCAAAGTGTGGCCATTTGGAGAAAAGTTTACTTCTTTCTGAAATGATGGTTGAGAGAGACTTAGTTTCTTGGAATGCAGTTATCTCCGGGCATGCTCAGAACGGAGATCTGTGTAAGGCCTTGTTGTTGTTTGAAGAAATGAAGTTCGAAGCCGAGCAGAGAGTTGATTCATTGACTGTTGTCTCGCTTTTACAAGCCTGTTCAGCAGCTGGAGCTCTCCCTGTAGGGAGACTGATCCACTGCATTGCAGTTAGAAGTTTCATCAGGCCGTGTACATTGGTTGATACGGCTCTGGTTGACATGTATGCGAAATGTGGCTACTTAGAAGCTGCACAGAGGTGTTTCGACTCGATCTTAAGGAAAGATTCTGTCTCATGGGGCACACTCATTGCAGGGTATGGTTTCAATGGTAAAGGAGACATTGCTTTGGAGATTTACTCAGAGTTTCTTCGCTCTGGAATGGAGCCGAACCACGTGGTTTTTCTAGCGGTTCTCTCGTCTTGCAGCCATAACGGAATGGTTCAGCGAGGTTTGGAGATTTTCAGTTCAATGGGAAGAGATTTTGGTGTTGAGCCGAACCATGAACATCTTGCTTGTGTGGTTGATCTTCTATGTCGAGCTAAAAGAGTAGAAGAAGCGTTCGAGTTCTACAAAGACAACTTTACAAAACCGTCGATCGATGTCTTGGGGATAATACTTGATGCTTGTCGTGCAAATAGGAAAACAGAGGTCGAAGATGTGATATGTCGGGATATGATCGAGTTGAAGCCAGTAGATGCTGGTCATTACGTTAGGCTTGCACATTCTTTTGCTGCGATGAAGAGATGGGACGATGTGAGTAAGTCGTGGAGTCAGATGAGGTCTCTCGGCTTGAAAAAGCTCCCAGGATGGAGCAAGATTGAGTTGAGTGGTAGAATCACAACGTTCTTCATGAATCATACTTCACACTCAGATGAGTCAGTGTCTGTGTTGAAACTTCTTAGCAAGGAAATGAAGCAAATCCAATACATTACTTAATTTGTCACGGTTTGTTTATTTTTCCATTTCATACATACGTAATAACATAATGTAAATTACATTACTTCATAATTTTAATTACTAAAAATAGGATCTTATGACACGAGAAGTTAGGAATGATCCAATATTTTGGGGAGATTTCAAGATCTGTTTTACTGAAGAATCTTCTCAGATTTAAACAAAGTGAATTTTTTTTTTTAATTTGCAGAGAGAGAGAGAGAAGCAGAGAGAGATGACCAGAAGGCAGAAGAAGACAGCGAAGGTGGTTACAGGGGTAATGGGACTGTGTATTGTCGCTTACATTGCAGGACCGTCTCTGTATTGGCATCTCAACGAGTCCATTGCAGAATCCTCTTGTCCACCTTGTACCTGTGACTGTTCTTCTCAGCCTCTTCTCTCTATCCCCGAAGGTAAATCATCATCATCATCCTTCTTTTCTTCTCCTCCTTGTTCACGAAAAGCCGAATTTTGATGCGTTTGGTTCATTTCTTCTGCAGGACTGAATCACAGTTTCTTGGGTGAGTGTTTTCTGGCAATACATTTTCATAGTGATATGCGCTAAAATGTTGCAGATTCATGAGTCTTTTTTTTGTTTTGGTTCTTGTTTCGTTGCCAAGATTGTATGAGGCGCGACGAGGCAAGTGAAGAGAACGAGAGTAGTTTCACGGAAATGGTGGCTGAAGAGCTGAAGCTGAGAGAAGCACAAGCGCAAGAGGATGAATGGCGCGCAGACAGGTTGCTACTAGAAGCTAAGAAAGCGGCGTCTCAGTATCAGAAAGAGGCTGATAAATGCAGTATGGGAATGGAGACTTGTGAGCAGGCAAGGGAGAAATCAGAGGCTACGTTAGATGAACAGAGAAGATTGTCTTACATGTGGGAGCTTCGAGCTCGGCAAAAAGGATGGAAAGAAGGAATTAACGTTGTTTCCTCTGATGTTCTCTAAGAATCAGTGAAATCTTTTTGTTGTTTCAATACATCTGAAACTCTTCAATGGAGGTTTTGAGTTAACAGAAGGTGAAATTTGTGTCCATTTGAAACTGTTTCTTCTACTTTGTAGTGACCTTGACATTGGTCCGGTCTAGGATAACGTTGAGGATCTTCCCTGGTACATAGATTCTCTTCTTGATCGATTGTCCGTCTAGATATTTCTCGAGTTTCTTGTCCTGTGAAGCTAGAGCGAAAGCATCATCTTCAGAACATCCTTCTTCAACCTCTATGGTGCCTCTTGTTTTCCCGTTTATCTGAACCGGAAGAACAATAGTTGTGTCCTTTAAGAAATCCGGATTTGCCTGCATAAAAGACCAAAACAGCAGCCAATAAAGACCAAATCCATAAAACACTTTCCTCGGTTCTGTTTACTGGCTGTGATACCTTGGGAAAGCTTTCATAGGCCAGAGAATTCGGATGGCCTAACCGTGACCAAAGCTCTTCAGCCATGTGAGGCGCGTAAGGTGAGAGCAAAAGAACAAAAGGCTCAATGACTCCTCTAGGTTGATTATTCCACTGTTTTAACATGAGAAGAAACAAGAGTAAAGATGAGTACTACAAACCCGGAAAAAACGAAGCTTAGAGTCTAAGATTATAACCTTGTACGCTGCGTTAACAAACTCCATCATCCCTGAAATCCCTGTGTTGAATCTTGTACTCTCAATTTCCTCTGTCACCTGCAAGTTTTTAACACATTTATCGTAAGTATGAATGTAATCAAACCGCAAATGGATCATATTTGTGAACGAGATGATGACCTTAGCAATGCATTTATGGAGGGAACGGAGTTGTTCAAGGGTCGGTTCATCATCAGTCACTATGGTTCCATCTTTGAAAGATCCGTCAGATTGAGGCGAGCCAATGACTAGTCTCCATGTTCTTGCCAAGAAACGATGCACGCCTTCGATCCCACTTGTGTTCCAAGTTTTTGAGTCCCTAGTAGCAGAAAGATGCAGCAGTATAAACATAGAGAAGGCGTTAACACCTGAAAAGATAAGTTTGGGAATTAAGTTCTCACCTAAATGGTCCCATGAACATCTCATACAAACGTAGTGAATCTGCACCATACTCTAACACAACATCATCAGGATTTACGACATTTCCTCTACTTTTGCTCATTTTATAAGAGCGTGGAATCAGACGAATGTTAGGATCTTCTTTCAAAACAAAATGATCTCCAGACTTCATAACCTATACCATTAAAGATCATATATAAGGTTATAAACTCCAGAGAGTCAAATCGGTTTTAATATGTGAATGGTAAAGAAGATTCTTACTTTTTCTTCCGGGATGGTCACTTGCTGATGTTCATTTAACCGTTCTTCAGTATCTGCAGATACATAACTTCCTTCTTGGTCTTTCCAAGCTGTATACTGGACCTGCAACATAAAACTATCAAGAAAAAAAAATTCAAAAGAATTTGTAAATTTTTTTAAAGAGAGAGAAAAGACAAACTTACTTCCCCAAGGATGATTCCTTGATTTATGACACACTTGAAGGGCTCTTTCGTCGACACAACACCAATGTCATATAGTACCTGAGATATTGCAGTAACAGAATTTGCAGTTAGATCACGAGATAGCTTAGTAGAGAGTGAGGTTTCAAGGGACACACACACACCTTGTGCCAAAACCTAGAGTATAGCAAGTGCAAAACAGCATGTTCAGCACCACCGACATATACATCTACTGGGCTCCAGTATCTGCCACAAGAAAAACACTAAGAGAACCTTCCCAAAAGCAACACAAAATTACTTAAAAATGGAAGGTAAACTGATTGCATTCTGTTTGAAGGCTCTCACTTTTCCTTTTCCTTGTCAACTAATGCTTCAGGGTTTTTCGGGTCCATGAATCTCAGATAGTACCTGGAGACAAATTATGAATCAGTCATAGTGAAAAAAACAGGTTCTAGATCGACCAATTTCAGCCTAGCCTATCCTAGAACCATCACTAATAGATGCATTTTGTGTAACGAGGAGATTATATACAAGATTCAAGAAGAGTAAAGAGCTAATAAATAAATAAAATTACCAGCAAGAACCAGCCCATTGTGGCATAGTGCTTGTTTCTCTTTTGGCAGATTTTCCAGTTGCAGGATCTACAGTGTTTACCTGCAAAGTCATCAATCATAACCAAAACGTCAATCGCCATTTTTCAGTATCAAGAAACTAATCACATTAACCGCAGAAACATACCCATGAAACTGCTTTTGACAGTGGTGGCTCCCCTGTTCCAGTAGGAGTAAAATCATTTAACTCAGGCAAAGTGAGTGGCAGTTCAGATTCCGAAACCGCAATAGTTTCACCAGATTCATCCAAGATTAAGATCGGTATAGGTTCACCCCAGTAACGCTGCCTTGCAAATAGCCAATCCCTCAACTTGTAATTTACCTGCCAAAGACCTTTTGAGTCAGAAACAAGAACTAAATTTTACATAATCCAAAAGAGAAAGACATGAAGATGAACCTTTTTCTTCCCATTGCCAGTCCTCTCAGCCCATTCAATAACTTTTAAAGCAGCTTCTTTGCTAGATAGTTGATTGATGTCAAGTCCTGTTTCTACACTTGATGAATTTTCAATTATCCCCACTCCAGGATAAACCTGCTTAGTATCTTCTTCACTTGAATTTGCCTCATTTCTCACCACCCACTTAACCGGAATGTTATACTTCAGCGCGAACTCATTATCCCGAGTATCATGAGCTGGGACTGCCATGATTGCTCCGGTTCCATAACTGTCACATATAAACAAAGTTCGCTGTTTCACACTAGTGCAAACTCAAAGCAATGTAAACTACTAAACTGTTAGACCAAACTTACCTTGCTAGAACATAATCCGCTACCCATATGGGAATAGCATCCCCATTAGCTGGATTTTTCGCATAGCATCCCGTGAATACGCCTGTCTTCTCCTTCTGAAGTTCTGTTCTCTCAAGATCACTTTTCCTCGACGCAAAATCTTTGTATTCCTCAACCTGCAACCATATGGGAGGAGTCATGAAATTCATGAAAGACGTATTGCATTTGTATAATCAAAAGAAAAAGCTTACTTGTTGTTTCTGTTCTGCAGTTACAAAGTAAGACAACAAATGATGCTCTGGTGCCACAACCATGTAACTGCAAAATGAAGAGCAGGTCATATAAGACAATCAAGATCACGAATTTAGATAACTTTAGTCTGTTGAACATACGTTGCTCCAAAAAGAGTATCTGGTCTGGTGGTGTAAACTGTAATCCTTTTGTCGGTTTCTTGGCCTTCGCCATCAAGAATCGAAAAATCCAATTCAGCTCCTTCAGATCTCCCTATCCAGTTTCTCTGCATTTCCTTTATACTCTCAGGCCACTCAAGCTCGTCTAAATCTTCAAGAAGACGATCAGCGTACGCAGTAATCTTCAGCATCCATTGCCTCATCGGCTGCTTGGTCATAAACAATGTCACTGTAAAATTCATGAGAACTTTCAAAACAGAGGAATACGGATTTCAGGAAGTGGAAAAAAAAATATTACATTCCCAGATGGTAAAAGATATTACCTTTCTTATAACCGGATGGCCACCACGCTCACTAACACCATCCACCACTTCTTCATTGGCCAAAACAGTACCAAGAGCCGGGCACCAATTGACCCGTACTTCAGCCTGAAATTACAACAAAGAGAGAGCTCTCTCAAATAACTTTTCTATACACAAATGCAAAGTTTCAAACTTGTTTAACTAGATAATGATTTTCTCGACCTGATATGCCAAACCTCTCTTATAGAGCTGGAGAAAGATCCACTGTGTCCATTTATAGTAGTCTGGCTCTGTTGTAGAAAGTTCACGGTCCCAGTCATATGAGAAGCCCAGCGATTTGAGCTGCAACCAAAACAAAACAAAACACAATCAGGAAACAAGAGGTCATCAGTAAACCTAAGCAAACCGTCTAAATCAATGCTTTTCTTTTACATCTAAACTACATACAAGCATAATTTCCAATCAAAACTTTCAAAGTTCTTATGTCAACAACTTGCAGAGAGAATACAGATTCAAGGCTAGTGTTAAGTTGAAAGCAATACATTACCTGCAAACGAAAGCGGTCAATGTTCTTGAATGTTGTAGTTTTCGGATGGGTTCCTGTCTGTAAAAGTAGATTACAAATGGCAATAAGGACTTTATCAACAAAGACATCCAAAATGAAATGAAGAACATTAGAAATTGGAAAATGGATGGACCTCAATAGCATATTGTTCAGCAGGCAATCCAAAAGCATCCCATCCCATTGGATGCAAAACATTGTAACCTTGCATACGCCTAAGCCTCGCCAGAATATCAGTTGCTGTATAACCCAGTGGATGTCCCACATGTAATCCAGCTCCACTGAAGAACAAACCACAACAAAAATCTCATCTTTACCACAAAACCCAAATCCCAAAATCTATCATTCATACAAAATCCTAACCAAGAATGCTAATGAAATTCAGGAAAACTTCTGTGTAAAACCACAAAGCTCATAACTTTATGCTGAAATAGTATCTCAATTAGCCAAATTTGTGAGCTTCTCTACATAATCAAGTTACAGAAAGAAGAGACCTTGGATATGGAAACATGTCGAGGACGTAGAATTTGGGTTTCGAAGTATCGACATCGTCTGGTGTCCTGAAAGTACGGTTGTCTTCCCAGTAACGTTGCCACTTGGGCTCAATTTCGTGAAATGGATAGACCCTTTTCGATTCAATCGCCGTCTCCGACACCGGAGCTATCTTTTCCCGATTTCCATTGTTACTCTGAGCCTCCTTCGCTGAACTCCTAACTCCGCCGTGAATAGTGCGGCGCAGCCGGAACCGGAGACCGGAAAAAGGCTGCTTTAGAGGAGATTGGATCGTGAGAGAGTCCGTGAGGCGAATATGGCGGCAACAGTGTGAGAGCACAAATGGGTCCGCGCGGAATTGGAGTGTTTGATGAGAGCTCATTTTGCTATGTCT